CATCTTTGGCCACTCAATCAGCCATAGACTAAAAAATAAGCCAAGTTAACAATCGAATCTTTTATTCAAAACAATTTCTTCTCTTCTTCTCATCACTTTGTGATGTTTCGTAGTAAAGGCACAATCGAATTCTGTGGTCTTTCAAAGGCAAAAACGGGGTGAAAAGAATAAATAAGTGGAAAGGAAAGAGTTAAAAGAATGGAAAAGAATGGAAAAGGGATGGAAAGGTCTATGAAAGGGGTACGGGCATTGCCCTAAAGGGAGAGATTGGGCCAAGACAAGGAAAGGGTGCCCCTCGCTGGACTGAACAAAAGCTCTCAGCGCACACAAAGGGTGTTTTCCCTACATCCAATTTTCGAAGCTCTATTCTTTTTACTCCGTTTTCTTTCTTTTCTTTCTTTTCTTTCTTTTCTATTCTTTCTTTTCTCTTCTTTCCAACTTTCTCCCTACTTTTCATGTTTATTTTGTTTGTTTTTAAGTCTAGCGACCTATGCATCCCCCAAAATGTTTTCTTGTGGATTCCAATGGAGCGAATTGACCTCCAAACTGACCAAGAATCGAAAAATGCGATTTGCTTCCTTTGTAACCATCAGTTCTTCAGTTGGAGTTGGACATCAGTTCATTTGGACAAGCTTAACAAGCTTTAAGCAAAAAGCTTAAAAGCCACATAAAACCTTGTTCAAAGATTTCACTTGTTTTCCTAAACGAAAGCTCCAATCGCCAGCCAATCACCAGCCAAACACTCCCATTTTCAGCTTTCCAATTTCCCAATTTCGTAAAGAAGACATCAAAGTTGATGTGTGTTTTGCGAATTTTGTCGGCTTTTCTTCATTTTCCCACTTTTTCTTCTCTTTCCTCTTTTTCCTTAAAGCCAATCGTGAATTCGTGTGCCTTCATTAATTCCAGGGCTTTCCTTTCCCCGAAATCTCTCCACTTCTTCAAATTCCCCCCGCAAGCCTTCTTCAACCAAATAAGGAAGTCTCTTCGCACAAAAATTTCATTATTCACTCGAAAATTTCCCGAATTTCCCGAAATTCTTTCCCCCATTCCCCTATGAAAATTTCTTATGCAAATCTTCCTTCTTTCTCTTCCCATTTTTCCCTTTCGGCCCATTACCCTGATTACTGGTCGATTTTCCTTGAGAATATCCCTATATAGCTCTTTTTTCAATAGCAAATCGTTTCCTGAAATCTCCACAAAAAAGTTTCCTTCTCAATTAGAATTGGCCAAATTTTCGATGGAAAGCTTTCTTTGATTTGACTGAGCTTCTCCTGTCCTCTTGTCTCTCTTGTCCCTTTGACTCATATCCTTTATGGCTTTTGGCTAACTATTAGAGCATCAGATGTACTACTAGATCATCAGATACACTATTAGAGCATCAGATATACTATTAGAGCATCAGATATACTATTAGATCATCAGATAGACTATTAGATCATCAGATATACTAATAGATCATCAGATATACTATTAAAAGTAAAAATAAATCAACTTAAGCGTTGAAAGAATGAAATAAACTAAAAAACGGGGAAATGGACTATTCGCCGCGGCGACATTTCACCGCAAAGTTAGATCTACAGCAGACAAAACTCATGCCTGATTATCGTACCTGTTGGATCACAAAACAAGAACATGATCGGCGAAACGTCATTACGGCGAAATGCCAAAATATCGAAATGACGAATAGTCGCGCAACCAAAAAACGAGAATTTGGTCGTAAGAGGAACCGAACCCGAGCATTAATGTGCGTGAACAGATTTGGATACGAGACCCTTATCCACTCAGCCATCAGCTCATTTTCCACGGCCGTGAAAGAAACCTTTTGAACCCCTCTGTTTTCAAATTTTGTTTTAATTCAAATTTTCTTTCAATTTTCAAATTTTTGTCTTATAACTAAAAAACCGTCTTATTAAAAACGCTTTATAACTTTTGATCGAATGCTTTGTTGCTTTGTTGCTTCGTTTGCTTCGTTTCTGTTTTTGAAAGAAGATTCGAATTCAGCGTGAAAAACTGCACAAGAAGATCTAGATCTCCTTTCAAAAGGCTATCTTGACTCCATATCTCCCCCTAGTCAGTTTTAAAGTTCAGAAAAGCGTTGGATTGGCTTAATTTCATGTTATTCATAGTTTTTTATTAGAGAAATCTTTCAAAATTGCCCAAATTTCTCATCCTTTTCCTGTTACACTCAAAAAGGAGACTTTTGAGTGAGTGAGTGAGTTCAAACTTTTCCCTACCCTTTTCGTTTCAAATTTTTTCCGCCATGTGACACCCAAATGAGCTCTAACAATAGAAAAAACTATTCTTTTTTCCTTTTTGCTTCTTCTTCCTTTTGCTTCTTCTTTTTTTATCACTTCCTCTAAAACAAACGAACACATGTAAAATTTAGCACTTTTTTTTTTCCTAAGGTTCCCCATTTCATTACCCAAACCATATGTCTTTTGCTTTGCATGAGACGAATTTCGTAAACTTTTACATCATCATCATCAATCATATGGGACAAAATGGGTTATTTTTAGGTTATTTTAGGGTGAGAGTGAGAGTTGTAAGGGATTTATATTGCGTCATTAGCTCTATGAGAGATTTCACACTCATGTTACAGCCCCCACCGCTGTTGCTCGCTGGGCAAAGCGCTCGTTTATTTACTGAATTGTTTTGCAGCAAAAGCTTGTTGATTTGCGAAATTGAATAGATCAGAACTAGGACCAAAAGGGTTATTCAAGTTGAAGAATGTCTTGGCTTCAAGGTTAAAACCTTCAAGCAACAATTCAAGCCAAGTTTGAGAGATTGTCTCGAAAGATGGCTTTCTCTTTCTTTTTTTCCTTCTTTCTCTTGGCAAATTAAGGCACCAGATAGCTCAGTGGTTAGAACAAAAGAAAGCAAAAGGAAAGGAAAAGGTCGAGGGTTCAATCCGATCTGCGGAAATCTACTTTTTCTTGCCAATTCCATCACTTCTTCATTTTCCCTGGAACAATCCTACCAAAGAGTGCAGTCACAGCCTTCCGTACTTGAAGCTTTGGGATCCCGCTTGAAGATTTGAAGCTTTGAAATCAGCCTTTATCTCACTAAGATCCGCCTTTGATTAGTCACACTTAACAAGCACTTTGAGGTCATTGTGTCATTGTTGAGAATGGAAAAAGGAGTGGCCACTTGAGTGACCACTCCCTTTCCCTCCGCCTTTTTTCCCCTCTGGGATACATTGGGTCTCTTGGAGTCATCGATGAATCATCCCAATCCAATCCCATCCCAATCCAATCCCAGATCTCTTTTGACAAAGCACTTGGTTCTTGGTTTCAATCGCTTTATAAAAGCAGCTAATACTTGTACTAGAATTTCTAATTCAATCTACATTTATCCACGTTTCCTCCTTTATAGATTTCTTTGATCTCTCCTTTTTGTCAAAGACCATATGTTCCCCTTTGTATGATGAGAGTTGTCAGCTGTGACATCTCGAACACTTCTTCCCCTTTCTCAAATCCTTTCTAGCAATAGTGAAACGAACATCCAACTTGATCCACTACTTTCAAGCTAACCAATTCACTTTATATTCAATCAAATGCACGAGAAACATGTCACTTACAGCCTCGAAGCAGAAACGATAAAAGATGAAAGGCATGTTTTAGAATCACAACAATGTTTTAGAGAGTCTACACTTTAATCATAACCCTGAACCAGGCTTGTACCTCTAGCTAAAATTACAGCTTTCTGACCATAGGATTTGGTTTAAACAACCCTTTTATACAGCATAAAGCTGATATTCTCCAATTTCCGAATCGCAAAAACAAGAGTCTACCACAGCACTATTCAACTGAGCCAAGCGCAAAACCAAAAACGATAACAATACTCAAGCAAGTCCCAGTCATTACTAGAGAGAGTGGTCAGGCGATTCTTTCCTTCAAATTCTCATCTTTTCCCCATTCAACGTGTGTCCATAAATCCCCGTTTTCTCAGTGATGTCCCATCCCATCTCTTTTCATATGTTTTGTGTTTTATTTTATCGGTTTGCCTGTTTTTCAAAAAGCACTCTTACTAAGCTCATTTTTCCTTTTCCTTGGGGACTTTATGAGTACTTAGGGCTTAGTCATTGTGTGTGTGCTGTTCATACACCAGAACATACGAATATCCTTTGGCTAATCGGTTTTAAGCCAATTTTTAGGCTCGATCGATCGGCTATAAGAAAAATTAGGGCCATTAGAAGCTCCGTTAGCAGCTATAAGAAAAATTAGGGTCATTAGAAGCTCCGTTAGAAGTTATAAGAAAAATTAGGGCCATTAGAAATAAAAACATCTGACACGATTTATATTGTCTTATGAAATCGTGCTTAAAATGCATCAAATCTCAAAAACTCTTCCTCAAATAATATTTTTTTTGCTTTTTCTATGTTGAGTTCATAAATCAATTTTTGTTTTAACTATCATAGAATCAAATTTTAATTACTTTAATTGTCGTCAAGTTGAAAACGAGATGAAATAAGCTTATTTTGGGTGTTTTAGAGGTAACATTAAACGTCCAAAAGTAAAATTAGACTTAAAGCTTAAAGCTTAAAGCAAGAAGTAATCAATTTTAATTTTATTAACCTTTTTAAAAGCACCAATGACTAATCCCCAATGACAATGACACTGAAAATTGAGTATTGAGCCACTTATAAGCTAATCTAGTTTACTAGAAAACACATAAATCCAATCTCAATTAGCCTAGCCTCTTGACACTTTGTTCTCCCTTTTTCACAACGCAAAAGAGATATTTATGTGAAAACTTGAGCCAATTCATTGTTTATGTCAGCAACAAGCCTTTTCTTTTATCCAAAAGCTTCAATGATCATCAGAAATTTCTTTCTTTTCTCAATTCTTCTATCGAATCTGTCCTTTGGGAGTCACAGCTCTCTTTTTCTTGAAAAGAAGCTTTCTTTTCAGGGAAAAGAAGGACGAAACTTTCTTTTCAAGTTTAGAAAGTCTAGAAAGTCTTCATTCTAAAATTTGGTCCTCTAATCTCTCAATTTTCAGCAGTTGGCTGAGCGCAGAGATGAAACAACCGATTCGATCGCAGTCATTCAAACATCGACCTTCCACTACTAAAGCTTTGCCTATTGAGGCTCCGAGAAGGTTTGTCTATGAATACATTCGATTTTAGCAAAAGACTATCCCTCTTTTGATTTTCTATCAGTTTTCTGAAGTTTCAGATCCCCAATGGAGGAGATGAATCCAGAAAGGCGACGAAGTACTCCAACGATCACTCGACGAGGATCCCTTCAGAGGTATTTTGCTCAAAAAATAAGTGAAAGATTGATCTAAAAGCTGATTTCTACATCTTAGTATATCTGATAGCTAATTTTACTTTAAAACTTGCAACTAAAAAAATCGGTTTATTCTTCAGCCCAATGCGACGCGGGAGTCTCCAAATAAAGTGAGCAAAAACAGCCAAAAAAAACAGCCAAAAACATGGTTGATTCTACAGAGTTCTTCTCTTTTTTTCATAGAATAGCCTCTTTAAACTTATCATAACTATAATCATCACTTTTCAACAAAAATCTCTTCTCTAATCACAAATTTGTTCGATTTGAAGTGTCCGCTTTTTCACTGATCACCCCAAGCTTCTTAAGATCTATCAGAAAGGGCAAAAAAATTGATCTTAGCTATTGATTTATTGCCTGAATATCTTAAATTTAAAGATATCCAATCAATAAACAAAGCTCTATCATCGTTTTGCCATTTCCAGCCTCCATTCAAACTCATTCCCTCAGCTTTCCACTAACCCAAAAAATCACTCAGCAAAAAGAAACCAAGCTTTCTAAACGATAAATGTTCATAATAAATTTGATTTGAATAATTTTAGATCGAAATTAGAGCCACGAACTGATGTGTGGCCTGAACCGAAACAGGCTAGTGAGGTGAGAAAATCCGAAAGTAAGAAAACTTGATGAATTGCAGGTGGAGGAGCGTTTCTTGAAGTTACCCGATTCAGAAGATTACACAAGAGTTCGTCAATTCAAAATCGATGCCCGGGGAGCGGTGGTGAATCGAGGAGACAGCTTTAGACGGAAAAGACAAGGAGGTGAGTGACTGTTGTACTGTTAACTGTTGTAGACGTCGATCAAGCTCATCAAGAAAGTCTAGTTTCTTGTCTACAACCCTAAAAGAACTTGCGAAGATCAATTGCCCAATTCAGACAAATCCCCATCTCCATACGCGTTGAGCGACTCGGCACGGGACTCGAATTCGCGGAGTGAGAGCGTTTCATCAGGTGATGAACATCACTTGAAAAGAAGGGATTTCCCACCGCCATCACCGACCATTCAAACAAATGGACAAGAGAACGATCATCCCGCACCAACATCGAGTCATCTCGTTTACAAGGTACTGGGCTTCAATAAGCTGCCTTCAATAAGCTGCCTTCAATAAGCTGCCTTCAATAAGCTGCCTTCAATAAGCTGCCTTCAATACGTCAAACTTGCGCAACTCGCCATAACTTTTTTTCTAAATGAGCCAATCTTTATAATTTTGGTGTCATTTTGTAGATCTCAACAAGTGCAACAAAATGATACCAAAATCATAAAGTTTGGCCCATTTAGAAGAAAGTTATGGCGAGTTGCGCAAAAAAAATTTGGCGCAAAGTAGCCATCCCCATCATACTTTGAAAAATTAACAATGCTAAAGAGTATAATAAGTCTCTTGAATCTCCACAAATCTCAAATCATTCAGGTGTACGTGGTCGGTGATCGTGGCACCGGAAAATCGGCCCTAATCAGTCAATTCAACTCCTCCGAGTTCAAAAATGCATTCGCTGATGAAATCGGTGAGCTCTTCAAAACCAAGAAAGAAACAAAACCAAGAAAATTTTCTAGAAGAATACGAGAACACGGTTTCGATTTGTATTGGTGGAGAAGAGTGCGATTTGGTCTTCTTTGAATCGGATATGGTGAGTTTAGTTGAACAAATCTGATTTCAACAGTTTCAGCCACTTCACTTCGACAACTTTCAGGCCGATCCTCTATTCCTAACCGATGAAGTCTCAGCTTTCCTTGTCCTCTACTCAATCGATTCTCGATCCTCATTCAAACAGGCCACTTATGGGGTAAAAAAAGAAATCAAGAGTAAACCAAGGAATCCCTTTAGATTGAAATGATTCGCAATCGACAAAACCTTCAACACATCCCAGTGATTTTAGCGGGAAACAAAGCCGATTTGGAGAGGAAAAGAGCTGTGGCAAGACAAGGTAGAAACGATTTCTTGCATTTCTTGCATTTCTTGCATTTCTTCAATTTTCTAAGCCATATCCTGAGTTATCCGATAAATTCTATCATTCTTGATCAACCAAATTCCAGATGTCAAAGAAGTAGCAGCTCGTTTTTGCTGTGAGCAATTCGAGGTTAGTTATCTTTCTACAAACAAACAAATATCACTAAATTTTCTATACATTTTCCACAAAACAAAAGGTTAATCACCTGACTTTCTTTTGTTTTCAATTCGAGGATCGATTTTGAGGTAAATGCCGCACAAGAGCTTCTCTTATTTGTACTTTGTCCAAAATGTGTTTGCCTCTAAAATTAGAAAATCAGAGGAAACTAAAAAACAACTCACAAAGAGCAGCAGCTTGGATAGACCGAGGATCGATTTTGAAGTGAATGCCGCACACGAGCTTCTCTTATTTGTACTTTGTCCAAAATCTGTTTGCCTCTAAAATTAGAAAATCAGAGGAAACTAAAAAACAACTCACAAAGATGAACGACTTGGATAGGCCGCCTTGCAATCTTCTGGATCCTGAGCACACTTGAAAGGCTTTTCACCTGATCGGCTACTCTTCAAATGATCATTACTAAAAAGAAAAAGTTGGTAAAAAGATCATAAAACTCACAATGCCGATGACTCAGTAAAGGGCTTTTGACATCTCGTTTTGGCGTATGGATAGACAGAGAAGATCTCATTCCCAAAGTCGGCATTTAGGCTCGAGAAGCAAAGCGTCGAATCGAAAAAAGGTGATCACGTAATGAAATGCATCGAAAACTACCGGAAAGCCAATCGAAGAGAAGAGTCGAAGAGATCCCTGAGCCAATCCAACCCTTCCCCAAGTAGAAGATGCTCTTCTGGAAGGCGTCAAACTCTAAAACAGTAAAGAATTAATAGACTTTGATTGAATTAATAAAGTGTACCTGTGAGCAGCTTGCTGTACATCTCGACATCGACAAGGCAATACGAGGCAAGGCAAGGCGGCAAGGCAAGGCGGCAAGGCAACACGTAGTAGGCACAGAAACCGGTGTCCACCTTTGCATCTTCGGATTGACCAATCTAAATAAATTTTAATAAGATTAAATAAAAGTAAAGTAAAAATAATAACCATACCTTTGGATATTCTTTCTTGTGGCTGATCGTCTTCTTCTCGACATCGATTTCAACTTTCTAAACAAATAAAGTATTATTTCATTTAATAAACTAGATGATAACAAACAAATTATAATTAAAACTTGAAAAGAAAAAGAAACCTTCAAACCAGACGTCTTCTTCCTTTTATCTAGTAGATTCTCAGATCTCGGTTGCTCTCAATCATGACGTGGATGATCTCCTTGTTGGATTGTTAGCCGAAATCAAGGACGCTTTTGTGACAAAAGACGAGCAAAGAAGAAGTGTACCGGTGAGTGAACAGGCATAGATTAAAGTTGCCTGGTAAGGTGTGGTGTACTGTAAGTACGAATGGTGTACTGTAAGTACACTACACCTTACCAGACTGTACCCTACAGTACGCATGTAAAAAGGTGTACTATACTAGCTCTAATTGTAAGTACATTGTACTAAGTTAAGACTACAGTAACCCTTACATAAAAAAATCCATTCAGATCTCTCCACGAGTCGCTGAAATTAAAGAGAAAGACGATTTCCGAGCCGCCATTCGACGCTATTCACAGAGAAAGAAGAAAGAATCCGATAGTGAGGTTCGTGAATTTCTTTTGATCCAAAATTCATCGAAACTCTTTCAGCAAACTACCGCCAAATGTTCCGTTCTCTCTCCATCCGGCTTTTTCAACAAACTAAAGCAATGGAAACGAAATGTCAGTCCAAGAATCACAATTTGATTTCCATAACTTTTTAATTCTTGTACAATCATTTCATTTTCTCCATAAGTACGAGATTATCTGCATATTCTTCAATAAAATATGGGTGTATCAACCAAAAATGAGTTTTTGTTTAAATTCCCTCTACTATTTTCATTGTTCGTTTGAAATTGTGTGCATGCTTTTTGTAAATAGCGTCTTTTTCTGAAATAAACGTTTACAATACAGAAATTCGACGATTCATTTGCGAAGACAAAAAATTCTAATAACAAACTTAATGCTTATTTACAATTCGTAAAGATTTGACTACAATTATAATGACATAAAAAAACAATACCCTAAAAAAAGATGAATCCGTTTGAGATTTATTGTTTCTTCTCGGCTTCTTGTTGTTTCAAGTCAATCACCTCATAGCCAGAAGTGATCTAAAGCAGAAGAATTATAATTGGGATTACCTAGTTTTTAACAAAAATGTTTGTTTGGGATTTTCAAAGTCTTATCATTCAAAGAATAAAATCAAATTATGTTACCGAAGCGTTGCGGAAAGAGGGGAATGACTCCCATGGAGTCTCAAGATCGAATCGACGGAATTCCTGGGCCAGCTCGGTTGGCTCGTAAACAACTCGTCTCAACTCGGGATCGTAGCGTACCTAAAATGAAAAATAATATATTCACTACTTGAGTCTCTCTAAGCTTTTGAATAATAGCACTGTATTAACACAATGCTAAAAGCAATTAGGAAAATGAAAAATACTTAATGTTAAAACAATAACAAACGAATTCGTTTAACAATCGAAAAAAAATCAAACCTCATTGTATCCTGTCAAGGGGAAATCCTTTCTGAATGGATGTCCCTCAAAGCCATAATCGGTAAGAAGCCTCCTCAAATCGGGATGATTGTTGAACCACACGCCGTACATATCGTAAATCTCGCGCTCAAACCTAAACTCATGAACCATAAAATTTATTGTAGATCTTTTACTAATTTCTACTGGCTTGAAGTTGTTTATGCTTAAAATACTAAACGACAAACGACAAAACGCAACACAAATTTGTGTTTATCACAAAAGTCTCACCAGTCAGCCCCAGTAAAGACCGAATAAGCACTCTCGATTGGGGCCACTTCATCCGTGTAAGTCCGCACGCGAACACGTGCATTGAAACGAACCGAGTAGAAGGCGTATATGAGCTAAAAGTTTCAAATTGTGAGCAAATCAAACCCAATTCTCACCTCAAATCGATTCTTTCTTGTGGGCACATCGACACTGAAATTAATTGATTAGTAAAAACTAAAAATAAACAAAACTTCTACCATGTGATGAAGGTGAGATTTGTGAATTGAGCAGAATGATTTCCCCTCAAAAACGAAAGCACAGGGATCACTCCATCTGGATGAATCAATAGCTCTAACTCATCTCCCGCGGCAAACTAAAGAAAAAGGGTTTTCGAGTTTTGAGAAAGCAAATAAATTGCGATTATTACTTTCCAAGATATTGAATTATACCTGAGCCTGTTGCACAAATTTAGGAAGACACTCGGCTGCATACCGTCCAAAAGAGGCCAATTTTTCCCGCTTTTTCTCGTCGATCTTCCAAATCGTTGCTAAAGAAAAAAGATGATGCTGACATAATAGTTCGTATGTTTGAAAGTAATAAGGCAAAGCTTTAAATTCACAAAATTCTAAACAAACTAACGTTTCTTGGCTTTCTCTCCACCAGTTTGCTGCTGTTGTTGAGCGATGGTCGTGCTAGTTGAAAGAGGAGCCGCCAACGACCTCACCACGGGTACCCCAGTCAACAGAGCTCGCTTGAGCATTACTAAAAAGAAGAATTTATACACAATAGTGATCGATTTAAAAACACCAATGACTGAAATAATCTGGTATGTTTGGAATGCTAAAGAACCATCATAAAGCTAAAGATGAAATCGTAAAAGAAGACACAATTTTTGAGCGTATTTAGATTCAACGAGACACAAATGAAAGCAATCGATCGAGATACAATAAAAATTAGAGATCATAAAACGAAACATAAGTGAAAATTAATGCGCTTGTGTTCAAAGAAACGATTCATCTTCCATAATTGCTTGGTAAACCTTCATTCGATATTCTCTCAATTGATCGAGTTGTTCTTTTAGATCCGCTTCTTTTTCCTTCAATTGACGATTCTTCTCAACAAGCGCTTCTCGATCATCGGCCTTTGTGGTGATCTCTTCGATGATCTTCTCGACATCCAATTTTCGATCGATCACATTTGTTGAAATGGGAGCGCTGGTCAATCGTTGCAATCGCATCTTGTAATACTCATCCGACAAAGCTAACAATTTAGCTGGCTCTTCTCGTCGCTTTTTGCATACCTAAATGTAAAATTTACTTTAGCTTTCATCAACTACATTATTTTTTTGGTTTTTTTTCAACAATGGGAGTATTGAAAATGATTCAAAACAAAGTCTTTCAGCCTATTTTGTTTTAGTCCAAATTGTTGGCTTTAAGCAAACATCTTAGATAGTTCTTTAACTTATGAACAAGTGCACCAATGCTTTATATTGGACAATAAGCAATAAGCAATAAGCAATAAGCAACAATAAGCAAAACAATTTACCTCAAGACTGAGCGCGTCCAACTCGGAGAGCAACTGCTGATTCAGGTTGAATTGTTCCCGCGCTTCATCCATAGCTAACTAAAAATTTAGAAAAAGTTCTTTTAACAAAGCCTTTAAAAATTCTAACTTAATTTAAACAGCTGAAGTAAAATGTAAGAAACTAAAGTAAAAGGAAGCGATCAGCTATCGTTTTGTGTGTTGTTTCTTCAGCGACCCTATTGAGCTGTCATTTGTATGATCGTGTCTTTGTCTCATATATCGTGCCAAAATTCAAAATGACCACAGTAAAGTTTAATAAGTAAAACCTATTTGACTTAAACCCAAAACAAGAATATCAAAAAGCCAAACATACCTTAGCATCGCCGGTTTTCTTTTTTTCGCCAAGCACTTTCATTGGCTTCTTTCCGGTCATCGTTGCCTGAAATGAAAAAAAATAATACTTGATTTGATAGTAACAATAAAAATAGGTAAAAGATTCGCAAATAAAGCAAAAATAGCGGAGAAAAATGAAATTGAAAGTAAAAACAATGATTTAGTTGATACAGAAGATCAGCTAATCCCTTATCAATCAATATCGTGCATCCTTTTTGGGCTTCAAAGCGGGGCTTCAAAGTGCGCGCTCATACAGTGTGATGAGAGGAATACACATAGGGAAGATGTCTAAAAATTGTCTCTCAAAACATTTTTTTGAAGCCAAAAACACTTCTTCTGGCATAATTCAACCTACTGATTACGTTTCTGATCAAATTGGAGCAAAATAAAAAATATTTTTTTACCAAATTTCGACCATGTCCCCCACATGAGTCAAAATCGGTCAAAATCTCCAAAAATATTTTTTCAATTTCTTTTGCCTCTACCAAACAATTTAAGTTAGAAAATGAATATAATGAATTTAGTGGTTAAAAATAGTTTTGGCTCTAGCTTTGGCTCTAGTTTTGACATTGAAAAGTGCCCGAATAGTCGATAGCTCGATATAGTGAAGTCTAGGCTCGATAGGCTCGATATAGTGAAGTACACTATAGAAGCGCGCACTTTGGTGTTCCGAAACTTGGCTTAAAACACCTTTTCCCAAGCTCTTATTGTGTTTTTTGGAAGCTACGCATAAAAATACCCCAGAAAAAGTGATTTTGAAGAAAAAAAGTGGCTCCCCCAAAGCCCATAGTACCAGATTTCTTTCTCATTTCAAGGAGAAACACAAATTCAAAACGAAAAAAGAAGTGACGACGCGACGCTCCTATCAACTACCCCAAATGGCGGCGACGTCGCGCAAAAATTAACATTAACAATTAGCAAATTAATCACTGGTTAAGGGGGTGGGACAAATGCGACCTTTTTTTTTGCTGGAAAAGGCCTTAGAAAACGCCGTAGAGCTTCAAAAATGTTTCCATATAAGGGAATCGTATGCGTAGATTCCGAATTTCGACAAATCAGGCCTCGCTGATATGTCAAATTTGGGCTAAAAGGCAAAAACTACACAGAGTTAACGCTTTTCCGCAGTTTTTTCCGCGATTCCCTTATATAAAAACATTTTTGAAGCTCTACGGCTTTTCATAAGGCCTCTCATAAGGCCCCAGCGAAAAAAAGGTCGCATTTGTCCCACCCATCTGCTTAATGACCAGCGGAAGTACGGTACTTTTCTAGAGTGCCTTTTTTAGCAAACGAGTCACGTTGTTTTTGAAAAAACCTTTCCTCACTTTCGGTCAACTATTTCAAAAGCTTTGATCAGCACAAACGATTGATCTTTTGATTCGTTCGTTGTCTGCTCTCCAAGCTGTTGTTTCTCTCTTCTCAAACATCTGATCGGGGTCATTCCCATCTGTTCATTCCTCCATTCCCTGTCTGTTTCTTGCACAAACCCTTTCCTCCTTTCTTTATCCTCTTTCTTACCTCTCTGCAACTCTTAATCACCCATCCAGGGCACAATTGTCGTACTCATTCCCTCACTTGTCACACCTCGAATATTTTCCTCTAAAACAGCCATTCTTCTCTAGAGTCCGTATGATCATTCCCTTATTCATTTGCATTTTTTTCTTTGAACTTGTTCAATCAAATGTACCGTTTCGGAGAAAAACTGGAAAAACAGCTGGTTATCCAGTGGTGATAAGTGAGTGAACGAAATCTTTGAGATACAAGATCGAAATCTTGTAAAAAAAGTAGAGATTTTTAGTTCCCGGTGATGCAGGCAGTCAATTGGAGGCAAATCTTACTGGGAAACCCACAGTTTGTACAAAATTCTGTCAAAAATAAAGCTTTCAGGTGGTTCATTATGTGTGCTCGAAACAGACTCAGGAATACTTTGATCTGTGGCTCAATCTTGAGTCTTTCTCACCGATTGTCATCGATTGCTGGCTGGATAATATGAAGTTTGTTGCTTTGAGAAGCTTTGAAGCTTTGAGAAGCCTTGAGAAGCTTTGAGAAGCTTTGAAAAGCCTTGAGAAGCTTTGAGAAGCCTTGAGAAGCCTTGAGAAGCCTTGGAAGCTTTGAGAAGCTTTGAGAAGCTTTGAGAAACTTTGAGAAGCTTTGAAGCTTTGAAGCTTTGAGAAAAAGCACGATCTACAGTATTTGAAGAGAAATATGGATGATAGACAGTATTACGGTATCTTTGAAAGCAATTTAGATTAGTTTACAACTCCTCATCCGGTTTCTCATCAAATATGCCAGGCGTTGATGTGAGAGTACCCGGAATGGGAGATACAAGCACTGTGGAATGGCTTGATCCGAGTAATGTGGGTTCTCTTGAAGCCAGCCAGTTCTCTTGAAGCTCTTTATCTTCTTACATCCACCTCCAGGCATCAACTGGCTCATATTTCTTCACAATGGTCGACATGATGGCCACATGGGGTTATCGAAGAGGGAAATCGGTAGTAGCAGCACCGTATGATTGGAGAAAAAGTCCTGGTTTGTTTTTGTTGTTGTTGTTGTTGTTGTTGATTTGTCAACTCTTTCAAACAATTTCATCTCTAGTGGAGAACAGAAACTACTTCCTTTTATTGAAATCCCTCATCGAGCTCACCTACAAATACAATCAGAACACAAAAGTCGTCATCTTGGCTCATTCGATGGGAAATCCGGCAATGCTGTACTTTTACAAGAACTTCGTGGATCAGGTAGGCACATCCCAAGCGGTGATGATGGCAAAATGCAAAACATTGTCAATCGACACTTCAGAGTTATCATGTGCGTTCCAATTTGAAGAAAATTGCAAAAAGAATAGCATCTTGTCTTGACATCTCTTGAACAGAAGCTGTTGCCGCTGTTCGACGCATGAACTCGATTTCCTCTAAAGGAATTTTGATAATTTCTTCAATTTTCTCCTAACTGGAACGCACATGACATTTCCCAAATCAGATTTTTGATGTTCAATCCAAATTCCAGAATTTGATGTGAGCCATGTTGTTCTTAACTTAAAAATCTAGGATTGGAAAGACAAGTACATTCAATCACATGTCAGTCTGGCTGCTGCATGGGGTGGATCAATGCAAATTGTTCGACTGATGATCTCTGGTTAGTTAGTAATTGTACAAGTGAGAAAATAAGTACAACAGCTTAAGATGAAGTGTTCTTTTGCAAGCTTCTTTCATGAAAAACATGAAAACTTCTTTCAGGTTACAATATGAACTATTACCGGATCATTCTCGCTCCATCAAAACTCCGCGAAATGCAGCGATCATTCACTTCATCAGCTTTTCTTTTCCCATCAAACGTTGGCATAAAATCCAGAGCAAAATCCAAAGCTTTGAAAGTTTACAGGCAGTTTGGAAAGAAGACGAAGTGTTGGCTGTTGGACCAGAGAAGAATTACACAGTTTGTATTACAAAAGATTCAACTAAAGCTGAATTTAGCTGAAAAATGTGCAAGAAATGTTCAATGATTCAATGTATCCGATTGGATGGGATCAGTATCAGAAACACTCGCAATTATTGGGTGATCTTGAGGCACCTGGCGTTGAGGTTGAGCTTCTTTGATTTGAGTATAACTTCTTTGAGTATAACTTCATCAAATGAATGATCGAATCTCTTCAGATTCATTGCATTTATGGAATCGGTCTCGACACGCCCGATCTCTTCACTTGGACAAAGGGGTGATTGAAGAAAGAATTGAACGAGTAGAATTGCGCATTCAGTTGGTTTCCCGATTACGTTCCCTATGTGCAATATGGTGATGGAGATGGAACGGTGAATAGGAGGAGTGGAGAAGTGTGCACGAAATGGAATCAGAATAATAATAAAGGGAAAAAGGTTTGAAGGATAAGAAGGATACGAATTCTAGGCTTGTGAAGAGTCATTTTTCATTAACAGGAAAAAACATTAAGCAATCTAACACTAGCACTAGCACTAGCAACAGTACAAATATTACAAAGCTCTATCGCTAATTTACCGGCCAGCTATTGCTAATTTACCGGCCGACTATTGCTCTAGTGCACGTGGATAGCCTATTTTCAGCGCTGTTTTTCTTGTTGATTCCGTGCTCTAATCATCTTGAAACCGTGTTCTTTGGAAAGAGCGTGCAAAATTACCCCTAGAAACTTTTGATTTGAGCATTTATTGCTTATCTTTTGTCCAGTATTGTATATGGTAGATTTGTGGAGAATAAGCTATAGCTTCGCCTAGAGTACTAGCCTACTAGACTAGAGTAGACTAGAGTAGTCTAGTACTCTAGTCTAGTAGGCTTCCTAGTACTCTAGTCTAGTAGGCTTCCTAATACTCTAGTCTAGTAGGCTTCCTAGTACTCTAGTACTAGTACTAGAGTACTAGGAATGTTAGCGGTATGTTAGCAGTGTTAATTTGCTTAATTTGATTAATTTGCCTTGTTTGTTAATGCGAATTGGCTTTTTCCGTAAAGTTTTCTGACTCTTTTACGAAAAAAGCATTCTAAAGTAATGCCAGAGCCTGATCAAAACGATTTCCAGGTCACTATCCACGCTCTCGACAAAACAGAACACATGGCAATCATGCAAAGTCCGGCCGCCATTGAGCTCGTTCGAAAGGCTCTTTATGGAGAGCTTTAATCGCTTTTCAAGCTTTCAGCTTTCGCTTTTCAATAAAGTTTTGAAACTCAAAGTTTTGAAACGCAAATGTTTATTCAATTACACAAGTATTTCTCTCGTTTCTCCAATCAGATATCCTGACAGAAATCCGAGTTATAATCGGTGAATTGAATGGCCATATTTCCGCGATCGAAAGTCACACATTTCTTGTACATCCTAAAGAGTTCTTGGTTACATTGGTGATTTTAGTGATCTTGGTGATTTTAGTGTTAGAATTGTAGATCAACAGCCGAACTTGGATTTCTCTATAAACAAACAAACAAACCAAACAAACAAACCAAACAAAAAACAAACCAAACAAAACCGAAGCTCCACGAGGGCAAGAAACCGCCGCCATTCAACGGGTACAACATCAAATAACAGGGATTATCGAGATCTGTCTGAAATTTGAAATTTGAAGATTCTGCATTAATTATGAACCGGAAGTTGGCACTCGCTTGGTTTGATTTTTGAGAAAAATCGTCTTTACTTTGTACAATAAATAGAATTATATCACCCGATCAGTTAAATGATTCACATAATAAGAGTTTCAGCTAAGTTTTGGTCTAAAACTCCACTAACTATGGGTGTAAAGACTCAAGATTGTGACTCAAGATGTGACAGATATTTGAAACAGTCTAAAGGTGATTCTCGCAAAAGAAAATCTCCAAAGATGTCATGTGTGTTCCAATTTGAAGAAAATTGCATAAAGAATAGCCTATTTTCTTGATATTTTTTGAACTGGACTCACAGAAGCTGTTCGACGCATGAACTCGATTTCCTCTAGAGGAATTTTGATAATTTCTTCAATTTTCTCCTAGCTGGAATGCACATGACATTCCCCAAAACAGATTTTGATGGCTTGATAAATTGATAAAACTCACGAAATCCTTGAAGACATAGTAGTGCGATTGAACAGAAAACGAGTCGCCGGGCACAGTGAAGTTGAGACGCGGGAAAGGCTGATCACAGGACACCATTGGCTGCAAAGATCAGCTTGTTTACGTCAATTACGTCAATTACGTCAATTACGTCGACATACGAAACGATCAATTTCTTCGAACGATCAATTTCTTCTTCCCCAAACTCACCCAGGCATTGTCGGGTGTCTGTGTGGCGTTCGTCAGTTTATAAATGTAATCATAAACATTTTGTGGCACTCCGGTCAATAAATCGTTTGTGTCCATTTTGGCGATTGTTCGAGCAGTCGAGGAAATATTTCCGATTTGATATCTAGAAAAGCAAGTCTAGAAAAGCATTGAGGCAAATCCAAGCCTAGAAAAGCCTCAATTCTCACCCAGTAATCGCGAAATTCCAGTTATTCTTATCGACAAGCGGCAGATTTACAGTAGTCGACGTGTTGCAATAAGTGGTATCGATGAATCCGATTGTCATCTCTTGAAGCACTTCTTCGCTGAAAACTTTTGATTGTGCTAGACGGTGATGTTTGCCAAAAACAAAGCACAGCTCAGGTCCAGCACAGCTCAGGTCCAGTCCAGTTTCAATGCACTTACGCATCTTGGTCCAACATGCAATCATGAATCACCATTGTTACCGATTGTTGGGAAGAATTGGCTGCCTGAAAATGCCTTTTTTGATAAAATGGCCGTAAGGTTCATGATTTTTGAATAATTTTTGTATTTCTACCATACCATTTCATCCATTTCATTCAATAAAATAAATAAAAGAAATAAAAGAATTGACAGAATTGACAGAATTTGGGGTCCAGTTACGGTCCAGTCTAACGAGGTCCAGTTACGGTTCAGTCTAACGAGGTCCAGTTACGGTCCAGACCTCTTAAAAAGGTCCAGTTACGTCTCCCTACAAAGCAGGGGTGTAGCCAAGATTTCGTGACTTTCAGTCTAACGGCCGGACCTCCACGAGGCTACCCCCAATCAATCCGACCATGGAATTATATTTTTAATCAGGGCCGTTAGACTGAAAGTCACGAAATCCTGGCTACGCCTTTCCTACAAAGCTCCTCATAGCCTAGTGGTTAGAGTACCTGGGTTAGAGGACCTGGTAGAGGACCTGGGTCGACCCGCCTTACTGGTTCGATCCCGCTCGCAAGCAAAGTTTGAATGTTTTTTTTGCAAAATGATTGAAAATCTATTTTAGAACTTTCTTTGCGTTTGAAAACTCTAGAAAAAAACTCTAGAAACTCTAGAAAACTCACGGCAAGCAATTTTGGAAAGAATTGATCCATATAATCGGTTGAATAGAAATCAAATCCACATCGTCCTGTCGCGAACACATCGGGAATCTCGGCGAAATCTCCCCATGGGGTCACCGACTCGATCATTGCAAAGTTCATTGTGAATTTCTCTAAAATATGTAAAAGAATTGAATGTTTAGATCTAGATCACTGACTGTTTTGCACGTGGAATACATCTTGTGCAATCGTTCCAACCAATCTTGCCGCCAAACCGTCCACGTCTAAGACATCAGTCGCATAGTAGTAGCTTGTGTTCTTGAAAGAGTGCGATTTCCTGAATTTCATTCAAATTCCTGAATTCCATTCATTCAAACAAGTAAATCCTATTACATATCTCAACTTTCTAATCTAATAAATAACTTACGATGGATCAAAAAGCCATGGAGCCGGGTCGGGTTGTGCAGCGTTGATGTCAACGATCCATGTGTCACCCGATGAGACATCCATTCCACAGCCAAGGAACGTTTGTTGAGCTGAATTCTTTTGTTCTTTAGATTCTCAATTCACTCACGTGTTCCCATGTTGAAGATGACTTGTGGATTGAAGACTGGAGTGATCTTGCCGGCTCCTTTCCCCGTTCGCCAATTCGACATCTTTGTCGCTTTCGAGATCACTTTAGCGCTTGGGAACTGAATGCTTTGAATGAGATAAGATTTGAATAATTCTTTCAAAATCTCATTTATCTCCAAAACGAACTCTCATTTTCAATCTCAACCCATCTTGTTGCGAGTAAACGAAAGCCAAAACTGTGCACAAGAAGATGAGGGTTTTCATCCTGTAAAAGTAGACGATGATGAAAAGAAATTGATGTAAAAGTCGACTTTAAAAGAAATTGATGAAAAAGGATTGATAAAAAAGTATATTATAAAAGAAAAGAAAGAAAAAAAACTTTAAAGTTAGCAACGTTTTCAATGAAAGAAGCTTCAAAAGAATGAAAGAATCAATCTTTCACCAAAATGATGTCTTTTCTTTCAGCTATCAGCTCTCCATATAACCATTTCTCCAATCATAAAACCTTATCACTGAATTTCTTTCGAATTCTCATTTGCTTTTATGTTTTTTTGAGTGGAATCAAAGAACTAGGAGCGCCCTATTAAACACCCACACACTCTGATAACTGCTTCTGATTTCAAAGAGAAAAAAGCTTTAATGAGCTTTAATGTCTAATGGAAATAATCAAATTTAACTATGCTTACAAATCCGATTTCCGGTCATTTGATTAGAAAATAAGTTTCAGAGTGAAATGGATATGGAGTTCATTAAAAAAAAATTGCAGTTCATTCAAAGTACAAAGCTTATACCTAACGAGAGAACCAGAGCTACTTACCTCGGATCGGAGCCAAATTTTGTGGACTATTAGAAGAGATCTAGAATAGAATGTTTTGAAAAATTCAGCTGTAAAGCTTTAAATCTGATAAAGTTATCTTGTTTTTAATTTTCAATAGAAATTTTGATACTGGATTAGAAAAACGAGGGTAGAATTTGGTGCAGGGAGGACAAAGCCTCTCTTCGTCGCAGACAAAGCCTTGTTTAATTGGTGTAGTGGATAGAGAGTTGGTTTACAAAACTGATCGGCTTGCTTCTCCTCGAGTTCGACTCCTAGCAAAGTCAAGTTATTTATCTTTTTGAATTTTAGCATAAAAATGCTAATTTGCTTTGAAGCTTTGAAGATTCAAGGCCTTGATGGCAAGTTCCGAAGTTCCAGTTGTTTCCATCTTCCAGTTGTTCCAATGTTTTTCCAGATTCTCGTTTCCAGATTCCAGATTCCAGATTCTTGTTTCCAGATTCCAGATTCCAGATTCCAGATTCCAGATTCCAGATTCTGTTAAGTAACAACATTTATTCGCAAACAATCGTTTAAGTAAACGAATTTCAATCGCAGTTACACAATTTCCCAATTTCTACCATAAAAATAGCTCAGTTTTGTCTCATTTTTCACTTTAAAACACTACCCCAATACTCTTTTTAACTCTCAGAAGCCATTCTAAACTAATTTTTCCCCCCTAATTACTCTAAATCCCAGAATTTTCCAAATCTATTTCCATTTTTCATTCCCAAATCTTCTAATCTCTTTATCCAAGCGATCAGAGTTCTCAAAGCCGCACGGAAGGTTAGAAAAAATTTTTTCAATGATTTTGGAATCAAACTTTTAAAAGTCTATGAACAGGTGCTATGGGAAGCACCTGTTTTCTATGGAAAGCACAAAAAAAATGCTGAAATTTGGTGCAATTTCATTACTGTAACTTGGATTTGATTTCAAAAAAAGGAAAAGCAAATGAAAACTCGCTGAATTTCTCTGAATTTCTCTGAATTTTTGGTATTTCGGGCGAAGGTTGCTTTGAAAACTTGTAAATCAAATATTTCTTGTAAATAAAACTCGTAAATCAAACTGGTAAATCAAATATTTCTCGTGAATCAAACGTGTAAATCAAATACAAAACTGCTGCTTGCATAGTACATAGTCCGAATTATGGTTACTCTGAGATTTTTTAACAGATTTTCATTTTTCAATAGTACTTCTGATATTAGGTTGATGCATAAGTGTTTTTGTTCCTTTTCGTCTGCCGTTTCAAGCCAACAAATGCACCAATTAAACTACGGTTGATTTCATTAGAAAAACCAATTATTTTTCTGCAAAATAACATTAAAACGGGTTTAAAAATATTTAATGCCTGGATTTTCTTGAGAGTATGAAGTCGGGTAGTCAAAAAGGGCTAACTCGATGATGCGGTTTAGGCTCAGGCTCAGGCTCAGGCTCAGGCTAAGCCTCAGCCTAAGCCTGAGCCTGAGCCTGAGCGGTTTAGACACCTTAGCTAAAGAAAACCTATCTTCGTGTCAATAGATAAAAGATAGAGAGAAAAAAAAGTTTGATATTTCGCCAAAATTTCAGAGAAATTCATTGAGCCAATTTTTCCGTAGAGTTTTTTATAGATTTTTACGAAAAAGGCGTTTTTCATTCTCGAATTTGCTTGAAAGTGAACCGAAATTCATTTAAAAAGATGCAAATTCAACAAAAAAAACACTTTTTTTATAGAGCAAACTATAGATTAATTGGTGAATTTGTTACTTTTTAACAGAAGTACGAAAAAAACGAAAAGACTTTTGCATCAACCTAATACTTATTAATATCTCCAACAAAATTACCTTCCAAAAGTAACCTCTAGGCCTTTCTAGGCCCCTCTAGGCCAAAGTAAGCCTTTCTAAAGTTCTAAAAATCTTTTACTAATCCTTTGATTGGAAAACTTCTCGAAAAGGAACTTTCATTGAAGTGTGAACTAAACGGATAGCTTCTTCTTCCTTTCTTTCTGTCTTTCTATCTTTCTTTCTTTCTTTCTGTCTCCCTTCCTTCCTTTCTTTCTTTCTCTTCCCTTTCCGACCTCTTCACTTCACACAGATTGCGTCTTAACAAGATTTACCACTTTTTTTTTCCGCAATTTATCTCCCGACATTTCCACCATCCACTTTTTCTCTTGCAATCACTTATCTTACATCATTCATTCATTCATTCATTTAATCTCCACAACAATTCGACATTTACTTACACGTTTTTGCAATAACTCTTAATCTTTCAAATGAAAACAAATGCTGTCATTTCTATACTATTTACAGTTGTAGAACTGCTTCATTAGATTCAACAATAGATTCAACAATAGACTCAACAATAGATTCAATAATAGATTCAACAATAGATTCAACAATTGCTTCATTCTGTTTTATCGATCTTTCAAACTAAAAGTCTTTTCTTGAACAAGTGATCCTTTTTTTGATGGATTTTGATGAATTTTGATGAATTTTAATGGATTTTAATGGGTTTTAATGGGTTTTAATGGATTTTAATGGATTTTGATGGATTTTGATGGATTTTAATGGATTTTGCTTGCTTTTAAATGCCTTTTGCTTGCCTTTAAATGCCTTTTGTTTGTTTTAAAATGCCTTTTGCTTGCTTTTAAATGCCTTTTGCTCGTCTTTTCAACTAGATTTTTGTGTTCTCACTCGAAAATTCTTTCATCTCATTCATCTCATTCAAGTTGAATGAACTTTTCTCCGTTCAAATCAACAAAATCTCATTTTTGTAGACTTTTCAGAAAAGAAATAGCTTTATTGGTAGCTTTATTGATAGCTTTTAATGATTTTACCAAAAACTGTTAACAATAATGAGCAGAATGAGATTTTTGTTTAAAAATTCGACTTTTATATAGAGTTCGGCAAACAAAACCGAAACCAAAACAGATCAAAACAGATCAAAACCAAAACCAAAACACCAAAACACCAAAAGAAACCAAAACTTAATTTGCATATAAATTAACATGTAAATTTAAAATTGTGGAATGCAAATTTGCCTTTCACTTTTTCTCACTCCCCAAAATCTCGCGGCCGAAAAAAGGACCAAAACACGACCTCGAAATTTCGAAACAAAAAATAACCTATGAGATAGATTTTTGGACGCTGATTTCAAATCTGCAAACAGATTTTCGCTAGCTCCTCCCAATCGCGAGATTTGGTTAGTTTTGGTTTTGGTTTTGGTTTTGGTTTGGTTTTGGTTTGGTTTTGGTTTTGGTTTGGTTTGGTTTTGGTTTTGTTATGGTTTTGGTTTTGGTTTGGTTTGGTTTTGTTTTGGTTTTGGTTTTGGTTTGGTTTTGGTTTGGTTTTGGTCAAGTTTTGTTTTCCGAAGTCTACTTTTATACTCAAAGAATACAAAAACGAAGCTATTCAGTTTAACTAGTTTAGCTGGCCTTGATTGTCTTCAAAATAGCCAAACATAAACTCTACAAAATGCTAGTACTCTGTAAAACATTATCTAGAAGATTGCGGTAGGAAAAGTATCATAATTCTGACTACAGTAACTTGTTATCTCTTGACTAAAAGCTTTTTTACCTCAAGAAATCTTTCTTCACCTCAAGAAATCTTTCTTCAGTTCATTTAGAAGACAATCAAGGCTAATCGACTTAATTTCTGTTATTAAAATCTATATCTTTTCAATCTGAACACTAACCACAATCATTTTTATCTAAATTTAGCTTTTTTTCGTCAAAAACCGACAAAGTCGATCGATTTTTGAGAGATTTGAGGGATTTGGTTCTCCGTGCGCCTCTCCATCCGTCTTTTTCCCCTAATCCTTCAAGATATTCCAAGCAAAGTCGATTCTCATTTCATTCATTCACAAAAAGTCTTCTTTACAAAAAAAGAAGTCTTCTTTACATAGAAAGAAGTCTTCTTTACATAGAAAGATAACTTTTTCGTTAATCCTCTCGATCTCCACATTCAGTTGCCCGTTCGATTCACGTAAAATCGATAAAATCGATCGATAAACAATGTTTTATTTGTGTTGAATCTAATGGCTATCTAATGGTTTTGTCTATCTAACACTTTTTGCTTGCAATTCTTTCAAAACCGATTCCTTTTCTATTCCATTTCCTTTTCTATTCCTTTTCTATTCCTCTATTTCTATTCCTTCTATTCCTTCAACCATTTTCTCTAAATTTTCAACGCTTTCTTTAAAGTTTTCTCGGGAAATGTGTTTGATATCAATGATTCAAGGATTTCAAGGATTCAACAAGGATCTAATCGCAAAGACACGCAATCTTTACCCCTTTTTGAAACGAAAAGATGAGTTGTCTGGGTACAACTTTGGACACAAAATTTTAGAGTTGAAGATCAGGAACAGGAGCAAACAAGTGGAAGCTTTTATGAGCGAAATTTGAATACTTGTTGTATGCACTTTTGATCACAATCAGATGTTTTGAACATTTCAGCTAGGCCATTTTAGCTAGGCCATTTCAGCTAGGCTATTTCAGCCAGGCCATTTCAGCCAGACCATTTCAGCTAGGCCATTTCAGCCAGGCCATTTCAGCTAAGCCATTTTAGCCAGGCCATTTTAGCCAGGCCATTTTAGCCAGGCCATTTCAGCCATTTATCCAATACTCTAGTCAATCTTTAGCATTTTCTTTTTAGAAATTCCAATCACCTCCAATTTTTTGAACTCTTTTCCAATAAGAACTGCCAGAATCTGGAAGAGTTCAATAGTCTTGAAAACTTTAAATTATCTCTAAATGATCTAGTCTAAATGATCTAGTTCTAGTGAATTCTTGACTTTATCTGTGCTACGATCTACACTCTTGCTTCTACGATCTACACTCTTGCTTCTTCTTCTCTTTTCGCATTTATTTTGTATAAATTCGTGTATTAATCTTAAATCTAGCGCACTTTATTTCATGCCCTGAATAAAGTATCTATTTTAACCGATTAACTAAGGAAGGGGAAACATTTTGAGAGTGTTTGTGGTAGAAAGAGGGGCGGGGCCATTCCCAACCATTCCTCTTCCATCAATTCCTCTTCCTCTTCCATTCCTCTTCCTCTCTCTCTCTTCTCTCCAACTTTCTCCAACCCATTCCCATTCACAAAAACACCAACCTAAGCCCGGTTTCATCAGTTGCTAAATTTAGCAAAATTCAGTCAGATCTTGCTAAACAACTTATTGATTTAGCTAAACAGCCAATAGAATATCTTTCAAAAGTTGCAAAATTGTTTTTCTTTCATAGGCTTTCATAGGCTCATGCTTTTCTTTCTTTCTTTCTATATCCAAATGTCTTTTTATTAAACTCTAAACAAATCTAGATTCAAAATACTCAGAAAAAAACTTTCTAACAAAAGTGATAGGGTAAAATTAGAAGTCTAGAGCTAAAATTGACCTTTTATAAATACTAAATTGATCTTTTTTTTATGCGACCATGCCCTTTTTATCGATTCTTAACTTTTTTTAGTTAACTTTTAGTCTTAACTTTTAGTTAAACTTTAAATTAACATTCAACAGGATCTTGATTCAAGCTTTGCATCTTTTGCTAAGCGAATAGCTTCTTGTTCTGGCTGTGCTTGCTCTTGTTCTGGCTCTGCTTGCTCTTGTTCTTGTTCTTGTTCTTGTTCTGGTTCTTGTTCTTGTTCTTGTTCTTGTTCTTGTTCTGGTTCTTGTTCTTGTTCTGGTTCTTGCTCTTGTTCTTGTTCTTGTTCTTGTTCTAATTCTAGTCCTTGTTCTAGTTCTAGTTCTTGTTCTAGTTCTAGCTCTAGTCCTTGTTCTTGTTCTAGTTCTAGTTCTTCTTCTTGTTCTTCTTCTTGTTCTAGTTCTAGTTCTAGTCCTTGTTCTTGTTCTAGTTCTAGTTCTTGTTCTTGTTCTTCTTCTTGTTCTTCTTCTTGTTCTTCTTCTTGTTCTTCTTCTTGTTCTAGAACTTTCATTTTCGGATTTTGTTCTGTTATTGAAAGTTTGATCGTCGCGTGTTTTTCCGTTTTCAACTTTCAACTACTGAAATTGTTCGTGTCACTCTTTTATTTCCCTTGGGGATCTCTTCAACCTGATATAGCCTTGAGTAATCAAAGATTGCCATCGGGAAAAGGATCATTCAGATTGTTTCAGATTATAAAGATTCATAAATGATATGCTAATCAATCCTATGCCAGTTAGTAAGTGGGTTTTTCTTAAAAAGTAGTTAGACTTTGCTTTTGTACATACATCTCTTCAAAAATCTCTTCAAAAAAGTCTATTTTCAGTCTATTTCATGCCATTTTTCCTTTGCTTACTCACTTTTGCCCAAATTTCTTCCAATTTCTTCCAATTTTCACTCGATTTTCAATCTGAAAGCCGTTTAAACCAATTTGTGCGCAAGGAATTATTGTAAAGATTTTGGTCTTTCTTCTTTCCTTTTCTTCGACAAGTTTTGAATCATTGAAAACATGAACTTTCGTGTTAAAACTCCCCTTTTCTTCTTTGCAAATCTTTTGAGTGATTCTTTCCACTTGGCTGATTTCTTTTCTGTTCATCTTTTACTTGTCTTTTTGCTCTTTTTCTTGTCTTTTTCCTCTTTCTCTTGTCTTTTTCCTCTTTTTCCTCTTTTTCTTGTCTTTTTTTTGTTCAAGGAAGGAACGGAGGACATTCCCCTTTTCAAAGAATTCTCTTTTCTTCTCAATTCTCTCCAATCTTTTACTTCTACTTGCAGAATTGCCCCTCAATGAACAAAAAAAGAAGTTGTTTCCCTATCTCAACCAATTTGGTTCCCTATCTCTCTAAATTTGGTTCTCTATCTCAACAAATTTGGTTCCCCATCTCAAAAAATTTGGTTCCCCATCTCAACCAATTTGGTTCCCCATCCCCTCAACCAATTTAGTTCCCTATCTCAACCAATTTGGTTCCCCATCTCAAAAAATTTGGTTCCCCATCTCAACCAATTTGGTTCCCCATCCCCTCAACCAATTTAGTTCCCTATCTCAACCAATTTGGTTCCCCATCTCAACCAATTTGGTTCCCCATCTCAACCAATTTGGTTCCCCATCTCAACCAATTTGGTTCCCCTTCCCCTCAACCAATTTGGTTCCCCATCCCAACCAATTTGGTTCCCCATCTCCTCAACCAATTTGGTTCCTTATCTCTACAAATTTGGTTCCCCATCTCAACAAATTTCGTTCCCCATCTCAACCAATTTGGTTCCCTATATCTATTGAATTTGGTTCCCTATCTCTCTATCTCTATCTCGTGATCCAATGCTTTCAAAATCATTGTTCTCTATTTGCAGATCTCAAAATGAGTATTCAATGCCATCCGATTTGTAACCATCCATTACCACAATTCGGCACAGTGAGGATTAAAACCGAGTTCAATATGTGCGCTGGACCACCCGAATTCATTGTGAATGTTAGGGTGAGTTGGGAAATGCAAAGCTAATTCAAAAAAAGGCCTCAAAATCTCTAAAAACTCTAAAACTAACCATTCTTCAAGGAGAACTTCAAGGAGAACTTGACACTCGAAAAGTTTCCCACCAAAAAACTCCCCACTACGGTATCTAATGGGATTACTTTGCTTTGTTTACTTACAGAATTAGCCTTGCCAGGCAGGAGACTTTCGGTGTCTTTTTGAGTTTTTTAAAGGTGAAAAGAAAGGTGTGAATGTATAGAAAAGAGATCGTTGAAGAGAATATCAAGAGACACTAATTGAAGTGATTGAAAAGAGGGAAAGGCAAGGGGGATCAGCGGGAAGTCTCTTAACAAAATTTCGGAGTGATATTTGGGGAAAAGATCTGGATGGATGAATAGCAAATATTAGCAAGAACCAAAAACCTATATTACTTAGTAAATAAGCAGATACTTTTATACTGTACAGCTCCACTTAACCATCTGCTTGCTTAACAAATTTTTGGGAGACATTTTTGGCTTAACTGCCTCTATGCTTGTAGGGAATTTGATCCTCTACAAGTCCTTGTAGAGGGCTTGTAGAGGATTTCTTTGACGTTACGGTTAACTAAAGTGATATCCAGATTCGTTTAGCGAAAATTAAGCAATTCTGATGCACTAGAAAGCTTGGATTGCTCCAGGATTTGCTCCTGGATTGCTCCAGGATTTGCTTCTGGATTGCTCCAGGCTTGTAATCTATTATTAGGTTGGTGCAAAAGAAATTTCGGTCGATATAAAATGTTCTTATTTTTTTAATCTGAAGAGCTTATTTGATGTTCTTTTGTGCATTTGTACTCTTGGATATTTACTTTATTTTCGCATTTTTTCAAAGTCAGAGTTTTCACTTTTTAATTGATTTTTGCTTTAGATCATGGTGGATCAAAAGTATGTTCTGCGCACGTGTCTTCTCTATGACTTCAAAATGGGCAAAAACGCTGCTGATTCACATCGTGATCTCTGTTCCGCCTTTGGAGAACAGGTTATCACCGAAAGATCATGCCAGCTCTGGTTTGCCCAATTCCGAGATGGTAATGAATCCCTTGAAGACGAATCGCATGGACATCGTGCCACAGCCATCGACAACAATGAATTGGAACAATTAATTGAAGCTGATCCAATGCAAACAACACGAGAACTTGCCAAACATCTCCAATGTGATCATTCAACAATTGTACGCCATTTGGAAATAGTTGGAAAGACAAATCGTAATGGACAATGGGTTCCACATCAATTGAGTGTTGAGAATCTGGGAGCACGCGTTTCGATCAGCCATATCTTGCTCCATAAGTCGAAAAGAAGCCATTTTTTTGAGAATATCTTGACGATGGATGAGAAGTGGATTCACTTTGATAATACTTCCAAAAAAGGCAATGGCTGAGCAAAGGTCAAGCGCCAATTCCAACTCCAAAGCCGGATTATCATGGGCGCAAAGTGATGTTGTCTTGCTGGTGGAATATCAATGGACTTGTTCATTTTGAATTATTAGAGCCCGGAAAAACAGTCGATTCATCTTATTTTATTCAACAACTCAAGAAGGTTGACGAAATTTTGCGGAAAAAGGCCTAAATCCCTCAACTATCAACTTTCTCCGTGATAATGCTCCAGCTCACACGGCAAAAACCTCTTGTAAGGAACTAGAGAAGCTAGGATGGAAGGTCTTACCACATGCGCCGTATAGTCCAGACTTAGCACCCTCCGATTTTCACCTTTTCAGATCGATGCAACATTCCCTTGAGAATTGCCAGTTTAAGAATGCAAAAGAAGTCGAAAATTGGGTGACCAACTACTTTGCATCACAGAATCAAGCGTTCTTTGAGAAGGGGATCCGCAATCTGTAGCAACGTTGGAGGGATGTCATAGATAATAATGGTGCTTATTGTTTTAAATAAATTGTTATCAAAAAAAATTTTGGATGACTTTAATGTTTGTAAAAAAACGAAATTTCATTTGCACCAACCTAGTAGGTTTCCCTCATAAAAACCCAAAGATTTTTGTTTTGATCAGTGAGTACTCATCAGTGATCAGTGAGCTCGCAAAACAGCGTTTTATATTTTTCTTTTTCTCTTTTTTATGCTAAAACTTTCTTCTTTCTTGCACTAGCTTTTATTTTTTAGCGATCGACAAGGGAAAAGTTGCAGTTGAATAAAGCCAACTCGAGAAGAATTGGTTGAATGAAGCCAACTCGAGAAGAGTTGCTTGAATGAAGCCAACTCGAGAAGAATTGGTTGAATGAAGCCAACTCGAGAAGAGTTGCAGTTGAATGAAGCCAACTCGAGAAGAGTTGCTTGAATGAAGCCAACTCGAGAAGAATTGCTTGAATGATGCCAACTCGAGAAGAATTGCTTGAATGATGCCAACTCGAGAAGAATTGCTTAATTGCTTCAACGATTTTCAAGAGAGATTTCAGCAGCCAAAGCAGCACGAGAAATCAATCAATTTTATGGGAACAGTATCGTTGGAACGTGTACTGCACAGGAATGGGTACTGCACGAGTACTCACAAATTCAAGACGAGCAACAAGAGGATCAAACGGAAGAGGAGACGCGGCAGACCCCGGAAAGTGGATCGATCTAAGGTATCGACTCTTGTGAAACCCCGATGGATCAATCAAATTGACTGAACGTTACTGTGAACGAATGACTGTGGCGATGGCTGCGAAAAGTGGAAAGAAATTGGAGAAAACAACGTCAAATCTCATACGAAATGTCGGAAACAGTCCAAACAAAAATAAAGCGGACATGCCACCACTTGGAAACGAATACCAGCTGGCTTCCTGGTTGACTTCCTCTTTCGAACATCATCACTCAGATTTTCTATGATGCTCGAGTGTTACAACGGGATTGAAGAAAGGGTAAGTAGGGAAAACGGTGCTAAAACGGAACATCAACGGAAAGAAGCGAATGTTGTGTCTACTAGTGTTCGATAGGCGTTCTTTTCTAGGAACTTCTCACCAATGTTTATCTACATCAAATATCCTCATCATTTCCTCTTTTTCTTGTCTAGAAAAAGTGGAACGAAAAGTCGCGAGGTTGCTTTATGGAAACAAATGGAACAACTCCGTTTTCATTCTTCAGAAATCTCCCACAAATCAAAAAGATCGATCGATTTTGTGAAGAATAATCTACATTGGATCATTGGAATCTAGATTGGAAAATCCTTCCTCATCTATTCTCTGAATGTTGTCCCTTCTTGTCACTTATCCTTGTCGCTAAAGGATTTCTTACATGGTTCAAAGATGAGAGCGAACTCGAGGATGGATTGAACGCCGATTTTCTCACGCTCGCTTGGGTTTTACAAACGAGGGATTGTCTTTGGACAACGAGGGATGGACAGCTTTCCTGTCTTAACTTTTCTGCAACTCTCCTTTTACTCGTTCCTTTTTTGCAATCTTTATCTTCTCTGAAAGATCTTCTCTTTTTTTGCATTGCAAGAATTGGGGTCATTGGGGAATTGGCGGCAATTAACGGGTTGCGCAAAAAAATAAAAGGAAAAGGGATTTTCTAGATAGATCGCAAGGACACATTTCCTTCATATAATCAAAAAAGAAAATATAGGAGATTGGAGAATAAGAATATTATTAAGGTAATCAGAATCAGGCTCTGAACTACAGGCACTACTCTGTACTGGTCTAGGTTAGAGTTAGATCCAGGCAAAGTTAGAGTTAGATCCAGGCAAAACTTGAGCACGGAACAAGCTCATTTTGCTTCTGGCTTTCAGAACAAGCTCATTTCGCATCTTGGCTTGAACTCTTGATAGTTGGAGATACTCTAGCTAGGCGGGGAGCTAGGCGGGGATACTGTAGCTAAAGTTTAATAGAAGCCAAGAGAGATCAAAAGTTGAAGATCAGATTCTGAAGATTCTGAAGCTTTTCCCAGACTTTGATCTTTAGTAACTGGTACGAAACTAGTAACTTTTCCGGATTCTCTTCAATTCATGAATCTATCCATCTTTTCCTCTTCTTTTGATCAATCATTTGACCTCCTATACTTGAAAAATGATGAATACTTTATGAGTGAACACAAAAGAGAAAAGAAGGGACATTGATCGAATGACAGATGGAAAAGAGGGGAAACGATGAGGAAAAGATGGAGAAAACCCGGAAATCCCTTTGATCTTTTAGAATGCAACTCTTCAACGATGTTTCCCGCAAAAAAACCCATTTCATTTATCATTGGGATTTAGTTGGAGTGCATGTTTTAAAAAGCTTTACAGGGATTAGTCAAGAAAAAGCTAGGTTTAGGTTTACAGATGACAGATACAGATGAAAGTATCAGGTTTTTGAGATAAAAGTAGGTTGGCAGGGGATTTTAAGGGTTTAAGAGGACTTGAGCAGTTGAAATCAACACTTACTAGCTTTTTCTAAGACTAAAGTCGATCTTGAAGCCATCCGTTCAGCCCATTCCCTACTAGAGACCCAATCCAGGCCATCCGTTCAGCCCATTCCCTACTAGAGACCCAATCCAGGCCATCCGTTCAGCCCATTCCCTACTAGAGACCCAATCCAGCCCACCCGTTCAGCCCATTCCCTTCTAGAGACTCAATCCAGGCCATCCGTTCAGCCATTCCCTTCTAGAGACCCAATCCAGGCCATCCGTTCAGCCATTCCCTTCTAGAGGCCCAATCCAGGCCATCCGTTCAGCCATTCCCTTCTAGAGACCCAATCCAGAGCCGGGTTGGGTTTGTCTTCATAACTTTTTTTCCAATAGAAGGACTTTGCAAAACTCAAGTATTTTTATACTATCTGGATATCATTATAGAAAAGTTATTAAGTAGATTTTTACATGCTACGAAAGAATTTTCCCTTCCGTCGTACTTGATGTGCAGCCCCACTCCTCCTTGAGCCCATTGTCCCCTTCTCAATTTGGGTCCTTTCCCCTTTTCTTTCTCCTTGTCTTTCCCCTTTTCTTTCCCCTTTTCTTTCCCCCATTGTACCCACTTTTATCCCATTCTTGAATGTAAAGTGGAATCGAAACCCTTCACACAAATCATTCAAGAAATCTCTCCCTGATGAAGTGCCTTATGACAGCTAAATAAGGACATTGTTTGGTGAAAAGAAAAGAATGATTAAGGAAGAATTTTAGAGAAAATCAATGAGAGTTTTTCAGAAAAAAGAAAGTAAAGAAAAGTTTAGAAAAGATTTTAGCATGATGTTCCTTCAACTTCAACCTTCAAGGCTCAAGTAAATGGCGTGCAAGAGGTTCGACGTATTGGTAAGTGGGGGAAATTCCAAGCCAACCCTAATTCCAAGCCTTTCACCTTTCTCTTCTGCTTTGTCTACAAATTTAAATCAACATTTTCAGCTTGTAAACAAAATTTCAGAAGAAAAATTTCTTTCAGAAAAGTTTTAACATCATTTTAGTTCTGTCAGTTCGACCAAAACAGTTTAATTTCATTTTTAATATATTAAGTTATCTTTAAACCCTATTTTTAAATTAAAGAAAAGCTTTTCTTAACAATTTTTAATAGAAAAAAACCCAAATGACAGATTCAAGAGCGCTCATTCAAGCGAGAGACTAGCGCTCATTCAATCGCTTGTAAAATGAGTTGTATAAGTCTAATCAAGTAGTTTTTGATAGAGAAATGTAGCCAAGATTCAGCGCTACAATTCTCTATATAATACTTAATACTTTTGAATGAAATTAGATATTAGATGATTAGATGAAAATTTCACAGCTAGTTTTTCAAAAAGTTGCCGCATAGTGATGCTTATTTGGTCTTTAAAGAAGCTATTTGGCCTTTAAAGAGGCTATTTCAGAATTTCTTATTAATCAAAGCATAATCCACTCAATAACTTTACAATAAATCGTCTTTACTTCTCATTTTCAGGTACCGAGCACTGGCCATTGAATCTGGATGTGGATTTCCATCGAATCATTTCTCCCACATCCGATGAGTACTTTTTGCGGGTGGGTGGATTCCCTTGGATTCCCTTTTCATTCCCTTTTCATCTTTCGAATGCAACAAGTGATCGTAAAAGCAAATGAAATCTTATTTCACTTCCTCTTTCTCATAGAGAGAGAGAGTCATAATGAGGTGATTATTTGACCCATAAACGAGTGCAAATTCACCTCTTCTTCATTCATCTTCATTCTTCATTTTCCTGGAAAGATTGGTGAAGAGAAAAAGTTCTTAATCTATGCTCATTTGGGGATTTGAAAGGGTTTTTCTTGATTTAAAAATGACCAGAACTGTAGTTTTCAAGTAAAAAACTACAATTTTCAAGTAAAAACTGTAGTTTTCAAGTAAAAACTGCAGTTTTCAAGTAAAAACTGTAGTTTTCAAGTAAAGAAACTGCAGTTTTCACCATTAACTACAATTTTCAAGCAAAAACGATTCCAGGCTTGCATTGAAACGGTGAGAATCGGTGACAGAGAGTGCTTCATCAATGAAACATTTCGAGCAGCAGATATTCAAGATTGTTCAGGGTCAAGACGTGAGTTTTGTATGTAATCAAATGAAATGAATGTAATCAAATGAATGTAATGAATGAAATGAATCAAATGAATGTAATGAATGTAATCAAATGAATCAAATGAAATGAATCAAATGAGTTTGGGGTGCGACCCGCTTTAACCTTATCAACGAGGATGATTCTGCTTAAGAATGGCCGAATAGCACAAAAGGTTAAAAAGGGTTTCCCCAAAAGCGCTTATAACGTAACAAGAACACTTAGTATCCAACAATAGATTAATACTCTTGAGAAGAGTACGGATCAGATTGGTACTACGTCGATGGTGACACAAATGTTAGTAAAACCAGTTATCTAAACAGGATTTAAAACCTGAAGGGTAGCATAAAGCAAAGTGAATTTATAACGTTACTGTTTATTAGTACAGAACCGAAATGCAACAATACCCATTACAAAAACAGCATGCGCATCAAAAATGAAACAAAAAAGTCACCCAAGAGGGAAGGGAGAAAAAGGACGAAAAATGCGACGCAAATAATTGCAAAATAGAAACGCAAATAGGAAGGAAACGGACGCGATCAATGAAATGAAAACTAGAAAGCTCTAAAAGCTCTAGAAAGCTCTGTTCTGAGCTTGAAATTGTTGAAATATTCTGAGCTAGAAAGCTTTACAATGTTCTTACAATGCTTTACAATGTTCTGAGCCTCAATAACTCCCCCTTTCAGCCTCATCAATTCCATTGGTTGTCTCCGGTGGACTTGTCTGTATTTTCTTCGTCTCCGCCTTGATCCTCTTATCCGTTCTCATTCATCGTCTCTATAAACGAGTCACAAAACAATCCGATGACAGATTTTCGAGTAACAAGAGCGGATCAATGCGTAAACAGGTTAGAGAATTGATTTCTTTTTTCCAACTTGCTTCCTATCTACAGCTAAGCTAAGCTGTAGATATGAATTACTATAAACTACAAAAAAGAACTATTAGATTAAAAATGCTTCTAACTTGCTTTAAATCTGCTGGATTAACATGATCTATAGCTCAAAAAATAGAGAATTTCAAGAGCTTTTGAATGGACTAAAGAACATCAAAAAGTATCAATTCTAAAGGAAATTACAGTGGTTCAAAGGGGAACAGACCGTACTCACGCGTAGTCAAGCTATAAACTACTGTAACTTTGTTTAGAATCAATATTTTTAAACGTGATTTAGCTCATTTAAAAGCTCTTGAAATTCTCTATTTTTTTGAGCTATAGTTCATGTCAATCCGGCAGATTTAAAGCAAGTTAGAAGCGTTTGTAGTTCACGTTTGTAGTTTGTAGTATGGCTGGCTTCTGTCTAGCTAGCTGCTCAGTCAGAAATCGATTCAGAAACACACTCTTTCTAGCATGCAACTGGCCTACCTCTAACCTCAATCAAAAATCATTTTCAGCAAGCAAACTCTCAACTTCTTCCCTCATATCAAAGCGGGAAATTGTCGATAGAAGACGATCGTTTGACGGTGATTGCAGAAGAAGGAGAAGATGGAGAAGAAACGGAGAATAAAGGAGGGTTCACAGCCATTCATAACACTCTACACAATGATCCATCAATGATCGATGTGAGTTTTGAGGCTTTCTTTTGGCCCGCATAGTATCGTTGACTCTAAAAGAAACTCTTCAGAAGTCATGGATGCCATTGATGTGCTCACCGAGAAGAGATTCCTCATCAAGTGGATTCAGTGAGCCAACCGATGGAGAATGTGAGATTTTCGATTTATAATATCTATTTTAGCTCTATTAGATCTGTTTTAGCTCTATTAGATCTATTTTAGAGCTATTAGATCTGTTTTAGCTCTATTAGATCTGTTTTAGCTCTATTAGATCTGTTTTAGTTCTATTAGATCTGTTTTAGTTCTATTAGATCTGTTCTAGCTCTATTAGATCTATTTTAGCTCTATTAGATCTATTTTATCAGAACGATACCCTTTATATTTTTGTGCCCGAAATCAGAACGATACCCTTTCTGCCTTAATTCTACGCCATCAGTGTGCCAGAAAGGGAAGCACAAGGAATCGAATTAATCCTTTGATTTCAGTGGTGATCCCCCCTCTGCTCCCTCCATCGATCCGTTCTCTTTCTTCAAATCCCTCCTCACTCATCGTCTCCATTCAATCATCAAACCAATCCCGAATCCCCTTTCAAACATTTCGTCCTTTAGCCAACCACGTTTAACTCAGCCCTCAAAAAATCGATAATTTAAACTAGATTTTGAACTTTTCTTTGTTGCTCACTCATTTTGTTTGTGCTTCTCTTTGATCTCGTTTTTCCAACCGGTAACATTTCAATTCCATTTTACTTTTTTTTTTCATTTACGAATTCGGGTTCTTTAGATGTTTTAGTTACCATTGACTTATAAAGTAATAAATTGATTTGAAATGAAAAGAAAGGCACAAGAAAGAAAAGGCGGCTGTACACACGTTTCAATGCGTCGTCTAGAGACATATTTTTGGTATCATTGGATGCGCCAAGTCTTTCTCTGTCAATTGGTATAAAAACTATTCAAATTGGACAGTTGAACACCGAGAAATTTGAGCTCAAAGCTGGATTGCCAGTGGGCGTGGTGCGTATAAAAGATCTTTCTAGCCCCGCCCCTTTTCCAATGCAACTTTGAACTCAAATATATTCCAACCTTGAGTATATTACTGTAGCTGCTCTAGAGATTACTGTAGCTGATCTAGAGATTACTGTAGCTTCTCTAGAGATTACTGTAGCTGCTCTAGAGGTTACTGTAGCTGTTCAGCTGTCTAATTTGAATAGTTTTTATATCAATCGATAGAGAAAGACTTTGCGCATCCAATGATACCAAAAATATTTAAATTGGACAGCTCAAAGCCAAGAAATTTGAGTTCAAAGTTGGACAATGGCAAAGGGGGGTGGGGCCACAATCTGCAGAAGAATTGGAGAAAGATGCAATGAAAAAAATGAAAGAATTTTAAATATTCATGCCCGAATTTTAAGATCTCATCAAGAAAGTGAAAAAAGAGTGAGAAATGATAGAGAAAACATTGCAGAGTCTTTTGCAGAATTGCAGAAAGAAGTTGATCGACGATTCCCCAATATGGAATCCCCACAATTCCGACAATTCCCCAAGAAAATTTGCCGATTTGTCTATCATAATATTGAGATGCCAAAGTACCGTAAAGTTTGAGCTTTGAACAATTTCCATTCATTTTTCAGTAGCAGTTGAGTAGTTCAATATTATGATAGTTTTTTGTCGTCCAAAGCCAATTCAAAGCGATTTCTTGAACTTTCAACGAAATCAGGGAATGATTCGGGGGATTTGACGACAAAATGGGTCGACAAAGGACGACAAACAAGGGATATGCCATTCTGGAGCTTCATCGTCAAGGTCAATGCGTGAGTGCGATCGCGCGATTGCTACGTGTTTCTCATCAGCTCGTCTCAAAAGCGATTAAGCGATACAAGGAGCTTGGCAATGATGGAGATCGTCCAGGAAGAGGCAGAAAAAGAACAGTCAACACCTCCAGAAATCGCAAAGTGATTCAGAAGCGCGTGATTTTGACGACACCATTGCCAGATTATCACACCGACTTTCAGGTTTGTCCCAAGAATCACAGTTGTTCTTGGAGTTTACTTTGTGCTAACTTTGTCAGTGCTAACTTTGCCACAAAGTCCTCACTTTGTCAGTGCGTAAACACATCTTTTCTGGTGAACTCACCGTATTGTAGACTTTGAAAAGGTAACTTTGTCTAATCTGACTTCTGAATACCCAATTTTGGATCCATCGAAACAATCACGCAAAAGAGTGACAAGTACAGCGAGAAGCAAGCGCGGATAGCCGAGTTCCGACAGCTGAATCAGCGGCTTTGTAAAGAGGTAGTTTTTGAGGCACTGGTACTATTATTCCGAGTTACAGACAAATTTTCATGTAAGGTCTGTGTAGTTCTAATGTACGTGGCCAAAAATTTGAGCTTATCTGCTTTGAAGCTTATCTGCTTTGAAATAGAATCGGGTGTTATAATGTGGAATTTATTCACCGTATTGTAGACTTTATCTTGCATCTCACTGTTTTCATAAACCTAAAGAATCCAAAGTATCGTAAAATTTGAGCTTTGAACAATTTTTAATAGAGAAAAGCAGCCAAATGACAGATTCGCCGGGGAGCGGCCGAGCTCATTCAAGAGCTTGTAAAATAAGTTGTATAATTCCAATCAAAAAGTTCTTTGCAGATAAATAATGCCAAGATTCGGGGCTTTATTTTTCTATACAACACTTGGCACTTTGATAATAAGTCAGGCGTTTGCCAGCCCCCAAAACTATCTATTTCTATTATGAAAGTAAGCCAGAACAAAATTCTTCAGCTGCTTATTCTTTAGCTGCTTATTCTTCAGCTGCTTATTCTTTAACAGCTTATAAAAATGCTTATAAGAATGGCATTATTTATGAGATCGAAATTGTGAGAGTATGAGAGTTTTACTTAAAATTTCTCCTACCTTTCCCAATAAAAATTAGCAAAAACCATTTCTTCAGGTTACAAAACGTTCAGATTCTTGCAATTTTTGTTCTAAAGATTATTCTGTACTCGATTTTGTGCTAAACAAAATAAACTCAATAAACATTTATACAAAAACATCAAGAATTACTTTGTCTTAGCAAGAATTACTTTGTACTCAAAAGAATTAGCAAGAAAAAAAGGCTTTGGTCAAGAAAAATGAGAACCCGTTGTATAAAATTATGGAAATCGATGAAATCACGAATTTTGGTCGATTTGAGAGGGATTTGGTCGATCTTTCGTCGATTCACTCGCATAACCGGCATCACTTTGTGAAGAACCGGATAAGGGACGTTTTTGCTCTTTCCTGAAATTGAATGAGTTGAATAGGATTGAACAAGATTGAATAAGAGTTGAATAAGCTTAGATTTATCCGAAATTGTAAGCTCATTCATTGTAAGCTGTAAGCTTTTGGTATATTTTATATTTTATAAGGAAATTGTAAGCTCATTCTCCTATCTAACTACCGAATTTTCACTTGTTTCTCTTAATCAATCAATTTCCTCAATCAATTTCCTCAATCAATACAATCAATACAATCAATTCCCTTACATGAAAGTCGTTCTCGCTTTTCGGATACTTTTGATGAGTTGTTGCTTGAGAAGTGGTTGACAGCAAGCAATTCGATACATTTGACCGTCTTGTAGAGCCGACTGAATTCAAATACTTGCCTTGCCTTTTCGTTTGCCTTTTCCCCAAACCTCTAAACTTTTGGCCGGGTTTTGATCAATGAGATGCACAAGAGTCAACAATCCATCATTCATCGCGATTCCATTTCCATCTTTTTGTCTTTGTTCAACAATTTCCACTTCGACAACAGGCAGAACACGGGATTGTTTGATCTGAAAATTGAAAAGTTATAGTTTTGATGCAGTTCTTCTAAGACTTCTACATTACAAGTTCTTCTAAGACTAAAGAGCTAAAAATCATGCTTTACAAGTTCTTGTAAAGGATCAAAACTTAGAGTTAGACTTTCTTTTCCCCATTTCTCACCTTTGAATTCACTTTTGGCACACTTGGCAACAAGAGAATCAATGAGGAGAAGACGAAAATCACGTATTCCTGGAATTTGGCTTTAAAGCTGAACAAAACTCGGGCTAAAGCTCAAGCTAAAGCTCGGGCTAAAGCTCAGGCTAAAGCTCGGGCTAAAGCTGGGCTAAAGCTGGGCTAAAGCTGGACTAAAGCTGGGCTAAAGCTCGGACTAAAGCTCGGTTTAAAGCTGAACAAAGCTCGGGCTAAAGCTCAAGCTAAAGCTCGGGCTAAAGCTCGGACTAAAGCTCAGGCTAAAGCTCGGGCTAAAGCTGAACAAAGCTCGGGCTAAAGCTCAGGCTAAAGCTCAAGCTAAAGCTCGGGCTAAAGCTCAGGCTAAAGCTCGGTTTCAAGCTTTTCAAGTCAATAGTTTCATTCTTTATCCAATTTTCCCAACCTGTGACCCTTTTGGATCGGAATTCAGCCAACGAATATGGGCAAAGATCAACAAATCCCTCACATCGATTCGAAGACTCTAGAGAGTGTTTTTAAAGGGATTTCCCAAGTGAAAAACCTTTTCTTTCAATTGATCTCCTTGTGTTTTTCTGATTTGATCAATTTGTTGACTGAATTGCTCGTGAATCCTTTGCATTTCATTCACATATTCGGCTAATGTCTGCATCTTTTGCAGAGCTGTCTCTACCTGGAATCCAATTGATTAAAGCTGCAAAAATGGTAAAAATCTAGTAGCTACATCTAGTAGCAAAATCTAGTGGCAAGAATTCTTATCTTTCACAATACCTGTCTTGCTTCCAAACTTGCTCGCTCACAACCGGCAGCCACTGTTCGCAAGAGGAGTGGATATTGAACGACTCGTTGAACGGGTTTAATCATTCGAGATTCCCATGAGCAATGCTGAGCTTTGGTAGAATTTGCTGCCTAAATCTCTCTATTCTAAACTTTTTCAATCATTCACCACCTCCAATTCAGCCAGAATATCTTTTCTTGTCGAGAGCTCTTGCTGTAAACGAAGATAGGCAGCTGCGTACTCGGCGTAGATCTAGAATTAATTTATTTTAACAAATTATCTGTCCAATTTACATGATTTTTAGCTCTTTAGTCTTAGAATTCTATATAGATATGCATCTAATAGTTCGTTTTTTTAAAAAGCAAAAGATGTGACAGAGCCGGGAGTCGAACCCGGATCTTGCGGCTTGCAGACCCGCGTGCTACCGACTGCGCCACCGTGATGCCAGGAGGCCCTCACTGAAAATAGGCTATGCTTCGTCTTTTCAGGAAAGAGTCATTTTTAATTAACTAATTAAATTTCTCGGCGGAGCCATAACCTAATTTCAGTCGCGTTGCCGTGTCACCACCGTGGCGCAGCCGGGAGAGCCCCTGTCTACAAGCCACACGATCCCGGTTCGACCCCCACAGCCCGAAATTTTCTCATTTCTTTTTTAAAAAATGTTATAACCTTTTGTAGAGTTGAGCAAATTTTATGATTTTTGCATCAAAATGTTCGTAAGAGTCTTTAGAATAAAAGTTATCCCTTCGTTTTTGGTTCTAGACCCTCGTTGTCGAGTTACGAGCCCCAAACTGCAGGGTACCACAAAATTTCCCATACAAAAATGACCAAAAAACCGCTAAAACTAAATTTTAAAAATTTCTGTCAGAGGGATTTGAAAAATTCCTGCAGATTCGGAATCAGCACAATTTTCTGCATCTAAAAAAGGTACTCCCAGAAAAATCCTATAGAAAACGCATTTTTGCCTTATTTCGCGCCGATGTGCCCCCCGTAGTGCGACTCAGTGACGCCGTCACTCCCAAAGCATCCAGCGAAGCCCCAAAACATCCAGCAAGGCCCCAAAACATCCAGCGAGGTCCCAAAACATCCAGCGAGGCCCCAAGACCAAATCCCAAAACATCCGCCGGTATAATATTGCTATTATTGAAAGCCCAGCTAACCTTGAAATCGGAGCATCGATTCACAAAAAGAGCGCACACTCGGATCACTGCATCCTGAAAGGAAAGCTGAATTTTGAGCTTACAAATATACGGATAAAGCGCTAAGAATTAAGTAGAATTACTTAGAATAGAATTAAGTCCACCAGACAGGCTCTATTTGCAATCTCAACTCAAATCCCCATTCCCACTCACTCTGACTTGTTCCTTTGTGGCATTTTCCTTCTCCGCATCTCCAATCGCCTCTTCAAGACTTTCCAGGAAACTCTCCTGAAATGGGAAGCTTAATTTCCTTTCTTTTTATTGTACCTGTATCTTTTCCAATCTCAATGCAGATTCCATTGTGTCTCGAACGGATCGAATACTCAAATATCCATCAACCATCTAAATGTCGACTTCTTTCTTTCTCCTTTTCCTCCTTCTTCTCACCTGTTTCAATTCATCGACATATCTCCTTTCAGTTATCAGCAATTCTTGCAATCCTTTATGCAATCTTTCTTCTAATTTCATTCTTGTTGATGGCAATGGAGCGGGTAATGATGGAGATCGGGGAGTGGTTGATTGGGATGAATTATTCTAAAGGACAACTTTGATTACATTAATCTTGCATCCACTATTTTAAGTCTTACATCCACTATTCAATTACAGTAATCATTAGCGTATATTTCCAAATAACCTGGACTTGTTGTGTTTGAAATTCGCCAGCCAATTGCCTTCTCTTTAATCGAATCCGTCGCCCTTCTCTCAACAATTGCTCAACTTCTGCCGCACTGCCGGCCTAGAAAGCTTTTGTAAGTGAAGTTTTAAGGATTTTTACTGGAAAACTGGAGCAAGCTTTTGCTGGAAATTAAGCTTTTGCTGGAAACTAAAATCCACCTTTTCAATTGGAATCCCATCAACAGCGATCACCCAATCACCCACAGATGGGCCTCCTGGACAAAATGAGGCCACTCCCCGGACCTGAATCACTTTTCAGTTAAGAAAATCTTTTTCTATTTGCTTTTTAATGTTATCTTGTAGCCGATTTCCCTTAAAATGATCAAAACAAACTAATTTGAATAATAAAATGGGTTTGACTCGCGGCTGTGTTGTGACTTTTGCTTTTTAAAAAACGAAATATGAGATGCACAACTGCTGAGAGTTCTAAGCCTAACAAACTAAAAATCTTGTAAATCGGCTCACGGAGAGCTGAGAACTCGCGCGTACAGACAGACGGATGGACGGACAGACACTTCTTTTCTATATATGTTAGGTCCTATCTAGAATCAAGCCGATCACTCTAAATCTAAGTCTGGATCGGATTTAGAGTGATCGGCTTGATTCTAGATCGAAGGTTTTTGATCAACTCCACGTTTTTGACCTGAGCTAGATCGACCGTCCGATCTAGAATCAATCTAGATCGGACGTAACATATATATCAAATCCTTCAAAATGCCCACCTCAGCCCGAATCGCTCCTTGATCCGTGTGAGCGTAAATGGTCAACCCAAGTCGACCGTTTTTCTTCTCCACCTATAATTTTGAACTTTAATTCGATTTCCTCATTTGCCACTCACCTCATATTCTTGTCTCAGTCTCATTTTCCATCCAGTTGATCCATTCTCTTTTGAGTATTTCGTCAAATCGAAGAGATTTGATTGAACACTCAACTTTTGACAAGCCTAAACAAAATTTAAACGATTTCTTAGCAACTTGAATTACTTTTATCAATAGTTGATCCGGATTCTCATTATCGTGAGTGATCATTGTCGTTTTTCCGTTCGGGAGAACGATTGGGATCATCTGAAACTCGTTTCTGACTTATTTTATGAACATTTAAACTCTACCTTAACATTGCTCGTTGACGGGGCACAATTGAGAAGAAGTTCAGCGGTTGAAGTGATCATTTCATTCAATGGCTGATCTCCATTTGGAGGACTCGCCATTACAACAGCGTTTGCCTGAAGATCTTGAATCAAAAGGGAAATGAATCAAGGAAAATGAATAGTCTAGTAGGTTGTGTGCAAGCAATTAACTAGTACTGTTTGTCAGTGGGTAGGTTAGTGATTTTGGAAACGGATGAGCAAACAATTTTGGTTGATTGTGGGACATTTGATTGGCCCCACCCCCCTTTGCCATTGTCCAACTTTGAACTCCAATTTCTTGGCTTTGAGCTATCCAATTTAAATATTTTTGGTATCATTAGATTTGCCAAGTCTTTCTCTATCGATTGGTATAAAAACTATTCAAATTGGACAGTTGAACACCGAGAAATTTGAGTTCAAAGTTGGATTGCCAGTGGTAAAGGGGGCCGGGCCAGAAAGACCTTTTATACGCGCCCCGCCCCTTTGCCATTGCAACTTTGAGCTCAAATATCTCGGTATTCAAATTGCACAGTTGAACACCGAGATATTTGAGTTCAAAGTTGGATTGCCAGTGGCAAAGGGGGCCGGGCCAGAAAGGCCTTATATACGCGCCCCGCCCCTTTGCCATTGCAACTTTGAACTCAAATTTCTCGGTGTTAAACTGTCCAATTTGAATATTTCTTATACCAATCGATAGAGAAAGACTTGGCGCATCCAATGATACCAAAATATTTAGATTGGACAGCTCAAAGCCAAGAAATTTGAGTTCAAAGTTGGACAATGGGAAAAAGGGGCTTTTCTCTAGAACTTAAAGTAAAAGCCAAACAAGGCGCACCAGACAAGCGTTGTTTGTGTGGGTGAAGAGATTGGACAATGACAATGACAATCACGAATTGATGAATGGCGTTGAGTGGGGTGAAGCAGAGCTGAACTCACATCAGAGAAAATCTGTCGACTCGATTGCCCATTGATTTCCCCGCCTTGTTCTTGCAAAACACGGAGATCTCCCGCTCGAATATCGGTCCCTTTTCGCCACCTGAATGTGTAAATTTTGAGAAATTCTAGTAAAATTCTAGCAAGGACACTGTAAAATCTTTAAAAAAGTAGCAAAATTGACTGATGACTTATAGAAATCAAAGCAAAGACTGATGACTTATTGAAATCAAAGCTAAAATCCACTCAAAACACTCACCATGGTGGCTCACTGATCGTAAAGAATAGAATTTCTTGAGAAACTAAAAAGATTGAAATGAACTCACATTCTGAAATTGAAGAGATTAGCAAAAGTGACGTAGATTGATGGAAGAGGAGACTCAAGAATGGATGATTGAAGAGCACGGGGGCCGAGTTGAGATGATAAAGACTGCAAAAGGGAATTAAAGGAGGGGAATTTGACTGAAATCCGTAGGGAAATGATTGTTATAACTATTTAAATAGGGCTATTTAAATGTAAATAGCTCTATTTAGATATAAATAGCTTTATTTAGATAAAAATAGCTCTGTTTGGATATAAATAGAGCCATTTATATCTAAATAGAGCTACACTACTGGACAATGAAATATCATGGCTCAAGATAATGGCTTAGCACTGGACAGGCACAGCACTGGACAATGAAATATCATATTTGAAAAACGATCGTCACTTTCGCGCGTCTGTAACTCCCTTGTCTTTACCGTCTTTCTAAATATTAATATTACCATTGTGTAGCCCTTGAAAAGAGCTTTCAGAAAATGTATAACACTAATAGTTTAAACTCAAAGACAACGGAGTTACAGACAAGGGAGTGACGATCGTTTTTATAATATGATATTTCATTGTCCAGTGCTGTAGCCTGTCCAGTGCTGTAGCCTGTCCAGTGCTGTAGCCTGTCCAGTGCTGTAGCCTGTCCAGTGCTGTAGCCTGTCCAGTGCTGTAGCCTGTCCAGTGCTGTAGCCTGTTCAGTGCTGTAGCCTGTTCAGTGCTGTAGCCTGTTCAGTGCTGTAGCCTGTTCAGTGCTGTAGCCTATTCAGTGCTGTAGCCTGTTCAGTGCTGTAGCCTGTTCAGTGCTGTAGCCCTATCCTAAGCCTTAACCAAATCCCTTTCTTCCCGTTTCTTCAATCTCATTCTAGCTTTTTTTGATTTACGACTATCTTTCTTAAAAACTAACGAGATTTCTGTCTTGAATTGCTTACGTTTTTAAGGATAAATTTGAATGGATACTTATGAAGATTGAAAAGATAGAAGAACTTGAAAAGATAGAAGAACGGGCAACAGGCTAAGCATTAGATATTGAATGGGAGATTAGAAAAGAAGCTTTTGAGAAAAGAAAAAAGTTTTCAAAGCTTTAAACCTTCCAAAGCAAAGCTTTAAGCCTTTCAAAGCAAAGCTTTAAAGCTTTAAAGGGTAAAATGATTTCACTGATTGCAATGGCTTTACTGACGAGTTACACTGAACCTTGCAGTAGCGCCAAAATGGGATCACTGAATATATCTATTCCCTTTCCCTCATTTCAGCGTCTCAAATGTCAGCCATTCTTCTCAAACAATATCTATTCACAAAAGAACGAAAGATATTCAGAAAAAGGCGGTGAAAACTGATATCCCTTCAACCCTTTCTTGTCTTGAAACGAGAAAACGAGAGGTGTGAAAGAAAACACCCCAATTTTACGCTCATTTCCCTCTTTTTCTTTTTAAAGTCCGACCCTGGATCCCTTTTTTATCAACTTTTTCTATAGTTTCTATAGTTTCTCGGGATTTCTCTGGATGAAAAGGATTCAGGGAATCTCTGAACTGAACTGAATCTCAAGGTCGCTAATGGAATCTTACCCAATGGAATGATCGATTTCTGAGTAACTAAACCGAATCTCAGTCCTTATCTTAAGAAGGATTCCAAAAAGCTTTTTTGTAAAGCTAAAAAACGAAGCAAACTTTAGCTTGCCATGTAGCAAACTTTAACTTGCCAAAAAGCCAAAAATCCGCACCTCATATCCGGGAATATGTGCATGTTGCAAAGCGGCAATTCGACAACGAATCATCGCGTCTTTGAGAAGAGATCTTTCCTCAGAAATCACAGCATTTCCATCACTTCCACCCAATGAACGAAGCTGAAAGAAAAGCTATCATTTGGCTGAATCTTTATCAAGCTATCATTTGGCTGAATACCTGAGAGATTCTCTCATGGATTTTCACTCGTTGTCTTTGTAGATATGTCAATGCAACTTCTGATGATGTTGTTCTTGCCAATAAAAGCGATGAGAGGTTCAAGATCTAGAAAATAGAGCTTAGGAGAGTCAAATTGACGTCTGAGATTCTCAAGATCTAGAAAATAGAGCTTTGGAGAGTCAAATTGACGTCTGAGATTCTGAAGATCTAGGAAATAAAGCTTTGGAGAGTCAAGCTGACGTCTGAGATTCTCAAGATCTAGAAAATAAAGCTTTGGAGAGTCAAATTGACGTCTGAGATTCTCAAGCTCTAGAAAATAGAGCTTTAGTAGGTCAAATTGACGTCTAAGATTCTCAAGATCTAGAAAATAGAGCTTTGGAGAATCAAGTTGACGTCTGAGATTCTCATTTGTACCCCAAATGGCGGTTTTACGACGATCTCCTCGGAGAAATGAGTACTCTGCTTTGGCTCTTGTAAAGAGGCACACTAGATCCATTCTGGCACACTAAATCCAAAGCCAGATGTGCCAAATGCTACTCGTTCGTAAGAGCACAAAGTACTTGACAATTACTTGCCAATTTACTTACCTGTTCCAAGAAATGAACGGCTGAGTGCTCGAATTCGAATTGATAAACGGAAAACGAATGTCCGAGATGAATCTCTCGATCAGAATTCCCCCTTGTCACAACGCATTCCAACTGAAATACTTTTTTTCTTTATTTTCTTTATTTTCTTTTCTATTTCTTTTCTATTTCTTTTCTTCATTCATTTCTTCTTTCATTTCCTCTTTTCTAAAACTTACCAAATCCACTGTAATCAATTGATGATCGTAGTGAAAGGCGAGGGTTAATGGATTCACCGCAACAACAGTGCTTTCAACAGATGTGACCTGGAAATTTCGCTTTGATTCAAAGCCTTGAGAATTGGAATTGATCAATTTTCTCTTTCTACCTTTGGAGTAACGCGAACACCGTCAAATTGAGCGATTTGCGAGACTCGACATGAGACAGATTGCTGAAATTTGAGAATTTTGAAGGTTTTTGAAGGTTTTGAAAGGTTTTTGAAGATTTTTCACCTGAAAGAGCCCGGCTGTACTTGAATGAATCGAATCCATCGGTGCGGCGGCAGCAAGGAAAGCTGACGCATCTCTGAATTGGATCTTTGGATTGATTTTGATGTTTGAAGAGCTTTTCCTTGTCGATACCTAACAGATAGCGTATTCACGGCCAACGTTCTCCCAGCCGAATCCCTCCAAAACACAAAGCATTCAGCGATTCGCTCGACTTTTGAACCTAAAGGAATTGTTGCCTTTTGAACATTCTATTCATCAGCACGGATTTCTATTTCATCCATAAGCAATTGTTAGTTATGTTCCATCTTAAAAATCGGCTTTTGCATAGTTTTCGGACACTTTAGACGGCTCGTCACACTTTCCGGACACTTTAGACGGCTCGTCACACTTTAAAAGCCTATAACTTTGTCCAGAGATAATATCTTCGCTAATCTTTTATATCATTGTACAGAGAATATTTCAGGCTTTCAAATGATACTAAATAGAGCTTGATTGGTTAAACCAGTCCAAGAAAATCAGACTCTGAGTAAGCGGAGACTGAGCAAATGGCCTAGTGTCTTGTCGCCTTGTTTTTCTTGGACTGAATTACCAATCAAGCTCTATTTGATATCATTGGAAAGCCTGAAATGTCCTCTGTACAATGATATAAAAAGTTAGCAAAAAAATGGCCCCTAGACAAAGTTATAGGCTTTCAAAGTGTGACGAGCCGTTTAAAATACCCGCAAAGCCTAAAAATCTCCGAACTTTTGCTCAATCCCTTTTTCCCCCTCCCAAACACCTCCCACACTTCAATTTTCCATTGCATTTACGAGAAGGGGCCAAAATCGGGCAAAGAAATAGGAGAAAATGGGTGCGGATTGGGAGGATTGGGCTTTTCTTTCATTTCTTTCATTTTTCTTTCATTTCAGTACCCTTTTCCCTTTTTTTCCTCTAGGGACCTCACCAATTTGCATAAACATCCCCAAAAGGATTGAAAGAAACGAAAATATTCGCTCCTTTTAGTCAACAAGGCTTTGATTTGATTTGTTCCCTTTTGACCGCACCTGGAGCCAATCTCGATTCAACAACGGATCTTCCAGCAGCTGTTGTCGCTGTGATTCGAGTAGTGTCATCTACCTGAAAATTTTTGAATGACAAAGAGCTTGAATTCACAATATACAATGGATAAACTTATCCATTTAAACAATAATATCAAAAGATTATCTTATTTTAAAGCTAAATTAGTCAACTATTAGATTCAAAAAGTCAAAAAAACGTTCCTTTCTTTACTTTTGATGAAAAATAACAAAATAATAAAATAACAAATAAAAAGCAAAATAACAATTAATCTATAGCCTCCTTGAAATAAAAAGTGTTTTTTTTGCTTAATTTCCATCTTTTTAAGTCAGTTTTGGTTCAATTTTAAGCAAAAAAAGAGAGTGAAAAACAACGTGAAAACGTTTGACGTAAAAAATTGATAAAAGCCTCTAGATTGAATCAATTTCTTTGAAAATTTAACTTTATATCTAACTCTTTATGCTCTATCTTTTATCTATTGACATAAAGATAGGTTTCTTCTAGTTAAAGTGTCTAAATCGATGTCTAAACTCCATCATCTAAACCGATTTTTGATTAGGCTTTCAACAAAATTTAAACAAGACATTTTAAGCTTGTTTAAATGCTTTTTACAGAAGAATCATTGGCTTTTTAATGAAAGAAATCGTTTTAATAAATAAACTGGTCAATTGATGCGTTTGTTGGTTTTAAACAAAAGTACAAAAAGAAACGAAAAGATTTTTTGAAAAGGGTAACTTGTGACTAGTTACAGCTAAAGTTACCGTCATTTTTCAAGCCTAATTTTTTATTTTTCTTATTTCTAAGTGCAATTGAAGCTCTTGAACGTTTTCGTCTTTTATTTTGACTAGATTTCCCGTCAAAACTCACGGCTGATGTATGAATTGTGACATAGAGAAGCCTCGGTTCGACCAAAATCCATTTCAATCCATCTGACGAAAGTTCAAACAATTCTGCATGAATGCTGAAAATTAAACTAGCTTAAATTGGCTACAGCTATTGAAATGGAGAATCTTTACCCTTAGCTACAACTATTGAAACCTTTATCAAATCGAGTTGATTGATCAGATCGAGTTGATCAGATCAAATTGATTGATTAGATCAAATTGATTGATCAGATCAAATTGATTTATCAAATCTAGTTGATTTATCAGATCAAATTGATCAATTAGCTCAGGCTCTAAGAAGAGAAACCTTCTTTTTTGGAGAGAAACCCAATTGACCATCAAGCATTTAGTGTTTAGAATGAAGGGAAAGATTGAAAAGAAATAAAGAAAGATTGAAAAGAAAGAAAGAAAGAAAGATTAGAAAGAAAGAAAGATTGAAAAGAAAGATGAAAAAAGCAAAAGGAAATGTGTCCCATTCGATTCTCCATTACATTCTTTTCATTCTTTTCATTCCCCATTCACTCAAATCCCATTTCGTCTTACTTTAAAGAAAAAAAGATCAAGTTTAAGAGAAAGTTGCGTTTCTTGGAAGGAAAGGAAAAGAGTAGAAGAGAAAAATGAATGGTTTTTTGGAAAAACTTATATAATTTCAATTGTGATTCTATTAGGTTGGTGAATTGAAAACTGCGGGACTTTGAACTAAAATTGATTCAACATAAAGCCATGAATTCATTCCAAATAATTTTCATTATTATTGACGACTTCTGCCCATTTTACAAGCAATTTGCGGATTCCTCTTTCGTGGTTCGATTCTGGTTTGTGTGTGAGACAAGTGTGAGACTCAAAAATGGAGGACTGGAGATGTCCCAATGTCCCAGTTTGAGCACTTTCTTCAAAAGAAACTCATTTTGGTGTCAGTAGAAAAGTTGTAGAGAATTAAAAATGAGGCTTATAGCGAAATTTCCAAAAAGATACACTTAGTAGTTTCGCTTAAAATGCAAGTTTTGTGAAAATTCGTAAATTTGGCATTTCTTGAGAACCAGTTTTTGAATCGTTCTGAGAATTTGGATATAAGCTTGATTTTTGATTCTCTACAACTTTTCCATTGACACCAAAATGGGTTTCTTTTGAAGAAAGTGTTAAAACTGGGACCGATGACAATAGCCCTCAGTTTCCAATTCACCAATCCAATAGATTGATATTAGCCTTGATTTGAGGAGAAGTCAATGTCCAATTTGAGGATTCGGAGCCGGCCAGATCAGTTTGCCAAAAGGAGAGGGAAAGGGGTTATGTAAAAGCCCTGCGCCAGACGACGAGCGATTACGCCGGCTCACAAAGAACACGCAGAACACACAAATTTTAAGCGAAACTACTAAGTGTATTTTCTTGAATATTTTTGGATATAATTTTTTGGATATCTTTTTGGATATAAGCTTCATTTTTGATTCTCTACAACTTTTCCATTGACACCAAAATGGGTTTCTTTTGAAGAAAGTGCTCAAACTGTCACATATGACAATAGCCCGGAGTTTTCAATTCACCAACCCAATAAGATCAAATTTTAGCACTCACGATGCATATCTTGCTTGTGGATCTGCTTCGAAATCTTCTGGATCACCAAATGGACCAAAATCTGTAGCAATTAGCTTAAAATCTGAGCAATTCGAGCAATTCGAGCAATTCGAGTAAAATCCGAGCTTTTTCTTCGCTCTTGTCCCAGATTTAGATTTCATAGAGTCAAATTTGACTCAAAAAAAAGTCAAAATGGGCTCAGTGATTTGATCAAATCGTAGAATAACGTTAGAAATATGTCGAATTCACAGAAATCTTTCAAATAAACAATTGTAAACACTTCAAAGTCATCACCAGAATCCTCGACTCATCCAAATAGACTCAAAAGTGTCTCTTCTTCACAAAATCAACCTCGAAACCACACAAATTGCCCCCATTTACCAATCTTTTTCTCTGAATTTTGTCGTGTACCTCTTTTTCCCGAGATTCCTCGACTTTTCTCACCTCTCTTTTCTCATTCAGACTGTTTTAGGCGGATTATATGCAATTTCTAGCTTCTCCATTTTTTTCTTTTCTTTCTTCAGCAAACAAAACCACTTCAACGGGTAAAGTATTGAAGAAAATAGAAAGAAAAGAAAGAAAATGAAAGAAAAGAAAGAAAATGAAAGAAAAAGAAAGAAAAGAAAGAAAATGAAAAGAAAATGACTGCCACTTAGACGACCGCAAAGGGAAAATTTGTGAATTTATGGAAAATAGTTGAAGAAAAGCTTCAAGCATCAAATTGTAGGATAACCACCCAAACAAGTGCAACCGCCACACTTAAATTGCATTGATAAGTTTAAAGTTGAACCTCTTTTTCCCGAGATACAAATTATGCAATCGATCTAACGAAGTTAATCCTTTTTTTCATTTAATTTGTCCTCCACTCCTCCACTCCTCCACTCCTCCACTCCTCCACTCCTCCACTCCTCCACTCCTCCACTCCTCCATCCATACCTACATTTAGCTTATCTTCATCCACAAAAACCATTAATCTCGATTGATCGATTAATCTTCAATTAATCTCTAGATCTTTCAAATATCTACATTCAAATTTCCTTTTAATTCATTTACAAATGACTATAGCTTTCTTTGTTTTCTTTTTCTGGAAGTCATCAAAGATTTTGAGTGGATGAATGAGATGAATGAGATGAATGAGATGAATGAATGCATAGATCTCCCTTTCCTTATTCTTTTCCTTCTTTCTTTTCCCTTTTGAATGACCCCGAATCCCTTGAAAACCATATGAATACATTTGTTCGGAGAAAAAGACAAAGAAACGTTTTCTGAGCATAGGAAAAGTGGAAATTTATCAGAGAATTGGGTAAACTCATTCCTTTTCACTTACCTATAAGTTTTACGCTGTAAATTTGGCAGTAGACCGCCTTGGGAGAGTAGCATTTCGAAGAGTGGATCTCGAAGAATGGATCTCGAAGAAGAATAAGACTTCAACACATCTAGATCCAAAAATCAACACTTGAGTCTAGAATCTAGAATTCCATCAACGAATTTAGATCCAAAAAGTTGAAGGAATCAAAAGAATTGAAGGGATTTTCAGAAAAGCTTGAAAATGGAAGTCAATGTAATGTGAAATACACAAAAATCGCTGGAAAACAATGGAGAGAATGAATGGAAAGAGAGGGGAAGGAGGGGAAGAGAGGGGAAGAGAGGGGAAGAGAGGGGAAGGAGGGGAAGAGAGGGGAAGAGGGGGAAGAGGGGAAGGGAGGGGAAGAGAGGGGAAGAGAGGGGAAGAGAGGGAAAGGAGGGGAAGAGAGGGGAAGAGAGGGGAAGAGAGGGAAAGGAAGGGGAAAAGAAGAGAAAGAGAAGGGAAAGGGAAAGGAAGGGGAAGAGAAGAGAAAGAGAGGGAAAGAGAGGGAAAGGAGAGGAAGAGAGGGAAAGAGATGGAAAGAGAGGAAGAGGAAGAGGAAGAGAGGGAAAGGAAGGGGAAAAGAAGAGGAAGAGAAGGGGAAAAAGGAATTGCGTGTCGATTGAGAGTTGGAAAATTGAAAAAAAAGAACGGGAAGGGCAATCTGACAAAAGGAAGGGAATAGGCTTGAGCTAGGCTTTGAATCTTAAACTGAATCTTAAGCTGAATCTTAAGCTGAATCTTAAGCTGAATCTTAAGCTGAATCTTAAGCTGAATCTTAAGCTCAATCTTAAGCTCAATCTTAAGCTCAATCTTAAGCTCAATCTTAAGCTCAATCTTAAGCTCAATCTTAAGCTCAATCTTAAGCTCAATCTTAAGCTCAATCTTAAGCTCAATCTTAAGTTGAATCTTAAACTGAATCTTAAGCTCAATCTTAAGCTCAATCTTAAGCTCAATCTTTTCTTAGAATCTTTTGCTTGTTCTTTTGCTAACTTTTGAAGTTCAAAGTCTAAAATTGATGTGCTTTTTGTTTAAAATTGTTGTGCTTTGTCAGAATTTTGAAATGGCAATCCAGAAAGCCGACAAATATCTATTTTTGACCTGTTCTCGTTAAATAGCAATCGATTTTTGTCACTTCTTATGAGTGAATAGAGTCCAACTCACTTAAAAACTCAGTTCCAGCTTTTCCTAAACTTCTCATTCTAAGAACAATGCCCGGAACGGCCTTTTCATAGCAAAAGTCATTAAAGAAAAGAAAAAGAAAAGAAAAAGAACAGAAAAAGAACAGAAAAAGAACAGAAAAAGATTCAAAGAAAAGAAAATAGAAAAGAAAATGGAAAAGAAAATGGAATGGGAATGGAAATGGAAAGAAAATGGACATGACTTTGGCCATGTTTTCTCTTAAAAAGGAGTGCAACTTGAAAGTCTAATGGAAATCTAAAGATTACTATTGTTAATTGGCTGTAATACTGGTTACCAATAGAAAGAAAAAGAAGAGAAAGCAAAAAAAGGCAAATTTGTTTTCGGCGGAAATATGGGAGATGGTTGGACGCTGGTCCACCAGCTTTCAGCTTCTCCCCCGGGCAAACCGTTGAGATGTTTGGAATCTCGTTGTTGGCTGTTGGTTGAGAGAACCCCTTTCCCCTTCTCTCAACACTTGAATCCATCCACTTTCCAAAATCCATGAATCTATAAACAAAAAGCTGAGATTTGCAATATTTTTCGCATTCATCAAACGGAACATTTGAAAATAAAAGAGATTTATCTTTGTAGCTTGCTTTGAAATAGCTTGGTGAAATGTTATAGAAATTTGTCTATTTGCAACTCTATCTTTGACACAATAGGTTTCTGTGATAAAAAGTATTCAAATTAGAAATTATAAGCCTAAGGCTCGTTTTTTTCATCGTTTTTGACTGATAGACTTCAAACTTTTAAAAAAATGAAATAAAGCGAGCAGCCGAGACAAAAATTCAGCAACAATTCAAACACAAAGCTTTTCAGAATTTCTTAAAGAACAATTTGTAAATAAATAATAGAAATTTCTGATAAAACAAGCCATAGATCGATTGATTTATTATTTATTTCAAAAAGTAACCTTTAAAAAAGCTGACAAGACTTTCTGGTCAACTTAATAAAAGAGAATAAATCAAAAAGAGTCTAACAGGGCCACAAAAGTCTAACAGGGCCACAAAAGACAGGGCCACAAAAGTTTAATAGGGCCACAAAAGCGAGTCTAACAGGGCCACAAAAGACAGGGCCACAAAAGTTTAATAGGGCCACAAAAAAAAGTCTAACAGGGCCACAAAAGTCTAACAGGGCCACAAAAGTCTACTAACAGGGCCACAAAAGACAGGGCCACAAAAGTTTAATAGGGCCACAAAAACCAGTCTAACAGGGCCACAAAAGTCTAACAGGTAACAGGGCCACAAAAGTCTAACAGGGCCACAAAAGTCTAACAGGGCCACAAAAGTCTAACAGGGCCACAAAAGTCTAACAGGGCCACAAAAGTCTAATAGGGCCACAAAAGTCTAACAGGGCCAGAAAGTTTAACAGGGCCACAAAAACGAGTCTAACAGGGCCACAAAAGTCTACTAACAGGGCCAGAAAAACGATACAATCTAAAAGAAAGGAAAGAGAAAAGGGAAGAAAAAGAAGAAATACGAAGAGCCGCTAGCAAAATATACAAATCGTAAAAAGGTGGGCAAGGAGGGTGTCAAGAAGGGAAAAGAAAGTGGGGAAAAGGGGGAAAACTGACAATGGGGAGGAGTGAGGAAGCGAGGGAATCGACGAATGGAATGGGAAGGCCAAGGAGATTACTCACCATCTATTCACTCGATTCTATATTCAACTTGATATGATGTAGATGATGTAGATGAGATGGTTAATCATTAGAAAACCACAATTTACTCGTTACAACACAATTTACTCGTTGAAATTTGTACTTTTACTTCGACCTCAGATTACTTGCACGAATGGAGCTAAAATGTAAAAGGATTCGAGCAAAATCGATCAAGATTTGTCGGAAACAGAATGAAAGCAATAGTTTAACGAATTTAACTTTTATTTAACGCTGATTTAACGGTGAGGAACAACAACAACAATAATAATAAACAATATAACAAGATTGGAAGAGAAAAGGGAGTTCAGCCGAGACAACAATTCAGCGAAATTAGTACTTTCTTACTTTGGAACTACTTTTCAATGTAAATTTGTAAACTTTTCCCTACGTTTTCTTACTTTAAAACTATTTTTCGATTAAATTGTAACCTTGAATTGTAATCTTGAATGGAAATCGCAGCATATTTAACTCAATATTTAGCACAGATATTTTATTTCATATCACGCTCATATCAGGCTCATATCAGGCTTCATATCAGGCTCTGATCAGGCTAAAGCCTCAGGAAAAGAGAGAAAGGACGGATTATTCGTGATTTTCTTCAACCTCTGTTGAAGAAAGACTCAATTCTGGGGATTTACCAGCTGGAATGACAGTAAATGGACGTTTACTTGAATTATTGAAGATGTTTGAAGATGTTTAAAGATGTTTGAAGAGGAATTCTAGAAGGAATCTAGATAAGCTCTCTAATACTAGCTCTAGGTGAGCTTTTTTTCTAGACAACTAGTACGCTTTATAGAATCGGATATTAGCTACAAAATGCTAGTTTTTTTCAAAAGAAAACGAAGACAGAAGCTGCATCAGGGACCGAACTGTGACTGTGTACGGGGAGCCTGAATCCACTAGAACACTAATACACCGACCTCTGCTAGGAAGGAGCCCTTTAAAGCATCCTTTTGCATCGTTTTGCATTGTTTGCATCGTTTTGCATTGTTTGCATCCTTTTGCATCGTTTGCATCCTTTCCCCTCTCTTTAGAGAGATATGTAATTCCAGTTGGACTAACTACTACCATTTTTTGTACTTGACAAATACAATCAGCGAACCATCTCAAATTCAAGCTTGCAAGAGGCTTATGAGGCTCTTACAAGCCTTGTGAGGCTGTTACAAGCCTTGTGAGGCTCTTACAACCTTGAAAACCTTATCCAAAGCTATAAAATCTCCAAAATAAGTTCTGTTTTTTCTTGGAAATCTTTCGAGTCTTTTCTGAAAGAATGAAAAGAAAGAAAGGCTTTGTATGCTTAAAATATCAACGAAGAGATAGTCCGATATGGTTTCCTTTCGTCTTCTCCTTCTTTTCTTCCTTTCTTTCATTCATTTCAAAGCAATCAAAGCGGAGAATTGATCAAATGACTGCCGCTTATTTACATAAAGTTTAAATATTTGAAAAACATATAAAATAAGTAAAAATTCAAATAAAACCCTCGAAATTTTGAGCTCTTTTTGGCGAAAAGCAAGCAAATGGCTCTTCTCGAGTTTCTCTCCATTAAACAAATTGAAACTTTTTCAATTCCGATAAGGATTTGTTAAAAATTTGATTCTGACAATGATTTGATCAAGATTTGATCAAGATTTAATCAATATTTGATGATTTTGGTATTTAAATTAGTGAATAAATCTACCGTAATCGTCTCTCATCAACTCCTGAGCATCCGGTAGCAAATGAATACGCATCCGGACATGAACACGACAAACGTAGGCCCATTTGAACAAGGAATTTATCGGAATTTCTGAATGTTTTCTCAAATCTCATAGTGAATCTTTAAACGTTATTCCATTACAAAAATAATGGCTCTGAAATAATCTCTGAAATCTCACCCTCACTCGAATAGATCAATGATTTTGATCAATGATTCTCCACTCATGATTTTCACCTGAAGAAAAGATATTCTTAAAGAGTAGAAAAGATATTCTTAGAGTGGAAAAGACATTCTTAAAGTAGAAAAGACATTCTTAAAGTAGAAAAGAGATTCTTAAAGGAGAAAGGACATTCTTAAAGAGTAGAAAAGAGATTCTTAAAGTAGAAAAGACATTCTTAAAGTAGAAAAGATATTCTTAAGGTAGAAAAGACATTCTTAAAGAGAATTCCTCTGAAATCAACAATAATTGTAAGAAAAAGAAGCTAAAGAAAATTGGTTTCCTTCCGAAAAAACCCACTAATCGTCTGGATTGCCTTGGTTAACAATTTGGCAATGAAATGTGAATCTTTTTGAGCCAACTGGGCAAACAAATTATCATTTAATTTAATAAATTTAATATATAATAAATAAAATAAACAAGAAGCTCTTAAAAATCTAAAAATTTAATAAGAAATCTTGAATGCGGAACGGGAAATCTCAAGTGAGTTTGGGGAATCTTTTCGAGAAAAAAAGAGGAGAAGAAGCACAATTAGAGACTCGTTAAAAAAGAGGAAATCCCTAAAAATCTCCTCAACGATATCTTTCAAAGATTCTAAATGAGAAAAAAGAACGCCTTAGCTTTTAAAGACCGCATTTCCAATCCCATTTTTCCAATCCCATTCAAAAAACAAACTCAAATTCCTCAAAGCTCCCTTCTATAGCATTAACCGATGAAAAGCGGCCGTTTTTTCTTGTTTTTTTCGATCCACTTACCAATATGAGTTGGCCCCGATGATGGAAAAAGTGATAGAAATGGGGAAAAGGCTTATGAAATGAGTTCATCTGAGTTATAGAATAGAAAAAACAAGTTATAGAATCTCTGAAGCTTCAAAAGATCAAGTTTACTAGGGAAAGTCACGAACTCAAAGCTTTTGCTTTTGGACTTTTGGGCTGAACACCTAGTGCACTTTATAAAAACGGGTATGCGGAATCCGAATCTGAAATCAAGATCTGCTAAATGGCGTCTAAAACTTCCACGAGACGCCGTTTCCAGGCGTCTAAAACTTCAATCGAAAATTTGACGTCAAAACGGATGCTTTAAAAGGCCCCTTTTAAACTCAAAGCGAGCTTTTGGACTTTTGGGTTGAACACCTAGTGCACCTTGCGCCTCTGCACCTTGCACCTAGTGCAAGGTTTGCAACTTTGCACCTTACAAACCGCTATAATGCAACTGGCTGCAAGAGGCTAGAAGTTGCGAGAAAAGAAAAAGAAAAAGAAAACGCTGGACCGAATCCTGATCCTGCGGGTGGAAGCCTAATTTTAGGGATTTCCTCATCCACTAGACCACCAATACACCGACCTCTGCTAAGAAGGAGCCCTTTAAAGCATCCTTTTGTATCGTTTGCATCTTTTTAAAGCATCCAAATTTTCGACTAAAGTTTTCTACTCCTTGGAAGTCATTTGGAGATTTGGCAGATTTTGATCTCAGATTCGGATTCCGCATACGCGATTCTATAAAGTGCACTAGGTGTCCAGACAGAAACTCGCCTTAAATTCGTGTCTTTCCCAAACATACAAACGAGATTAAATTGAAATCTTCAGATAATCTCAATCTAAAGATTAGTTGGTTCTCTCGTTTGATGTGAACAAACACGGAAAGATAGAATATTTTTGCAATCTTTTGATTCTCTTTTCTGATCTCTTTTCTGACCTCTTTTCTTCTCCCAAGCCAAAAATGGCCCAAGAGAATTGACCCAAGAAAGGGAACACATTGGGATATTTGGATATTTGGAATATCCAGAAAGAGATCCAGAAAGAGATCCAGAAAGAGAGGAATTCAATGATTGACAACTAGAATTGAACATGGTGACAACCCGGGATTTGAAATAGAAAAGACAAGGGTTTACGCAAAGTATTTGGGTTATTTGGATTATTTGCGTTATTTGGGTTATTTGAGAAGAGAATTGGAGAACTATTTGGGTTATTTGAAGAGGGATTCTTTCAAGAATTGCAGAATTGCATACAAGAGCCTCTTTTTCCAAAAAAAACCCATTTAAATGAGGTTCCAATTTTCTTGAAAATGATGAGAATATGGCGAATATGAGAATATGCAAATTAGGCGCGATATTGGCAAATGATGGCCTTAAAATGAATAGATCTCTCCTAAATGATCATCTTTTGTCTCTTTCGATTCTTTCGATACTCTTTTTCAAGAAGAGACACCAATTTGGGACAGCAATTTAAAGAAGAGACTCTTTCTTTTCTTTTTTTCCATTCATCACCCAATTATCTATGTTTATAGCGAAAAGATGAGGTAAACAAAGAAAATTGGATACAAAAATCTCATAGCTGAATCTCATAGCTGTTCAAATGAAAAAATCGACTCAAAACATTGTTTACTCAGCTCAAAACTCAGAAAAATTCGAAAAAACGTGAAACGAACAAATCTTGATTGTTTTCAAATCAAAAATTGGGATTTCTTTTGGGGAAAATTGGGATTCCATTTTTGAATCGAAAATTGGGATTTTCCTTTCAATTTTTGATGGATTCTTTCTCGATTTTGATGGATTTTTCGAAGGGTTATTTTTGAGAAAAGGAAATGCTCTGTTTTAGCACTTAATTTAAGCTTTTTGGGGCGATGGAAAGCACCCAAAATACCCCAAAATACCCAAAATACCCGAAATGCCCATTTGGAATCTCCGATTACACAAAAAGATCCCATTTTGATGGAAAAATCACTGAAAACCACTGGCTTTATACAAAGAAGAACGATGATACAAAGAAGAACGACACAAAGAAGAATGATACAAAGAAGAACGATAGCTTCTTGAAAATGAAATCTCAAGAATCAATTGATCAAGAAGAATCTCCATTTCCTTAGAAAGAACTCTTAAAACAGCTCCATTTCCTCCATATTGCCTCTTTTCCCTTTTTTTCCCTTTTCCTTACATAAAATCTTTCGTTTTATGTCGATTTTATGAGCTCTTGACACTCCGAAAGAGGAATAACACTAGAAAAGATTGAACAGGGACTAGGATCAGGTTTAAACTTAAAACTTGAACTTAATTTCACTTAATTTCACTTAAAAAGTGAAATCAAGTAAACCTAAAAAGATCTAAACAATAATGAACTTTAAAAAATGAAAGAAAATAAAGCTAGTCCAAAAGAAAATAAAGCTGTTTTCACTAAAAAAAGAAAACAAAAAGGCTTCTGAATCATTGGGAACTCATGCGAAAGAATGTACTTGGCGGGGAATTCCATTCGGAATTGTATAAAGTTTTAGACTTGAGATTAGTTTTAGAACTCTGAAAAGAACTATCCTTGGTAAAACCTGGAAAGAACTATCCTTGAGCCTAAGCCTAAGCCTAAGCCTAAGCCTAAGCCTAAGCCTGAGCCTAAGCCTAAGCCTGAGCCTGAGCCTAATTTGCCAGGATCCTCCTATGGGGGGCCCAAGCACAACACCAAAAGCTTGCACCTTAGCTCCGGGAACCGGCTGAGATCCAAAAAATGGGGGGGTTCAGCCCAAACCCAAATAGACTTAGTGCTAGGCGCTAGCCGCTAGCCTTCGCACTAAGTCCAAGCCTAAGCCTAAGCCTAAGCCTGAGCCTAAGCCCGCCTAAGCAAGCCTAAGCCAGCATAAGCCAGCCTAAGCCTAAGCCTAAGCCAAAGCTAATGCAAAAATTGATCTCATTTCGAATCGAATAGACAATTTTGGGTTGGAAAAGAAGGAATTGGGAAGAGACATTTGAATGGAATGAACGGGGAAAAGGGGAAACATATGCATATTTAGGGATTGGCTCATTTGCTTGCAACCAACCCGTACATAATGATCCTTTTGCTGTTTTTACATAGAATAATCGTTGTCCTCAAGTTAAACTATTCTTGTTTAAAAGAAAAGAGGAAAGAAGATTCTTCTTTAACTTTATTTAGCTTTTTTTAACTTTAACTAACCCTTCTTTAACATATCATTGACTTTTACGATTAGAGGGAACTAATTAGTTTACTCAAAAGGAAGATTGTCAGACCTTTTATACGCGCCGCGCCCCTTTTGCCATTCCAACTTTGAGCTCAAATATCTCGGTATTCAACTGTCCAATTTGAAGAGTTTTTATACCAATCAACAGAGAAAGATTTGCCGCATCCAATGATACCAAGAACACTAAAATTGAACAGTCCAAAACCAAGATATTTGAGCTCAAAATTGGATTGCCAATGGCAAAGCCAATATAATGTCAGATAGCTCAAAATGAATGCTTTGAAACAGCGAAAATGAAGAGAAGGAGAATAAGATCATTTAGGAGAGAAAGATCATCAAATAATCCCTTTTAAAAGAAAAAAAAGCGCTTGGTTTCTTGAGGTTGATTGAAGAAAAATGGATTACCCTTTCACAGAAATGAAGAATGAAACTTTCAAAGCGATTTTAAGAGTGCTTCGACCATCACCTGCAGATTTTTAGCCTTCAGTGACACATAAAAATATGCAAGATGAGTCAAAAGTTCAAAGAAAGAATGTTTCATGTCCCCGTCGAAGTCTCGAGAATGGATTGAGAAAGAGAAGGGGAGATTCCCATGAGGGTCCCCTCTATTTTTCTCATTCTATTCCCCTTCTACATATCCTCTCTTCCTCAGCTATCATTTCTGAGATCTTTTTCATCTTTTCCTTGACTTCTACTGAGAAAACATCGTCATCAAACAACAACTGGAGACACATTTTTCCCAGCAACAATCAAATCATCGACATTTGGCGCTTTTTGGGTGGTAAACGATGCTATTTTTTGGATACAAGTTGTACAATACAAGTTATACAATACAAGTTATACAATTTCTTTAGAAAATGATAGAAAAGAAGCGTTAGAAAAGAAGCGTAACAAAAGATTTGAAAGTAATCCTAGTTGCGCGCTAAGTCTCAGTAAAAAGGTAAGGTAAAAGGTACCAATACACAAAAAAAACTTGATTCCTCGAAAATATGTGAATGGTTAAGAAATGAGCAAAGAAACGGGCGATCGAGTGAATTTCCGGACACAAAAAGAAGTGAAGAATGGGGAGAATGAGAAGAAAGATAAAATGGATTACTTTTCAAAGGGAAAACTTTTGACTTATTCTGTAGTTGTGATTTCGAAGCTTTTTGAGGAAACTTTTTGCTGAGAAAGCTGAGAAAACTTGAGGCGTTATTCTAGAAAAGTGTGTCAGACTTAGTTTAGAACTGGCTTAAACAGTCTAGCAGTTACTGGTTTAGCAGTTGCTGGTTTAGCAGTTACTGGCTTAGCAGTTATTGGTTTAGGAGCTATTGGTTTAGCAGTTATTGGTTTAGGAGTTACTGGTTTAGCAGTTATTGGTGTAGAAGTTATTGGTTTAGCAGTTACTGGTTTAACAGTTACTGGTTTAGCAGTTAATAGCTTAAACACTTTTGCATTAAGCTGAGAAGTTAAACTGCTAACAATAAGCCAGAGCTTTCGATGCTTTACTTTGTTGTGAACTTGTAGCTATTGCCGAGTTGTCAGTAGTGAAGATCAAAGGGAATTGTGTCTTCTTGAAGATCTTTTGCCCTTTAACCCTTTTCCTCATGGGAATAAATGGGTGAAGAAGTGTTGAGTGATGAAGTGTCATCTCATCTTCTCTCATCTTCTCATCCATTCCTTTTCTTAAGCCACACTTTCTTTGCTATGCTTCAGTAACCGTCATGCAAGAGATAATAGCTTTCCTAAAAAATAGATAATAGCTAAAAAGTGCCAAAAACATAGCCAGGACTCGAACCTGAAAGGTTGGCTTGGCTTTGCATGCTAGCCTCTAACCAACTGCGCCATTGGAGAGACTTTCTTGATGTCGAAAGAGCGGTTAAAACTGGATCCTAAAGACTAAAGACTAAAGACTTTCAAACAAATATCTTGTAGGACCTTTGGCAAAGTTTTTACGGATTCATGAACTCTGTGATCGATTTTATAGCTCAACCGTCTCGTGAAGTGATTCCGAACCTCAATTTGGAGTCATTCTATGCATCAAAATGTGGATCAAATTAGCCTAAGCATGTCTACATGACTTACGATTTAAGTTGATTTGTTGAACTGACTTTCATCGGTTCCCATCATTTCCACAAGCTTTCAATAGAGATTCGGCTTTTTAAAGACCCATCCAACGGAGTGTGCGATGAAACACACGTTTATGGGCAGCACAAAGAACACTGATCGTCATCTTTGTTGGTATAATGATTTCCACAAATCTCGAAAAGGTTCTATATCTAGAATTGAACTACAATTCTTGAATTGGACTTGAACTACAATTCTAGATATGTAGTGTAATCTTAACACAATCCACAATATACCTACAGAGTTCTCGTTGACAGCTGAAAGCTTGTCACTCTGTGATTCTCATCAAAAGAAAACTTCAAAAATGAGCTCTGTTTTCGATACTTTTCCGCACTTTTCTTTTCTTTTTCTTTTTCCATTTTGTTCACTCGTCAAATTGGTGGTCACTTGTGGGAAAAAAGAATGAAGAGAGAAGAAAAGAAAGAAGAAAGAAAGAAGAAAAGAAAGAAGAAAAAGAGAAATGGTTAAAGAGAAGGATTTTTGAGGAAAAGGCACTCGGGAAAAGACTGAGAAATCCCCCAAAACGTTTAGCTCAATGCAAATTTCATTCCTGGTGAATCTCCTGAAGAAAGCTCTTCCTTTTTTCATGTTTTCCGATTGATTTCAAGCTTCTTTTGAGTTCCCATTCAATAATCCTTTGTTCGAGAATTCTATAAACAACCGCAAATATGGAAAAAGAGCTTCATATAGACTTATTAAGGGGGTACTTTGTACATTAAACATTTCAAGCTGAATTTAATGTACCAGAAAGGGTATAAACACACCATTTCTGGTACATTAAATTCAGCTAAACTCAGCAATACTCTTCCCCACAAACCAGGGAAATTTCAGAAATTTCAAGGAAATATTTTCCTCAAATTTCAGCGACGAACTTTTTCCTTTTTTTACACCTCGTGAGAGCTGTTTTGTTGGCTTTGAAACAACTTTGACTGGTTTCTTTTGATGATTGATTGTTTTTAAATCTAATTTAGAGTGATCAAGCAATTCTTGCAAGGAATTGACGATCTTTTTTTCTTCTTAACTCCACTTGATCATTTTTCTTGAGGCTCAACACTCGATCATTACTCAAATCTGTTCTCGACAATCAACTGACTCCTTTTCATGAGCAATTATTTGATTTATGGATAAATTCGATGAGCAATTCGAAAATGAGCAATCCGATTTCCACAAAACTACTTCTGATAACAGGTTTGTTTTGAGAACACAGGTAAACTTTTCTTTTAACAATTTACCTACAAATGTAGCAAATACAAGGTTCCAATACGGTTCCAATACGGCTCCAATATGGTTCCAATACGGTTCCAATACGGTTCCAATATGGTTCCAATAGGGTTCCAATAGGGTTCCAATACGGTTCCAATACAGTTCCAATAGGGCTCCAATACGGTTCCAATACGGTTCCAATACGGTTCCAATAGGGTTCCAATAGGGTTCCAATAGGGTTCCAATACGGTTCCAATATGGTTCCAATAGGGTTCCAATAGGGTTCCAATAGGGTTCCAATACGGTTCCAATAGGGCTCCAATAGGGTTCCAATAGGGTTCCAATAAGGTTCCAATAGGGTTCCAATAGGGTTCCAATACGGTTCCAATACAGTTCCAATATGGTTCCAATAGGGTTCCAATACGGTTCCAATACGGTTCCAATACGGTTCCAATACGGTTCCAATACGGTTCCAATATGGTTCCAATAGGGTTCCAATACGGTTCCAATAGGGCTCCAATAGGGTTCCAATAGGGTTCCAATACAGTTCCAATATGGTTCCAATAGGGTTCCAATAGGGTTCCAATAGGGTTCCAATACGGTTCCAATAGGGCTCCAATAGGGTTCCAATAGGGTTCCAATAAGGTTCCAATAGGGTTCCAATAGGGTTCCAATACGGTTCCAATACAGTTCCAATATGGTTCCAATAGGGTTCCAATAGGGTTCCAATACGGTTCCAATACAGTTCCAATAGGGTTCCAATACGGTTCCAATACGGTTCCAATACGGTTCCAATACGGTTCCAATACGGTTCCAATACGGTTCCAATACGGTTCCAATACGGTTCCAATACGGTTCCAATAGGGTTCCAATACGGTTCCAATACGGTTCCAATACGGTTTCCAACAGGACTTTTCCTAAAAGCCATGTTCTAGCCAAGTTCCAGCCAAGTTCCAGCACACTGGGTTTAGCTGGGCTTATTCTAAGCTTGTTCTAGAACTTTTGCTCTACGAATAGCTACGAATAGAATAATCCAGCTGTTGCATTACTTCCATAAACTTCCTTCCCAATCTCACTACTTACACAAACTTTGAACTAGTGCAATCATTTCAAAACTTTCCTCATAACTCTTCGGGAACAGCTGTTCCCTTTCCTCATTTCCCCCTCATAATCACTCTCATTTTCCTTTCCCCTCGAAAAATGATAAGCAATTTCGGATTTAGGGATTTTCCTCTTGCTGCGAGTGGCCATCGCTGACAGATTTGTGTCACAACTATTGCAGAACTTGATGATGAATTACAATAAGGTTTAGAAATGAAAAATCACCGCAAAAACTCATTTCAGAATGTTCGTCCAGTCAAAAACGCATCCGATGCGCTTACCGTCTATTTTGGGGCGAGTTTGTGTCGGCTGATTGATGTGGACGAAGTGAATCAAGTGTTGACAACGAGTTTGTGGCTTGAAATGGTGACTTTGAGAGAGTGATTTGTCCTACTGTAGGCTTACTGTAGCTATTCAGCAATGGACGGACAGCAAACTCGTTTGGAACCCAAAGGACTACGGTGGAACGAGGAAGATCCACATTTCATCCGATCAAATCTGGACACCCGATGTCGTTTTATACAATAAGTGAATGATCTACATATATAGAAAAGAGCAGTATCTGTCTACCTGCTTGTCTGTCTGTCTGTCTGTCTGTCTGTCTGTCTGTCTGTCTGTCTGTCTGTCTGTCTGTCTGTCTGTCTGTCTGTCTGTCTGTCTGTCTGTTGTCTAGTTTTAGTCATTGGTCATTTTCGGCTTGTCATTGGATAGTTTTTGGCTCAGTACTCGATAATTCGGAAGCTATTATCATTGCTATTTTCAGTGCCGACGGCGAACCCCATATCAGTATCGTTTCGCTGGCGATGGTCGATTATTTGGGAACGGTGAGGGGAAATCTTCTTTTTCTCACAATCACAATATGTTTCCCCCTTAAAATCCCCAATTTTCAGGTGATTTGGATGCCCCCATCGATCTACAAAAGCTTTTGCGCGATCAACATTGCCGATTTCCCGTACGATTCTCAGAAATGCGAGATGAAATTTGGCGGCTGGACAAACGACGGTTTAATCTTTACAAAGCTTATATCTACAGAAAAACTGTCTTTATTTGATGGTGCCAATACCGTAAATATTCTAATAGAAGAATATAGGAGCGTATAGGAGCGTCGCGTAGTCGAACAAGGGAAGGTCAACTGACTGAGCCGATCAAATGCTATGCAATCTATACCATTCAGAATTTTTTTTTTCCGAATATGTACTCCGTTTTTGTTAAGTAGCAATCTGGCAGGAGTTATAAGTGTCTAAAGTAAAAGCAAAAGAAAAAGCAAAAGAAAAATCCAAAGTGGGGATCGAACTTGTGAGGTGTCGCTCTGGGTGACGCTGTACTACGGTTGTACCAAATTGAGCTCGCAACGAGGCCGCAAATACCCAAATGACCACATTTTTAGAGCATTTGACCGGCTCAGCCAGTTGATCTTCTCTTTTGAGTAAGACATAAGGCCCTATTCTGGCGGGAATGGGACAACTGTCGATGTCGCTCACTGGTAGAGTGTTCGTCTAGTGATTCTAGACGTCTAGTGACGTCTAGAGGTGCCGGATTCGAACCCCGGCGCTGGCCTTTTTCTTTTTTCCAGTCCTAATCCACAAAAGGATGCGTCTAGCTACTGAATTAAGTTCAGATTTAAGTTGTTAGACCAGATCGGACTGGTTCAGACATTCTGACTAGTGATTGACATCCTGACTAACTTTAGCAAAAAGCAAACAGCAAAATAGCAAAACTTTAGCCGCTTATAACTTCTGGCAGATTGTCATTTAGCAAAAACGGAATACATATTCGGAATCAGCTTAAAATTTGGTCGCATAGCATTTGGCCGGGCTCAGCCAGTTGGCTCAGCTCAGCCAGCCTTCCCTTCTTAGACTACGCGACGCTCCTATAGGCAGTTCTTCTATTAGAATATTTATGGTATCTATCAATTCCAGGTCAAACTCTTGACTTACAACAAATCTCTTCGGATGTCAATGAGAAACCCGAAAAGAAAGTCGACGACTCGGGGACAGAGTATCAATTTCTGAAATCCGGAATGGGAATCTCTTTCTATCATCCGTTAGTTTAGCAATTTATCAGAGCTGCTTTGTTTTTTTCAAAAACTCACGCCCCCTGGCATACTACATTCACAAAAAGTCAAGTGTGCCAGTGATGCGTGTATGAGAGCACAAAGTACAGCACAATTCATTTTACAGCTCCGCCGAATGGGATCTCCTTTCTGTGACTTCTTCTCGTTACGCGCAAATCTATCCAGGATGTTGTGGTAGAACGAAGTTCCTCATCAAGCACCAAAAACTCCTCTAGGTCAACTCTACTACATCGACATTCGCTACACTTTGATTCTTCGCCGGAAAGCGATCTTCTTCACGGTGATGCTCACCATTCCATCAATGCTAATCAGTGAGTTCTCGATGCTAATCAGTGAGATGCGAAAGCCAAACAAAAAGCTTGATTTCAGCCAATATGACGCCATTCGTTTTCCTCATCCCTCCAATCGAGCACAAAATGACCTTCTCAATCTCGGTTTTCGTCGCATTTTCCGTGTTCTACCTTGTTCTCACTCAAATCATTCCACCAACATCGCTCGTTTTGCCATTAATCGGTAAACTCTAATCGTAAAGTTTAAAAAGGATATCTTTGTCCAGGGAAATATCTTCTTTTCACCTTAATCATGATCTTTTGTTGTATCATCATTTCAGTCGTCAATATCAATATCTATCGAAGGTAGGTGAGGGGAAAAGCGACTCAAATCAAATTTCACAGACAAGCTTTTGCTTCGGAGATGTCCGATTGGCAAAGATGGCTTTTTGTGAGAACTCTACCGAAATATTTGCGATTGAAACAATTGGAATATACTGAAGAAGAGAAAGAACGAGAAATGAAAGGTTTGTTGAAGAGAAATTACAAAATTGTCTTTACAAACACAAATGCTCGTCTCAATCTCACTCTAAAACTATCTTAATCCATGTGTTTTTCTTTACAAACACAAACTTTAGAAAGAGAAGCCCGTAAAGCACGACGAATGGCCCGACGAGGCAGAAGAGTGAGAAGTAAACCCCCAACCAACGATCAATCACCGATCTTTCAATCAAAAAGACTTCGATTATTGAGTCTTGTAGAGGTGATTGAAATCTAAATAACCAAAAGAAATGAAAACACTTTAGATGGATGAAACATTCCGGAACAAGAGTGCAGCTGATGCACATTCTTTGTTCAAAAGACTCTCAAATGCTGTTCAAATCATCGCTGCTCATTTTCACAATCAGAATCAAGAGAGCAAGGTGTGAAATTTTTAAATGAATAACCATCTAATGTACCTTGACTACACTATGACACTTTGACTGGTAAATAAACCGATAAAACTACTTCGAAATTTAGATCACAGATGAATGGCGTTTGATGTCACTTGTGATCGATCGAATTTGCCTCATTATCTACCTAATTCTAAACGTTGCTGCAACTATTTGGTATAGATAAACAAGCCCAGGAAAGCTCTATCTTGTTCCAGGTTTTTGCTTTCTTGTCCAACATTCTTCGATGAACGACCAGAATTGTTTGGCTCTCCCGCACACAAGCCATTGTCTGGCGACGCAATTAACATTATCTCTAATTACCAGACCTAAATCCAATAACAGCTTTTCCAAAACAATTAAACTTATTAGTTATTCGGGTATCTTTTTGTATTGTGATTGTATGCATAAAATTTAATTGTGCGACAATACTGATCCTGTATATTTATCCTCACACAAAAACACGTTTTCTTATCAACAAAGAACAGTTGTTCAAAAAATATTTTAGACTACAGGAAACGGAAAAAAAATTTGAGACTATTCTAACTACCAAAACAAGCTTACAAAGCGAAGAGGATCATGAAGGCCATCGTGAGACAGAAGAGACCCATAGCTTCGGAGAGAGCGAAACCAAGAATGGCGTACGAGAAGAGTTGCTGCTTGAGGGATGGGTTGCGGGCATATCCGATGACGAGGGCTCCGAAAACGTTTCCGATACCTTAAATAATAAAGAGATTATTGCATTTGCAAAGTAAAATTAATAGTAAAAGAATAGTAATTTGTAAATAATATTACCAGCTCCTGATCCAGCGACTCCAACAGTGGCGGCTCCGGCTCCGATGTACTTGGCAGCGCTGTCAATGTCCTTGCGGGCCACCGAGGTGTGGAGGCAGCGAGCAGCAAGGGCTCCCTCAGCTCGGAGTGCAAGTGGGGCTCGTTGAGCCTGAAAATATAAATATTAATTTAAACAATTAGCAATGAGTCTTGTAATTAATCAAACATACGCTAGAGTTTAGGGGTTAGGGGGTCACTTTTTTTCTTCAAAACGACTTTTTCTGGGGTTGTTTCAGGCGTAGATTCCGAAAAACACAACGAGAGCTTGGGAAAAGGCGTGTTAAGCCGAGTTTCGGGGCTCCAAAGTGCGCGCTTCGAGTATACTTCAAAAAAAGTGCCCGCTAACCGAAATAGCGCAGAGCTTAGTTAATTTTTAAACCTTCTTGTTCATTTTATCACCTCCGGGTATTGAAAACATTTTTTCTTTTTCTCAATTTACTTCATATCTTGAATAAAGTTTATATACCTATATCAAAATGACAAGTTTAACTCAATTAAACAAGAATTTGAAAAATCAACACTATATCTAATGATCGATTCGAAGCTAACAATTTTAGCAACAGCTTTATAGCCTTTAAAATCCTCAAATGTTTAATTAAGTGTAAGAAAAATTGCAAACTCACAATGATGGATCGAGCCAATGGGACGGCGAGGCGTTGGCAGTACATGTTGCTATTGATGATGACGAGCAGGCACTCTGAAAAATAGATAATTGATCAGCTAATAGCAGAAAACAACGAAATTAGAGCCTTGTTAAAGTCAAAAAGGTGTGGTTGATGGCAAAAACGTTCAATATTCGAGAAATGAGTCGAGTGAGATGGGCGACACAAAGGTCTTGCGGGGAAATTGGCTGAGAAGGAGTATTTTACAGCTACGGTAAATGAGACGGGGAAAAGAGGGCAAAGTTTTTGAAAAGAGCACAGTTTTACCGCCTAACTGTAAAAATAAAGAAGGATTCAGTCATAAATAAGCGCCCGAACGAAAGCTTTAGATGAAAATGAATGAGAAAATGAAATTTAAAACTTTAAATGAAAAAATTTCCAATTTTGCGAGAAAATTTGATGTCTCGTTGTTTGTAGTAAATTATAATTCGGATAATTTGGATTACGGTAGTCGTTGAGATGGTATTTAATAAAGAAATTTTTTTTTCTTTTGGGGTAGACTAGTTTCGGCAATTTTTTTTGCGCAACTCACCATAACTTTCTTCTAAGTCGGTCAATCTTTATGCTTTTGGTGTCATTTTGTTGCACTTATTGAGATCTACAAAATGAAACCAAAAGCATAAAGATTGACCGACTTAGAAGAAAGTTATGGCGAGTTGCGCAAACGACCCAGTTGCGCAAATAACCCTGTTGCGCAAAAAAAGTCGCGGAAACTAGCCTACCCCGTTCTTTTTGCAAACGTGTTGAATAAAAATTCATTCAATCAATAGAATTTGGCAATTTGTAAAGTTCGGCGATTGAGCGATGGAGCTGGCCAAGGTGAATCGACTGATTGAGTCAGTGATGGATGAATGATTGAAGCTAACGAAAAAGTCGGAGGAGTTGATTTAAGGAGTAACATTAAGCAATTTCATAAAACTCATCGATTCATTAACAAATCTTTTGAGCAAAACTTATAACGATGACCGTCTTGGACGAACAAATGTCAAGAATTCTAAGCCATTTGACGCAAAAATTTCTACAGATTCACCAACTGCTAAATTTAGCAAAATTTTTGGTCAACCAACGACCTCAAGTTTGTGGACCTCGAGTTTTGCTAGATTTAGCACCAAACGATGTTTGTTTTTTTTGCTGACGGAATTAGCTTTATGTGGCTGCTAGCAAAGTTGCTAAATGCTAAATTGCTAAATCGATTTTGCAAAATTGGTAAATGCTAAACTGTTAAATCCGTTTAGCAAAATTGCTAGATGGTAAATGGTCAATAGTTTGATGGACCCGGGCCCTGGTCTCTCGACATTGACAGCCTGAGCCAATTGGTAAACTTGCTATTGGACAAATGAAGCTCTTTCAATAGCTGCCTTGTAGTTTTTGTCATAAATTTGGTTTAGTTTGTGCACACGATAATGTAAATCGTTTTGCGCTTTTTCAACTTTTTTAGACAAAAACGTGTTGCAAAGTTTCTCACAAAAAGTGCCTGGGAACACCCGTTTGCACTCATTTCTCTTTTCCCACAACTCTCGAATAGAGATTGACATGCCGAGACTGTCTGGCTTGCACCCAAGAGACCCCTTTCCCCTTCGTGTCCCCTATTGACAGTGTCTTGTCATCATCAGATCCCATCCGATCCAACAGCCGACTGGTTGTGACCCCGGGCCGGATTTGATAAGAGAGACGATAGCAAGCAAAAGCACACAAGTGTTCGACCAGTTCACCCACATGATTTTTGACAGTGGATGGGGGTGTGGCCGAACACTCGATCAAATCTTTTCATCAAATCCATTCATCCATCAATTTCAATTCTCGAATTCGATCCCGATCTACTAGTCGTCTTTTGCATTAGCTCAAAATGATTTCTAAATGCTCGATTCTCAGCTTTGTCGCATTTCTCGCTGTCTGCCGTTGTTACATCATTGAGGTTGGCTTTTGCATCAATTCAAGACTCCAGTACGCTCTCTAAAAGTCGTCAAACTATCGTACTATAAGAATAAACTCTAATTAAGAATAAACTCTAGTCTATAACATGTTTTCCAATGATAAAGTCTCAGAATGCACCCCAAAATCATTTTTTTGTGTTCTAGTTTCATGAATCAGTCTATGTGCAAGTCATCACGTTCTTAAGAGTTCTCTTTTCAAAAAAGAAACACATGAGTGTTATCCAGGAAAAGTGAGAGCTCTTGTTTGGATATTTGTTTATGAATCAAGACTAGGAAAGATCTCATTTCTCTTTTAGGGAGCTCCTTCAGCACTTCCACAGCCATTCATGGATCCACAACAAAACACAGGATATGGATTTGATTATAAAGGTGTGAATGAGTGAAGGATTATTACATTCTCCATTCAGAATATATTAAACGACACACACAAGGCGCTCCAATCATGATCTACACATTGAATGACTGCATTCCGTGTAGAAACACGAAAAGTCTCCTTCAACAATGGTATCCCGATGTGCCCGCGTACTTTATGGGTGAGTAAAAAGTTGATAAAAGTACTAAAGTTAAACGGCTGAATATCTTTAAAGGCGTTTATAAGGCGTATAACGCGGCGCTCGTGACTTTTTCACGCCAATTTTTTGCAACTACGATAATTTTGTTTGCAAAAAACAAACTACGACAATTTTTCCCAATTTTACCTTTTTAAAAAACGCAGAACACACTCAAATTTTGATTCAGAACTAACAATGAATCTTCAACGTCCATGGGAACGTCGTCTTGAGAGAGATCTTCTTGAAGTCACCGGACAAAACACTTTTCCCTATATTTTTGTTTGCGGCAAGTTCATCGGAGGTTCGTTTACATTGAATGCATTAAATAAAATGCTAAACTTTCACGTTGTAAGAAAAACTAGAACTTTGAATCTTACTTTCATTGTTCTCCTCATTTCAGGCTCGTCCGATCTGATGAACATGCACAACTTTGGCCGATTGAGACCCACCGTCAATTCGTGTCCCGCAAAAGGATTTTTCCGTCCAAACCTTTAAATTCCACTTTTCCGATCTCTAAGATTACCGTTTTTTTCTTCTAAAAATCTCTGCTAACTTATTCCTAACATTCCGAGACTTAAATAGCCTTAAAACAGTCTTAAAAAGCCTTAAAATAGCCTTAAATAGCCTAAAAAGTCTAAAAAGCCTTCAAATAGCCTTCAATAGCCTAAAAAGCATAAAAAGCCTTGAAAGATCCTTTAAATAGCCTTAAAAGAGCCTTTAAATAGCCTTCAATAGCCTTCAATAGCCTAAAAAGCATAAAAAGCATAAAAAGTCTTAAAATAGCCTTAAAATAACCTTAAATAGCCTAAAAAGCCTTAAAATAACCTTAAAAGAACCTTAAAATAGCCTTTAATAGCCTAAAAAGCCTTTAAAGAACCCGAAAATAGCCTTTAAATTCGTTCAATTGGTTTAGATTGTGATAGAAACTATGAAAAATCAATAAATTATTTCAAAAACTCGAACTTAAAATAACTTTTCCGAAAAACAGATACCCTTTTTGTGCACTTATAGATTGCATAACAGATAAAGAGTACAAATGAGAGAAAATCGGTAGAAAAGAGAGGAGAAAGAAGAAAAAAAAAAAGAAGGAAAAGAAAGAAAAGAAAGAAAGAAAAGAAAGAAAAGAAAGAAAACCCCTCTCCAAATCGTAAACAAGTCTTGGAAAACAAGCAAAAACTCAAAAAACAGTCAAACAATCCATTTTTAAAGAATTTTCTACAACTTTTTGTAGAAAAGTAACGATTTTTCTTTGAAAGTTTTGAAGTAATGATTGAACGATTGAAGTTTTTGTATCAGAATCCGAAGATCCAAGGTTTGTCTATCGTTTTATGCACAAAAGTTAGCTGTTTTACAAAGTTTAAACAGTAAAAGATTCAAATTATCAAACAGTAATTGATTAAAATTTTTCAATTCAATAATTGTCTGACCTTTTTCAATCATTCCCTAAATGATTTGTGGAAATTTTTTGCCAATGGCTTCCTCTAATTGTCTTGCAAAAAAATAGACCCTCAATAGTATTTTCTACTTAAAAAGTTCATCATTTTTTATCATTTAGTATCATTTTTTATCATTTAGTATCATAATATCATTATCATTTGTTTAGAAATGAGATACGATCGATTATGGCATGTTTGGGAATCATTTCTTCATTTTCTTTTCCCAATCTATGTCCTACTCGTCGAATTCGTCTATACTTTGTTGTACATCGGGAAATCGAGGTAGAAATTCGACAGAATTCCAATACGGTTCGAATACAGTTCCAAGACGGTTCTAATACGGTTCCAATACGGTTCTTTTTTTGATCTAATACGGTTCCAATACGGTTCAAATACGGTTCTAATACGGTTTCAATACGCTTCCAATACGGTTCTTTTTTGATCTAATACGGTTCCAATACGGTTCTAATACGGTTCCAATACGGTTCTAATACGGTTCCAATACGGTTCCAATACCGTTCCAATACGGTTCTTTTTTTGATCTAATAGGGTTCCAATACGGTTCCAATACGGTTCCAATACCGTTCCAATATGGTTCCAATACGGTTCCAATACGGTTCCAATAGGGCCCAGAAAGGGAAGGGTCTGTGGTCGACCCCGTCCGATCTGCCAAGTTGAGCAACGTCGGCGCGGGTTAGTCGTGGGTTCGACTCCCATGGGTTCCCCTCCGAGCGCCCCAGCCCGGCCATCGGAGTATCATCGGCTACGACAACTACACTTCTGCCTCAGTAAATGTGGAAGCAGGTTGTGATCTGCGCTAAGTGCGAAGACAGATCAAATCATTTTTATTATTATTATTATTATACGGTTCTAATACGGTTCTTTTTTGATCTAATAGAATTCCACAGAAACTCCTGTAATCAATCTTTGATTCTCTTTTGTTTTAGAACTTACATCTCAACTCAACCAAATAATCCCGTTTTAACCCAATCTGCCACATGTACTCATCGAGAAATCATTGAGGGGAAAATCACGTGCCTTCAAGTTGTTGATGCTTTTATTGAAAGATTGGAAGAGGTAAAGAACACTCTACAATCTACAATCTACAATCTACCGTCTACAATCTACAATCTACAATCTACAATCTACAATCTTTCCATTCTTTACAACAATTTATAGGTGGACAAAGTAGTGAACGGAATCTGTTATCGAAACTATTCAACAGCAAGGACAAAAGCTCAAGCGATCGATGAAATGTTGAACGCATTGAGTCACGAGAAAAGAAATGAAGTAAAGAAAATGTTTACGATAGAATACAAGGAATACAAACAGCTTCAGCTCTCAACACATCGTCCCTTCTTGGGCGTACCGATTACTGTGAAAAACAACATCAATGTGAAAGGATTTCGAACGACTTGTGGATGGTTTAAACAAAAAGACAATGTAGCCACAGAAGATGCGCCATCTGTACAAAGGTAAAAACAAATTCAAAAATTTATCCGCCAGTTGCTCATTGATCTTGCTCTAGTGTTGAAAACAAAGCCTATTTGCAAATGTTCAGAATGCGAGAAGCTGGTGCAATTATCGTTGCTCTAACAAATGTACCCGAGTTTTGTTTATGGATCGAGACATCAAATTCAATGTTTGGTAAAGATTTTCGACTCTTTATTAGTTTGTTTGTACTTTATTTGTAGACCTTCTCAATTCCTGATTTCCCTTAATAGTAATGCACCGTAAGCTTCGCCTAAATCCTCCGCCTAAATTGCTCGAAATATCGATAACCGCTTATTAGAGCCTATCGATGTGGGGTCGGAAAATGTAGCTGACGATGAGATCTAGTCGAGGATTAGACTCTTGAGCTTCAGCAAAAGCTTGGAAACCGTAAAATCGTCACCAACTCGGTTCGCTCGGGTACACTACTATTAGAGAAAAGCCGGTACATGAAAAACACACTTTTAAATGGCGCACCGAACCCTCCACACCGAATGAATTCTAGAGTCATGCATAAGGAGAAATCTTGGTCAAAGCCTTTTCCTAAGCCTTTCTTTCTCATTTCCTACTGATAAAATATAGTTTTTTCTCTAATAGTAGTGCACCCAAAGTTTTGCCTAAATTCCTCGAAATCTCGATAACCGCTTATTAGAACCTATCGATGTGGGGTCGGAAAATGTAGCTGACTAGAGGATTAGATTAGATCGTTGAGTGGAGGATTAGATTGTTGAGCTTCTGTGAAAGCTTGGAAACCGTAAAATAGTCCTCAACTCGGCTCAGCGAAATGCACTGTTATTAAGGAAAATACGATGAATCTAATCTTTTAGGACAAACAAATAATCCCTATGATACAAGACGAACATGTGGTGGATCGAGTGGAGGAGAGGCGGCTCTTATCGCTTCTGGAGCCTCTGTGGTAAGTTTTTTTGAAGAAATTTGAATGGTTTTGATTGCTTATGTAAGCAAATCATTGTCAATACAATTTCAGATTGGTATTGGAACGGATATTGCGGGAAGTATTCGTGTCCCTTGCATGTTCTCAGGTCTCTTCGGATTAAAACCAAGCGTCGGTAAGATTTGAGCGAAAGCGGTAAGCGAAATAACAAAAACTAAGGTTACGGCAGTTTTTTATAAGTTACCCTGTAACTTTGCAAGTTGTAAGTTTTGTAAGTTTGCAAGTTTGTAAGCTTGCAAGTATTAGGTATTTCCCCAATTGATGGCCTTTTCCCAATCGATCAATCATCTCGCGCTTCCATGCAAACTGTTGGACCGATGTGCCGATATGCTGAAGATTTGGAGCCAATGTTTAAAGTGAAACAGTTGTTTTTCTGTCATCAAACTTTTTAGGCAATATGTCTGCCCAGTAAATTCACTCAACTTCTTCCATCAAAGGAACTCAAAGAGATCAAATTTTTCTCATTTCCTGGTTTTCGTGGTGGCCTCACTGAGAAATTGACTGATGAACAGAGAAGTGTATTTGATAAGGTAGCCTTGGAAACCTTTGAAAAACCTTGAAATCTTTGAAACTGCCTTGGAAACCTTTGAAAAACCTTGAAATCCTTAAAACTGCCTTGAAAAACTCACTACTTTTAGACCATTTCGTTCTTCGAGAAAGAATTTAAACGTCCGATTCCTTCTGTGGACATTCCATATCAAGTAATATAATAAAAAGAATCTCAATGAACTATTTGAAATCTAAATGTGATTTCTGAGTGATTCGGTCACGTTTAGGATCAAATGTACGAGATTGTGGCCATTTTTCTACAAGATGGTTTAGAGAAACCATATTGTGATATCATGGAAGGGACAAAGGTAGAAAATAAAGCTAAATTCTCTAACGACTTTTCAGAACCCTCGCGAGTTTGTGGTTGATGGAGTAAAGACCATTTTTGGATCAAAGGATACTAAACTTTCAAAGCTTTCGCTGCAGGTTTTAAAGGGAAAAGAGGAACTTAAAAATACCTAATTCTAGGTTAATGTGAACTCGATTTTCATGCATGGAACGACAAAAGAACAAGTTGAAAAGGTTATCAAGCTTTATTACTTACAAGGGAACTGGATTTGCTGGTCTGATTTGATTTACTGGTCAAATCACACGAGCCATAGTAGAATTTCACGCTGATCATGAGGCTGCTTTTCTTTTTTGCTACAGAACACTCTGTCAAAAGTTATAAGTGTTTAAAGTTTTGTAAGAAAAGTCAAACGGCCACATTACAACCCTGTCTTTCGCAGAGCCAACAAGCCATAGCGGTGGCCGAGTGGTAGGGAGTTAGGACTTGAACCGGATGGCAAGACGAGGGCTTTCTGGTTCGAGTCCGGTCGCGGCCATTGTTCTTTTTTAGGTATTTAAACAATAGCTGAACATCATTTGTTATTGATGAACATCATTTGTTCTTTTTAAAATTAACATCAACGATTGTATATCTTCAATTTAGGCGATTAAATTGAGAGATCAAGCTTCGGCAGCAATGTGTGAGCTACTTGGAGATGATGGTATTTTGTGTATCCCAGGATGGCCAACACCAGCTCCTCATCACAATGTCACTGTGTGGAAACATTCAACAATCGCGCAAACTGGTGATTCAATATTTTAAACAATAGCTGAACATCATTTGTTATTGATTCATCAGTTATTGATTCTAATCATTTTTCAGCTGTTTGGAATGCTTTGGGAATGCCGGTGATCACGGTGCCTCTCGGTCTCTCCAAACAAGGATTACCATTATCTGTACAAGTGAATCCCTCACTTGTTCCATTGAATCATTCCTTTTCAGTTCACCGCCTCGAAAAACAATGATCTCACTTTATTGAAGTTGGCTGAATATCTTGATGGACATTCAAATCATTGCATCAATCCTGAAGTTTTCCCCGGTTTTGTCGCTCCATGGACTCTCAATCAATGAAGTTTCATTGCTCTTTTTCATTGCTCTTATTGCTTTCATTCCTCTTATTGCTTTCATTGCTCTTTACAAAACCTTTATTACCCAAGTCAATTTTTAAAAAAACACACAAATCAAAGTTAATAAAAAAAATGATTTGTTCGATGTTAAGGCCAGACCACAAAAAATGTATGACAAACAATGAAATGGGCAAAAACAAAAAAAAACACAGGGAAACTTATGAAGAGATTGTGAAAATTCTGAGCATTCACACATTTTTTTAGATAGATTTAGGAAAAATAGATCGAAATGAGTCAAGAAAATGCAAAAGAATTCGATTTGGAGGCTTGTGTTCAATGGCTTGTTCAATGGGGTTAGCTCTATTGGAACTAAAATTCACTACAAACAGCTATAAGATAAAGATTTTCATTCAATTTATACAAACAATCAGGGTGACTTTGCGTGAAGCATTTTCCAAAATGTGTGCTAAAGACAAAACTACCGTAATCCCGTTACAATTGTAAATCCTTTTTTATCAACAGTGCAATATCTTGTCGTATTCCAAATTACCGTAATTCAAGTTCTGCCAGTACTACCGCGTAGTTCAGATCTTACTATAGATCTTTTATGTTTCCTTTTTTATTTTACAAGAAAATCTTTACGGTTATGGTGCAAAATAGCCAACACTTGTAAAGAAAACATCTATGGCAATTTAAGGTTTTCGTGTTTTTTCAGCACGAACGCTTTGATATTGACTATTTTTGACCATCATTTGATGCAAAATAAAATTGCGCGTCAAATGATACCAAAATCAACTCAAAATATAATATCCACACAAAGTTGTTAGCTAAAAACCTAAGCCCCGCCCTTTCTGGACGGGACTTAACCTTTTGCCTTCGTTTGCATGGATATTTTGAATTAATTTTGGTATCATTTTGGTATCATTTGACGCGCAATCTTATTCTGCATCGAATGATAGTCAAAATAGTCAAAATCAAAGCGTTCGTGCTGAGAAAAACACGAAAACTCGGCAATTTAAGGTCTCACGTGTTTTTCTCAGCACCAACTCTTCGCTTTTAACTATTTTGACTATCATTTGATGCAAAATAAAATTGCGCGTCGAATGGTACCAAAATCAACTCAAAATGTAATATTCACGTAAACTTATGAGGCAAAAGGTTAAGTTCCATCCATAGTGGACGGGTACCATACAACGGATTAGGTTTTTAGCCAACAACTTTGCGTGGATATTACATTTTGAGTTAATTTTGGTATCATTTGACGCGCAATCTTATTCTGCATCAAATGATAGTCAAAATAGTCAAAATCAAAGCGTTCGTGCTGAGAAAAACACGAAAAACCTTAAGTTGCCAACGACAAAAAGGATCGACAGATGTTTTCGTTACAAGTCTACAGTAAAGTATCAAACTTTAGATTACGGTAGCTTTGTCTACGGGAATCTTTTAGAAAACGCTTCAGCACAGGGCTAAAACAGATTTGAGATATGCTTCAGCTACTTTGTAATTTTGATGTGAGTGCTTCTATTGTGCATCTAAGTGTAAGTTATTTATCTAAATCCATCTACGATAAGCATGCCAACAAATCATTGAAGCTCAAGATTCTCCGTTTTGATTAATTTCTTGTTCAGATTCTCCGTTTTGATGTTCTTTGTTCAGATTGTGATCATGAAGATGAAGAAGAATGCTGATAGAATCCGCTTACTCATTCACTTTTACAGTAAACACTTCAAACATTGAGCAAGTCAAAGCCCTGGAATGTGCTTTGCACTCTTGCAAACACGAGCCCTCTAGCACACTTGATCTATTGTGCCAGAGAGTACTCGTTTGTTCAAAGCTCAAAGAGCTCAAGAGCCCAAAGAGCTCAAGAGCTCAAAGCACAGCCAGTTATTGAGCTGCTGATACAAACGGTTTTCCCCAATGATCCATTGATATGCTCGGTATGAATTGATACCCAAAAAGCTTGCTATGTTAAACAATGTTCAAATTTGAACAGGGATTTCCCCGAGTGCAAGATCTACTTGTAAGTACAGTGCCCAGGTTTGAACATCACTCACCTCTCTTTTTCTCAATCCTGATTCCATGCCTGTTAAAGTTGTGAGTATTTTTCTATAAACTTTGAAAATAAATCTCATCTCTACTTTATATTTTCTTGACTCACCAGAAAAAAAAAGAAATCGATAGATAGCACCAGTAAATAGAGAGATTATGTAATGAAAAAGACACAGATTTTTCTCCTTTCTCTTTTCTCAGTTAAAAAACAAGTTTAAAATGAGCTCTGTACAGGTTTTTGAGCTCTGTACTCTGTACAAAAATCTGTACAGAGCTCTGTACAGATTTTTATTCACGCAAATAGATAAGGTGCCTTATATCCGATGATGAATGTGCAGATGAAGAGAAAAACGGAAAACGTGATGAAACAAATGCGATCGATGACCATTGCGGCAAAGATCCATTCACCGGACACCGAGTGCATCAATTCCTGAAGTGAAACAAATGTATTCGAAATCGAATCCTATCAATACCTCTTTTTTGATCTTACTCGAGATCACTTTAATCTCAGCAAGCAGTGAATTGAACTGTAAATCATCCATGTGAGTTCTCGAAACCTGAAAAGCCATTAGATTTGAATAGTCATTAGATATGAGTAGCCATTAGATCTGAATAGCCATTAGATCTGAATAGCCATTAGATTTGAATAGCCATTAGATCTAGTCAATTCAGTCAATTCAGTCAAGTCATTAGTCACTTCTCTCCTTCTTACCGATAACAATCTTTTCTCCAATCCTTTATCGATTGTTCCATTTCGATTCTCATCTTCATTATGATGATGATGGGGAAGAGGCTGAAAATGGAAATCTTCTACTCGTTGGTTGGAAGGTTGGAAAGAAGTTGGTTGGAAGGTTGGAAGGAAAGTTCTCGGGAAAAGTTTGACTGGAATTTCTTAGAAACAAATTCACCAATTTTGAAAAATTATTATTTTCCAGCTTAAATTCCAGCTTTTCCAGCTTCCAGCTCACTTTTTGCACCAGAAAAACGATTTCTTATGAGGTAAAGCTAGCATAAAGGAGCAATACGCCCTATAACCTCTATTTTTTGGCCAAAAATTCTTTACAAAGAAGCTGTATTTCGAAAACTAATATTTTTGGTGGCATCTTCTTGGCACCGAGTGCTTGCTAAAATTGTAGAAACGCGTAGAAAGGCTATTTTTAAAAACTGTTTTTACCAAAGGATTGGCCCAAATTTAGGCTTTCGAATGGCACCAAGATCAGGCCAATTCATCATCTATGCGCTGAAATATAACGTTTTTTCTAAATTTGTAGTCCTATACCATGGGGAGAGACTACAAACAGCTATTAACGGCCCATTCTTGGACTAAAAATGATGGATTGACTTGAACTTGGTGTCATTCGAAAGCCTAAAGCTGGGCCAATCCTTTGGTAAAAACAGCTTTTAAAAACAGCCATTCTACGCGTTTCTACAGGTGTTTGTAGTCCTTGTAGTTTGTAGCACCCATGTCTAGTTTGTAGTCCTTGTAGTTTGTAGTGCCCATGTCTAGTTTGTATGCCGATGTTTACACTCAACTCACCGGTGGAATCCTTGAGTAGAAATAGGGCAGTGAGCGGTCATCTGTCGGCTAAATTGAAAAAATTAGACGGCAACTTACACTTACTGTCACTGGTGGAGGAGCTCGTGAAGCGGGTGGTGGCAGGGAATTGCTGGGATGAGTGATTTGCTGATGATGAGATGCGGCTATTGGAGACACATTTGGCCCCTTCACAGATGCGATTGCTGCCCCTTCACAGATGTGATTTGTCGTTTCATCGGCTTGTTTTTTGCCTGAAATTGATTCAGAGATCCTATTTTTCTCATTCAGCGATCCTATTTTTCCTACCATTCTTCCCAGAACAAAAATCGAGATGCACGGATTTTGAGATGTATCCGGGATGTTTCAAGAGTTGCCGATCCACCTCCACAACATCGTAAGTGAATCGTTTCTTTCTGAAGTGTAAGTGTAAGTGTAAGTGTAATTGTCAGTATTCTTTCTGAAGTGTCTATTTTGTAAGTGTTAATTTGTCACCTAGGCGTGTCTCTCACAAATCCATTGCACGGAGAAATTGGTGGAGGACCTTGAGGAAAGAAATCCGCAGGTCTTTCCAAAAAAACCATTGATGGTAACCAATCAAGTAGGATTTTGCGAGCCTAAATTGGACACTATAAATTTTTTGTTGAAAAACGCACAGTTTTTCCCATTGGTCGATACTGATCGGCTCCGCGATGGTGAAAATTGAGAGCGACAACGGTGCAAAAGATTGATGCACCCACTTCAAACATAATACAAGAGAAATAGACTTCTGAAATTGAAAGAGTAACAAGAAATATCAGACAAAGATATCAGACAAAGATATGAGACAAAGATATCACACAAGGAATATCTACAAGAAATACCACAAGAAATATTACTCCTTACCAATTAGCGGAAGTGAATCAGATGTTTGTGGCATTGCCTCAGCCACCACTAACATGAAAACACAAAGTGACATGAAAATTGTGACGCCTGAAATGTTTCTGGGAGATTAATATTCAGTTATTAATGTTTCTTGGAGATTAATTCAATTATTAATGTTTCTTGAAGATTAATTCAGTTATTAATGTTTTAATTCAGTTATTAATGTTTATAAATATTAATATTAGTAAGATGATCATCTGAAAACTCACAAAGATTAATCTTTTCTCCAGAATCTGGTGGAAGAGTAAAACCGAGAAGAGCGAGAGCCGAGATTAGCATACAAGGTAGCACCAAATTGAATCTACAAAGCCAATTTTCGATCTTTACCTGAAAGAATTTCAGTTTTACCCATAATACAGTGTTCTTCTCCGGATAGTGATCGTGAAAGTGACATCATAATATGGCTCTGGACAACACTCATAATAGAAAATCGATCGACCTGATTCAAGACCTGAGAATTCAAGATTCAGATTTCAGATTCAGATTCAGATTCCTTTCCTTTTTCCTTTTCCTTCCACATTACTATCAAAATCCTATTTCCTCACCTAACAATTGCCATTCTCCATTTGGTTGATAGGTGGCTGTTGACGAGGATGTATTCCGAAGATCGGTGAAGAAACCCGAGTATGTCCAAGAACCGAATTTCATCGAACATCGCTGAGTATCGAAGGGAAACCTAGAGAACTTGATTGAAATTGATTCAATCAATTGATTGATTCAATCATTCAATCAGAATCAATTCAATCATTCAATCAATTCAATCAAATTACCAAGCAATATCAATATTGCAGGAACTTCGGATGATCGCTGGTGGAATCCATGTCACATTGCCGTTACTAAAGTGCTTTTGTAGCAAGTTTAAAAGTTTAAATCTACTATAAAACGACGGCATTCACTGGCCATGTGCTGTCGAATTGTTGATCGACCGAATTGTACAATAAAACGTCTGGAAGTTCACGTCATTTCTCTTTCTGGACATTTCTCTTTCTAGACATTTCTCTACCTGGTTTCCAGATTGATCCAATCGGCAATCGAACCTCTTTTATATTACCAAACTGAGCAGGATCCCATGTGAGATAATGATCAATCCAACTCTGATGTTTTCTTTGGTTTAAAAAGTGAAAATCTCATTTACCAATCTCAACCAAACATTCGAATTCATGATTTGGCTTTTCTCGTCCTAAAACTGTCTTAAACTTGTCTTCAAATAATAACTCACAATATCGATAATCTGTTGAAAGTCCAAGCCCAACAAAACAATCACTGGCTCGGTGTCATTCTGAAGATTCAAGATTTTCAAGATTTCAAGATTTTCCTCAAATCACTCACTTTCACCGGCCTTGCCAATCGATTGTAGCTTAAGGTCAATTTGTCGTACAACATTCTCTCATAGTCACCGGCCCAAATCACTGAAAAGATATTCATTGTTAGTCATTTTCGTATCACCCCTTTTCTTCTCAAAACTCAATATCTTTCACAATGTGATTATTGTGAAAGAATCGATCTTTCTGCATCCTTTCTTCCCCAATGGACTCTTCATAAATCTTCTCCTTTTTTCTTTTCATCGTCCCATCTTTTCCTCAAATCCACCCAAAATTGCACCATCGGGAATTCTCCTCGATTTTTCCTTTCTTTCTAATAGATCTCTCACTTTCAAGTGTTCTCAAAATGATCGCTTAAAGACTTTCTAAGAGTTTTCACAACTGAAGAACATTTTAGAACTTAGAACAAGTTAGAACTTAGAAAAGTTAGACAGTAAACAACTTAGAACAGGTTAGAACAAGTTCAAGTACAAAATAGCTTAACATAGCTCAATACCTTCTCTGACTCGTTGTGCCACACAAAACACATTGAGGAGAAGACTCGATAGAAGAGCTTTCCGAATAGACATCCTTTTTTGTGAGAAATGATTACAAAATGCGATGAGATATTGATGAAATCATTGAATGGCTGAAATCCTTGAATGACTGAAATGTGTGCAACTAGAATCACATCAAAAAGATTCATAAAAAATGTAAATGAAGTGGATTGGGGAAATGGGGAATTTGTAAAGCTGACACGTGTTTCGAATGGAAAAGGGAAAGTCCTTGAAAATCCCCGAAAAAACCGAAGAAAAGCCCAAACGCCCACTTAAATGTGAGAAAATATGTGAGATGGGGAAATATGTTGATTTTTGAGGAAAAAAACTTTATTTGGAGAGAAGCTATCTACGGTTTGCAGAGTTCAGGCGAAAAGTTGGTCTTTGCAATTGGAAATGCAAAATGTGGATATGCGAATAGATTTAAAATATTTACCGTATTCTCATTAATAGGGGGGCGGGACAAATGCGACCTTTTTTTTTGCGACAAATCAGACCTCGCTGACACGTCAAATTTGGGCTAAAAGGCAAAAACTGCGGAAAAGCGTTAAGTTGCGTAGTTTTTGCCTTTTAGCCCAAATTTGACGTGTCAGCGAGGTCTGATTTGTCAAAATTCTGAATCTACGCATACGATTCCCTTATATGGAAATATTTTCGAAGCTCTACGATTTTTCCTAAGGCCTTTTCCAGCAAAAAAAGGTCGCATTTGTCCCACCCCCTTAATAGTATTGCAGGCTTGGAGCGGATTGAAAAAAATAGTATTGACAAAATTTAAGTGTATTTAAAATTAGCACTCGAGTTTTGTTGTTTGTAGTTTTGAAGTTGTTTGTAGTTTGTAGTTAAGTTGAAAACACTCTTCTACTATTTTTTGTTGTTTTTTAATAATTTTTATGCGTTTCTTTTGCACAAATCATTTTTTTCTTTAGATTTCATCGATTCGGAACAAGCGGCAACGAAGAAGAAACGATGTTTTGATGTCGGTGCAAAGCTCGCCGCGATCACATTGGCTGAAAAAATGAAGGACAAGTTGGCTGTAGCAAGGAAATTCGGAATTAGTCGACAAAATCTTCAGCAATGGTGCCAGCAAAAGGCCAAACCTGAAAAGCAATGCAACGAAAACGGGAAGGGAACAAAACGGATTAAAGGTGGTGGACAAAAACTCAAAGATCCCAATTTCGGCAAGGAGCTGGCCGGTTGGATTCGAGAAACACGAACAAAGGTGAAGCGTGTGACTTGAAAGATGATCCAAAAGCAAGCGAAGTTTATTTGGCAAGAAAATGAGGAGTTTCCGGCATCAGAGGGATAGTTGAATCGGTTCATGGCAAAACACGGATTTTCGACCCGTTGTCCCAAAACTGTATGCCAGAAGGAGTCGCAGGAATACGTCCAGGGATTGGTCGAGTTCATTCTTTACTTAGAGAGTTTGCAAAAGAAGAATACGTACTGTTCGATCTACGCATGTGACGAGACTGGAATTTTTCTTGATCAGTCGAACAGTTTGATAATCGCCGACAAAGGATCCGGTCGACAGGGTCGACAAGGTGACAGTACTTTCAACTGGACACGGCAAAATGCGAATCACTCTCATGTTGATAACACGAGAAGACGGATTCAAATGCAAGCCATTTGTTTTGCTGAACCGGGTCGAAGATTCGAGGATCATCCGAAATTTCAGAATAAGCTCGAGCTGCACTGGAGTGGATTTCCATGAATGAATGATACTTTAATTGAAACCTACCTTCGAAAGATTTTGGGTGCTCGACTTTTCGGGAGACGATGGATCGTTTGAGATAGCTTTTCGACTCACAAAAGCAAAGCTACGAGGAAAATTCTAAAGGATTTGCAAATTGATTCGATTCTGGTACCTGGAGGGTGCGCTAAGTATTTTCAAGCAATGGATGTGGTCCAGAATGCTTCTTTCAAAACGAGGATTTGAGCCCAATATGATGATTGGATGCTAAATGGGCAAAGACCGTTGCGCAATGAAAATTCGGCTCCACCACCAATGGAAACCTATCTTGAATGGGTTTGGAATGCGTGGAATGACTCCCAAAGGACTTCATCATGCTCTCGTTCAAGAATTGTGCAATTACCACGGCTACTGATGGCTCGGGAAATGGTTTCATTCACTGCTTCAAGAAAGAAGAACCTATTTTTGAAGGCATAAGACTCCACACCGATGCTCGACTTGAATAATCCATCAATTGAGTAAAGGATCAATTTGGAAATATTGAATTGGATGGAGATAATGATTCGGATAACGATTCTTTTGTCGATTTCTTGACTAGTTAGTTTTTTATCATTTTGTACATAATAACAATAATTTTAAAACAATAGAGATGATCAGGAAACAGTTCCAAAGAAGTAATAACTAAGATAATTGATGTTTGCCAAATTGATCAAGTGAGGTAAAAGAAAAAAGGCGAAAGAAAGGAACTGGTCACTCGTTTCTCTCTTACAAAGGGTGTTCCTCCCCTCCCGGTGAATATTTTATCATTTTTCTACGTCGATATGTATGTGCAAGGGAATGTCTCGGATTTCATACTGCAATCAGGTCTTTATACAAACCACTAGATAGTAATAGTAAAAAATTCGATTTAGTAACTCAAGCAAAAGCCAAAATCAAGATTTAGAAAATACTAAGATCTAAAAATGAATATAATGACTCAACTATATAGAATCACAAATGGATAAGTGAAAAGGGAATAAAAGGAGAAGATCCAGAAATGGATGTGTGAAATTTGAATGCCGGATGAAGTAAGAAAGAGAGGAAATGGAAAAGAAATAAAATGGCATGAGGAAGAAGAGGAAGAAGAAGAAAAGGAAGAAGAGGAAGAAGAAAAGGAAGAAGAAAAGGAAGAAAAGGAAGAAGATTTGAAGGAAATCGGAAAAGATTTCATTCTGATGAAAAGAAGAAGAACGGATGAACATTTCATAAAGAAGTTTGGAGAAGAAATCGAGCTGCAGATGAAATTTGGACTCGACGAAAAATTCATAGAGCAAATATTGAATTTCAGTACATTTCTTGCAGTGACTGGAGTTTTTGCGTATGGAGCAACTAATATTTGAGTGATTCAAACTAAAATCAAATCAAAAATTCAAACTAAAACCAGAAAGCTAGCGTTTACGAGAAAACAGAGAAACTGACGGGATTGCGGTGTTTCTTTTTCCAGAATTTAAAAAAAGCTTTTTGGATAACTAATCCGGGCCCCAACCAGTCTGCCAGAAGCTTACGTTTACGCAAAATTACAAGAAATGAAACTACTGCATTTCAAAACCCTTTCTGAATATTTATGAATTTCGGTTGTTTGTTTTATACGATTCTATTGGATACAGATGATTTATAAGCAGAAAAAAGATTTCAATAAATTATTTTGAAACAAAAATGTTTAAAACAATAGTCTAAATAGTCTAAATAGTCTAAATAGTTAGACTAAATAGTCTAAATAGTCTAAAAGTTAGTCTAAATGTTTTAGACTTGCAAAAAAGAACACTTCTGCTTTTGACAGATTTGAATGAAGAACCAATAGAGGATCAGAATGGAAATGATTGAGTTTTGAGATAAAATTGGAGAAGAAATAACTGCAAGGGAGCTATGCACTTACGATTGAATGGAAAATATTTTAACTATATGGTAAGAGTGGGTAAGAAAACCGGTTTGTTTAGAATTGGAGCCGAAATCGGCTGAAGCTAGAGGAAAGTTCCCTAAAGTCTTTCTGTTCACAAACCATTGAAGAAATTGAATTGAATTGAATAGCTTTTTGAAAGCAGTAATTCGGAGATCAGAAAAATGAGAACAAGATAAAGCTATGGGATTGAAGATGAAATTGAAGCTATGGCAATGAATTCTAAGTTTGATAGATTCTAGATCTTGATAGATTCTAGATCTTCAGATTCTAGATTTTGATAGATTCTAGATCTTCAGATTCTAGATCTTGATAGATCATATTATCCTAGAAGATTCTTAAAGCTTTTTTGAATCTCATGACGTTCTTGAAGAGATAATCGGTGAATTTGACTGAGTGGGATGAGTCGGAGACATACTTTTAAGGACAAAAATGGGTGAATCTCTCTGGGGACATTGAAGAAAGCAGAAAAAAAGAACACAGACATTAGAAGGGAAAAATTGAGGAAAAGAAAAGAAAAGAGAAAAGAAAAAAAAGAAAGAACAAAGCTTTCCCCGGAAACATAAATATTTGGAGTCACTGCTTTTTAGGGAGTCCCTCTTTTTTGAATCCTTTTCTGACTGCAGACTTTCTGACTGACTGCAACAGAGTGTGAAATCGAGGAGACACTTTTTGAATGGAAATTGCAAGGAAAAAATGAACAGCTACAGGGCTTTGTTAAATAAGAATATAGATAAAGAGTAGACTGACTGACTACTCATACTGTGATGGTGCAAAGTGTTTTAGAGAAGAGTTGAAGGGGATGCACGAGGTATTGAAGTTGAAGGTATTCTACTCTCCTCCCCCTCCTCGTGAATGCTTCTCTAAACGAATGTGTGAATTTCTGCCATTCGCTTGAGAAGTACTAAAAGACAATTGATGGAAAGAAAAGTAAAGAAATGATGGAGATGGCACATGATAGGAGTGAAAATACTGCAGATGCAAGAGAATTCTCGGGCATATTGACATTGAATGAATGCAAGAGTGTTTTAGGAAATGTTTTTGAACAAAGAAATAGCAGCAGTCTTTGGTTGAGCTGTACAAGTGGAAATTTGGGGTTATTTGATGGATTAGAACTTCAGAACTTCAAAATCAAGTACGACAATTCGAAAGCGCAAATGATAGATGCAAATGAATGATGCAAATGAAATCTCTTCACAAATTGGCTCTGTTTTGATTTTGTCTCATTCTAAGCTCAGTTTCGTCTCATCCCGGGCTCAGTTTCGTCTCATTTTCATCTTATTTTCGTCTCATTTTTACGAACACCCTCTTTTTCGTCTCATTTTTAAGCAGAATCCCCTTAAAAAAGCATCAAATATCAACTATTCAAAGAACATTAAGAACGGAGAAAAAAGCTTTTACAATTTGGCTTTAGACTTTTGAAAAGCTTTCAAATACGAAAAGAATTATTAATGAGTGTGCCAGAAAGAGTATGTTTAGAAAAATCAGGCCGGTACTGAGCTCAGAATGAGACGAAACCAAAACAGAGCCAATTTGTGGCACTCCAGGACTCCAGGACAAGCTTTATAACAAAGAAAAAGAAAGTACAGTCGAACCTCTCTATAACGTAACTCACGGGACGGCTATAGCTTACGTTATATAGAGGTTTACGTTATATAGAGTGCCGTTTTATATAGCTTAACGTCGGCCGGGACCGGTCACGCCTTACGTTATAGAGAGGTTTACGTTATATCGAGGTTCGTTATAGAGAGGTTCGACTGTATTTGTCGAATTTAAAGCACTGAGTAGGCAGTTTATTTCCAAATTCCCCCATTGTGACCCTGCATGGAGTGGAGCTCTCTACGGAAATTTGTGAGAACAATGGGAAGACGGGGATGGAAAGGACGGGCACTCCGTCCTTTCGCTTCTTCTCTTCTTTTACTCTTCATGCATATGCACAATCTGGAAGAACTCTCAAAAGTTTTGAAAGTTTTCAGAGAGTTCTCAGACATTTTCACTTGCAAGTGCAAGCAAACACTGGCTTCAAAACACTGTTTAGAAATAGAAATGTTTAGAAAAACCACTTGAAACCACTTGAAATCCTTGAATATCTTTAACCTTTTATTATTCAGCTTATTCAGCTTAGCTTATTATTCAGCCTAGCTTATTCAGCTTAGCCTAGCTTATTGAGCTTAGCTTAGCTTATTCAGCTTAGCTTATTATTGAGCTTAGCTTATTATTCAGCCTAGCTTATTCAGCTTAGCTTATTCAGCTTAGCTTATTCAGCCATTTCTAAATCTTTATATCTAATATTTTCATTCCATTTTCTTTCTATTCACTCGCTTTCTTTTCAAAGTTTCCTTTTTTGCTTACTCACCTGGAAAAATAAGAAATGCCATCAATGAATGCTGAAAAAAGTGTTGAGAAGATCGATCGATTTTGTGGAGAACATTTTGCATCTGAAAAATCATCTTGCTATATTGATGCTGTTAAAATAGAATATGCTAATGAAGGGAAAAGTTCATGGCAATTTCTTGGATCTCCAATTGGACTTGAAGATTTATTTGGGGAAGTGGAAGAGATTGGAAATTGGAAAAGATTGGGAAAAGGTTGACGGAGAAATTTATGAGTACACTTAACAAGATGAGAGGAAAATAGGAAAAGGATTGAATCTATCAGAGAATCGAATTCTTGGATGATTGAGTCAGAAGTCAGAGGTCAGAAGGTCCTCTCTGGCCAGCCTGACTTGGATTTACTGCAAGTCTGACCAGCCTGACTTGGATTTACTGCAAGTCTGGCTCACAAAAGTGTCAGAGTCCATCAAAAGCTAGGCTTAGACCTGGACTAGGCTGTAAGTCCTAGGCCAGTAGAGAACTTTAAACTTGCTGCTTGCTTGTAGAGAACTTTGAAACAAATTCTGTTTCTCAAGCGTTCACTGCTTGGAATTCACAACGTTGCAAAATCGAGTAACAAGCAGAAAAAGAGGGGGAAGGAAAATTATGTGAAAGGCTATGTAAAGAACTGAAAAAGGAATAAGAAAAGAAAAAGGGGAAAAGACAAAGAAGGATATGAGAGGAATTCTTCCATGGACAGAAAAAAATGGAGGAATTCTTCCTTGGACAGAAAGAAATGGAGGAAATCTTCCTTAGAAACATCCCCAATGCAAAAAGGAAGACTCCTTTTAGCTTTTTTTCTTTTTCTGACTCAAAATAACACACATAATCGACACTTTCACAATCCAGAGATGTCATTTTTGGTACAACTTGGGTAATTGAACCGGCTGGAATGCAAGCATTGTGTCAGATCTCGATTTTTTTTGAAGAAAAAACATTGACAATGAGATTTCCATTGAGATTGAGTCAATGGAAATCTCGTTATGACGTAGGAATCTTCATTTTAAATAAAAATAATACCAAATACCAAATAAAAAAAAGTAGTAGACGGGGATTTGAATGGGAGAATCATCAAAGTCCATCGAAAAGTTGAGCAATGGCTCGAATTTCTTCCCGAAAAGAGCCAAAAACCCTCTCATTTTTCTCAAATGAGCCAAAATCTTCAACAAGTGTTCATTTTTATAGAAAAAAAGTCGAAAAATGACTGAATACGATAAAAATTGAACAACTGAATACCGTAGGCTTTGAAAAACGAAGCATTGACCTAACTAGAGGCACGAAAATACAAATTCAGTTTATATACAGCGTGAAAAGTTCTGTCTCCTCTTAAAAAATCTTTTTACGATGTTTTATGAAGTTTCCATCACTCAAAACCTACTAAATTAACTTTTTCAAGTATTTTTACGTTAGAAAATTGTTTCATACTTTCTATTTTACTCTTATAGAACATTTTATAGAACTTTTTAAGACAAGATTTGAGGTACCGCAGGCCAAATAGCTTTTCAAATCTTTTTTAAAGACTATTTAGCTAATAAAACATTGTCTTGAGGATTTTTAGCATTATTTACATCTGTCTAGCCATAGTTTATAGAAGTTTTTCCTTGTAGAATTTGTTTTTTTGAAGAATAGTGGCTAAAATTACATGAGAGTTCAAAACTGCACAAGTCGATTTGAAGAAAGACCTTAAATTGAGATGAGAATGCTTAACTGCAAAGTCAAAACCGTAATAAATTATAACAAATTCTTTTTATAGCTAAATAATTACTAGAGACTTTTATTTTTAGTAACTATTAGGTTGTCCAGTTATAAATGCGCGTTTTTAATTGTATAGCTCTAAGGTATGCTTTTCAAGAGCAGGCGTGCATTCATAACTGGACAACCTAATAATTAGCTATAAAAATACCAAATTCTAATTTGTTCCGAAGCTAGGAAAGCTATTTGGCCTGCGGTACCTCAAATCTTGTCTTAAAAAGTTCTATAAAATGTTCTATAAGAGTAAAATCGAAATTATGAAACAATTTTCTAGCTTAAAAATACTTGAAAAAGCTAATTCTGTAGGTTTTGAGTGTTGGAAATTTCATAATAAAGCTTAAAAGTGATTTTTTAAGAGGCAAGAGAACTTTTGAGTCATAGAATTGAGTCAGGCATTTTGAGTCAATTTGTTTCAATTTGAGTCAAACAGTCAACCAGATAAACTCCAGAAGAAAAAAAACGATTGTTTTTCAAGTGAAAGCTTTACCGTCTGCTAAAGGAAATAATCGAAAAGCGCAAAAAAAATAATTATCTTTTCATGAGATGAAAGAAAAGAGGGATTTTCCGCATGATATTCATCCCATTTTTTCCTCATTGAACTCATCACATTCCCCTTTTTTCTTCCTTTTTTCCTAAAATTCGCGCGTATTTTACGCGTTCTGAAAGTAAAAAGAACAAAGTGTTTGCAAGGAAAAGAAAGGAAGGAAGGAGGGAAGGAAGGAAGGAAGGAATAAAGAAAGAAAGAAAGAAAGGATGAAAGAAAGAAAGAAAGAAAGAAAGAAAAGAAAAAATAAAGAACATAATTTAATTCGTCGACCAGAACATCCAAGAATGGAATCGATTCAGAAAAGGAATGGAAAAGAAAGACTGAAGACCGATTATACAGAAAAAATTCGTGAAAACACTTCATTTCCTGGTACTCCCACACTCAATATTGAAGATAAAGTTTAACAGAAAATCCACAATTCAATGATCATCACTGATACAATATAAGAATGTTTGCAAAATGAGCATTCACTTGGGTAATTAAACCTTTTGGACTCTCTCTCTCTCTCTAAGAACTAAGAACTAAACTCTCTAAGAACCCGCCATAGTCAGTCTTTCATCAAAATTCATTTCAAACTGTCAAAAACACTCATTTTCTATAAAGAAACCACAAAACTGACACAAAAATAGATCCGCTAAACCCATTGAAACTTTGAAAAAAAGATTTCCGGCGGGTTTTTTCGGTGTCAAATTCCTGGACATATGTTTTCTCGATTTGAAAACTTTTCTTTGACAAATGTCTACAAAATTTGAAACTTTGGTTTAAAAATGATTCATTGAATATATAGATATATATTGAATCTATGAATATAGACATTTTTTGAGAGAAAATGGAGATTAATTATTTGTCAAGGGAATAAGATGCATGAACGGAAAGAAAAATGAAGATTTTGATTAAGAGAAGGGATTTTGATCAAGAGAAGATCTTTTGGCAAAGACATTTTGCAATCGTTTGTTGCTATGATTGCTAAGATTTGCCATAATGCCATCAAAATAAAATTCTTTCCATTGCAATCCCTTCTTTACCTTGTTGAACACTGTTTTTCGCACTCTTTTTTCTATTTTCTTTCCATTTTCTTTCAATCTCAAGTCTATCCATGAAATTAATAAATTCTTTGAATAAGTTTTTCAGATTTTCCCCAGAAATTCCTCAATTTTGCAAGGAAATGCAAGATTTAATGAAAAAAATGGAAAACTAGAGGAATTGAAGTTTTTGAGAAGGGATCTTTTGATATCCTTTTCTATTGACATGTCCTTTTTCGAAAAATCTCTCCTCTAATCAGACAAATCTTGACATTTCCCCAATGACATTTGAATAGAAAAGACTTTCAGTTTTATTCTCAAAATATAAAATAGCTGGATTTCAATGAAATAAAAGTTATTCTATTCCTCGTGTTGATGTGGTCCTGGTTGTTGTTGTTCAAGTGTCATTCTTCTTTGTAATTCCTGAGATTTCGCGTAGTTAATCCACAATGGTTTTACGTATTCAACTGCCTGAAAAGGAGGTCAATGGAACTGTGGTTAATTTTTAGAGTATTAGGGAAGACAATTAACCTCAAATGAAGTAGCATTATCGGCAATCAATCTGAGCACCATACATCCATCTCTTTTCAACACATCATCCACAAAATAATCGACTGTTGTATGGGATTCAGAATAGCCGCTGAAGTCCTGAAAGGAATCTACTATTTATACGATATAATCTACTATTCTACTACTATTTCACATCAATAATACTGAGCTGAATAGCTTTCACATACAATGCGTTTCACATCAATACGTTCACCCAAGAAAATCGCAACCTCTTAAATTGCAGCATGCTACTGTTAGAAATCTTTTTTATTGAAAAGAGGCTTGCAAAAGCTAGGCGGCCAAAAGCTAAGCGGCCTGAGCTCTTGCTTCAATGCGGCCTGCTTCTGCAGCTTATCCTGAACAATTTGTGGGGTTGTTTGAAGAACTCGCCAGACAGTTGACTTGGAAACATCAAACTTCAGCTCCTCCCTGACGTCATTAATCGACTTCCCATGAATCGTATTGATGATATGTCGAATATCTCGATATCTCGATATCTCGATATCTCGAATATCTCAAATACCTTCTTGTAGTTAGTGCGCTTTTTTTGTGCCATATTCAGCTGAGTCCTTCAAATAATTGTTCATGACGGAAAGTGTTCTTTTGATTTGCTTGGCGATCGAGCGGTTTGACTCTACCTGACCATCGAGCGTGTCGATTTGGACTTTTTCCTAGTTAGAAAGCTTGGTAGCTAGCTTCCTTTTGCTATTTTCTAAAAATTATAAAATTATTGTGGTAAGTTGCAAAAAGATTTATAAAAATTAAAGTGAACGTCTTTATATGAAACGATCGTTTTTGATACTTTGTCAACAACAAGTTTTTGGTCTAAATGTGCAAAAATGTTAAACAATTGGTTGAATCTAGGGTTTTTTATGCACTCTTTTCAATAAAAAAAGAATTTTAGCAGTAGCATGCTGCTAACTTCAGAGATTGCGATTTTCTTGGGTGAACGTCTTGATGTGAAACGCTAGAAAAGAGCAGTGTCTATCTGTACAGGCATTTTCTCGGCCGTGTTTTGATCAATAAAGCTAAGACTTTAGAAAATTACAGAATATATTGTAGTTGTGCCATTTAAAAAATAGAAAAATCAAAGTTGGGTGGCAAATCCAAAAGCCGAACCCGCGCCGTTTGGTCTGTAGACAAGCGCGCTCCTGACTGCGCCTGACTTACACTGACTGACAAGCAAGGTGACGGCCGTTAGCCGAAAAAGCAGCTAGTAAAAAGCAAAAGAACACAATTTTGCTCGTTAAAACTATTTCCATCAACTCACCAACAATTGCTTCACAAAAGCGGTGTTATTATGTCGAAGAACAGCTCGATAAATCCACGAGAAAAGATTGATAATTGAAACGAAAAGAAGAACGATCAACCACCACCAAAGGAAAAGGAAAACTTTCTCGTTGAACATGTTCACCTAAAGTTAATATTTACATTGTTTTACCCAGATCCTCAATCTCACTTTCAACACACATTGCAGTGTCCAATTGTGCACCACATTACCCATCTCGCGGACTTGCACATCGCAAAATGTCACCTGGAAATGGTCCCTTTAAATTTGGTTCTTAATTGCTGTTCTTTGACATAATAACACCCCTTTTGTGAGGCAATTGTTTGTGAGTTGATTTCTAGTTGAAAAAATTAGACCTGCCCTTGGAAAATGACCACTCGTGTGCCATTCTCGACCGCGCAAGAGATCCCGAAGAACACCGAAACCCCAAAAAGTGTATTCGGGACCGAGAACACTGTAATTTTAAGCAAAAATTTGCTCTAGATCTAGATTTGAAAAGATTTTCAACGAATACAGAATCTAAATCTCTAACACTCACATATTCAGGATGACCAACTCGGCAAGAATCACACAAATCGAGAAAAATTTTGCGAGCAGTAAACTCATTGATAGACGATTGCCGAAATGCTCTGAAATGCTCGAAATCAATAGAAATACCCTGAAATATTAATTTTACCTTGAAATTTCATTACAATCAATGGTAATCCATCATCGATTTTCTCGATCTTTGCCGCCATTTTCCGTAAATTCATCGTAATTGACGGGAGATCGATTTCTGGGAAATTTCACATGTAACATGGAAAATTAAACAATAAAACAACAACAAAAACAACTCCCTTTATTACTTACTCAATCTTTTCTGCGAATTTCTCCAAAACCATCTCGGAATGTAAAGGAAAAGACCCATTCCGACAAGAATGAATGGTACCCATTGATAATAAACCATACGACGATCACCTCTGAAATTTGATCGGCTTTATTTGATCGGCTTTACTCAACTTTTACTGTAGCAAAAGATTGTAAAATAACCTCCTTTCCCTCACCGGGATATTGCTTTCATTCATCGGCACAAAATATGTATTCTCGATTAGACAATATGTCTCAATATATTGTTCCCATGCACCCTAAATTAGAGATGAGCACAACAAACTACAAATGTTTCTAACTTGCTTCAAACCTGCCCGATTAATATGATCTATAGCTCAAAAAATAGAGGATCTCAAGAGCTTTCGAATGAATTAAAGCACCCCCAAAAACATCGACGCTAAAGAAAGTTACAGGGATTTGTAGCCTGACTCAAAACGGACCGTACTCGCGCGTAGTCGAAGCGAGCGAGTCAGGTTACAAATCCCTTACTCGCTTCGATAGGGTAGGTCCGTTTAGAGTCAGGCTATAAATCACTGTAACTTTCTTTCCGTTGATGCTTTTGGGCGTGCTTTAGTTCATTCGAAAGCTCTTTGAGATCCTCTATTTTTTGAGCTATAGATCATGTTAATCCAGCAGATTTGAAGTAAGTTAAAAGCGTTTGTAGTGTGAAAGTTCGCCATTTTTGTAGTTTATAGTGCCTTTGTAGTTTATAGTCTACTCTAAATGATCCCATTCAAATGAGCAATTCTTTCACCTACCTTAATCTCGTTGTTCGCCCAACAATTCACCGAGTCTTTCCCGTAGTTTTGCGCGAAAATGAACACCGCTGTGCCGATGAGAACCCAATTCGTGTACACGTATTTCATCCTAAAGATGCTGGCTTAGCTATTTTCTCTATTCTTTCCTTATCTTTATCATTATCTTGATGAATATCTTGATTAATATCATATAAATCTCATTTCACTCACCGATCCACCGAATCGATATCATAATTCTTGTCCAATCCTCCAATTTTGAGGATTTCGCTCCCCAGATCGCTTATTGAGGCCATCTAACAATAATATTACAAAAAAAAAGTTAGAATTTCAAAATAGATAAAGAATTAAGAACTTCTTTATTTCAACAAAGAAATACTAAAAAATTTATTTCAAGAAAAATCAAGAAAAATACACAAGAAAAATCTCAACAAAAGGCACTTTTTGGATTTCGAAAAGACAGTTAACAGAAAAATGTTTAATTGAAAGATGAATGAAAGAGCTTTTTAATGATTCTCGTCAGCAAGTGGTGGATCGGGTTCTGAAAAATGTGAATCGTGTAGACCGATTGGACCAGTAGCATCATCTTCCCATTCAGAATCTGGGGTCAATTCATCCTCCAAATGGGCCAATCTTTTACCCGATCTGCCCTCAATTAAGATTGGAATAAAGGGTTTAAGTGGAGTGGATGAGGCTACAGGTTGTGGAGATGGAGGAGTGATGTCAGAATAATCGGAATCATTTGAGGGATAAACCCAACCACTCGATGAACGCTCACGAGACTCTGAAAACACGGTACTCAGAGTCTTTCTTTTGAAATGAAAATCGTTTGGGGGACATGCACCAACTGCAACACAGTCCTTTGATTTGGAATGGGAATTTTGATGGAAAGACTCTGAGGACCGTGCGAGCTGTGGGTCCATGTCACTCCCTATCAAAGTGTTGGGCTACGATAGACTATTGATACAGTACACTACAGTACGCCCAGCCTTGGCGACTGTAGTGTACTGTATCGGAGTACGGTATGATAAAGTAGATCCTACCACAGTATTGATATTCACTCATGTTTCCCCTTTCCTAACAACTCACCCCCATCCCATAGATCCCACAATTCTCGAGCGACTTCAGAGGCGAAAATCCGGCCAGCATTCTCATCAATCATTCGAATCAACTAGAAATTTGATTCTAAAAATACATTTCCTTTTTCAATCACCAAAAGTCCATCGTTTTTCAAGACTCGATCCTTGAATTTTCCCACATTTGCCGTTGATGGAATAAAGTTTTCTTGTGCAACCAATTCTTTGATAAAGTCAACCGAACCGAAGAGACGCCGACTGAAATTGTTTTTTTTATCTTTGAATAATTACAGTACTGGATAATGAAATATCATATTTCAAAAAACGATCGTCACTTTCGCGCGTCTTTAACTCCCTTGTCTTTGAGTTTAAACTATTAGTGTTATACATTTTCTGAAAGCTCTTTTCAAGGGCTACACAATGGGAACACTAATATTTAGAAATACGGTAAAGACAAGGGAGTTACAGACGTGCGAAAGTGACGATCGTTTTTCAAATATGATATTTCATTGTCCAGTAGTGTATATAGAACTGAATTTTATGTATCTTTTCAACTAACTGAAGCCAGATGACCCAATTGAAGAAAGTGATGACGAGAAGGAAAGCGAAATAAAACCACATAAAGATGAAGATCTTCTCGTTGAACATGTTCACCTGAAAATTGAAGAACGCTTTTCTTGGAAAGTTTTGAAAGTTTTCTGAAAGTCAAAGTTTTCTCCATTCAAAACTAACCATTAAGACACATTGAAGCGTCCAATTGTTCACATTTCCCAACTCTCGAACCGTCACATCGCAATAGGTAACCTATAATTAGTCTTGCAAAGATTGTGGGACATTTGATTGGCTCCACCCCTTTGCCATTGGCAGTCTAACTTTGAGCTTAAATTTCTCGGTGCTCGACCGTCCAATTTCAGTATTCTTAATATCATTAGATGCGCCAAGTCTTTCTCTGTCGATTGACATCAAAATCACTTAAATTGAACAGCCCAACACCAAGATATTTGAGCTCAAAGTTAGATTGCCAATGGCAAAGGGGGCGTGTATCAAATATCCCACCAATTACTGTACCCGAGGGAAATGTCCACTTTCTTGCCAATGTCTTCCATGCAACATATCCCAGAAGATGCCGAGTCCCCAAAAAGTATAAGCTGTTCCCAGCCAGTAATTGATAAAAAGGAGTTGCGAGAAAACGTTGAGCAACATCAATGTTTTGCAGAACAAATAGAGATTTGAGAGATACGATCCGTAACGGATTGAACCGGCTGAAAGTGAATGGTGTAAAGAAGTAACCAATAAAGTTTTTATCGACTTACCCTTCTCCACAGCAGTATGTTCCCTGTAGAGTGCTTTTGCCAATGGTCCTCCTTTCCCTTCCGCCCCGGTTTTTCCCGTTGTTCTTGCTGATTTCATCATTTCAGGCAAAGTCAATCCTGAAGCATTCATTTACAAAGATTTTCCTTATAATTGCACCAGTGTAAAAGCTGAAGAGCTTCCAAATTGCTCTCGGTACATAAAAAAGAAGGCCCATCAAGAGAAGAATGAATGGAACCCATTGGTAATAGATCATTTCCTGAAAATGATTTGTATCTTCTATCTTCTATCCAATATCTTTATCTTTATCTAATATCTTTTCAATCATTTACCTGATCTTCCCTTGTGTGATGTGCTGGGAGATTTGATTGATTCATCGGCACGAAATACGTATTCTCAACGAAGCAATATGCTTCAGCGAATGCCTCCCAACCATCCTAAAAGAAGGATTTAAAGATTAGGTAAGATCTCAACTTACATTCCATTGAGCAGGTGGCCAACACTGCAAGGGCTCACCAACGTAATTCTTCAAGAATAGCGTTGTTGCCAAACCGATGAGAATCATGATTGTTCTCACCTAAAAAGATGATTGGTTACATAAAACTACAGGGTGACCGCAAAGTATCGCGACAACTTTTTGGAGAATTATCTAGGAGATGTCTAATTTATTTCAAAAGTGGCAAGTGTTATATAGAGAATTGTAGCCCTAATTCTCAGCAACATTTATCTACCAAAAACTTCCCGATTGGACCTATACAACTCATTTAACAAGCGCCTGAATGGGCGCTAGTCTCGGGCGAATCTGCCATTTGACTGCTTTTCTCTATTTTCTTTATATATCTCCCAGATACTATTCCAAAAGTCGCTACTTGCGACCTTTGCGACTTTGCGGTCACCCTGTACAGTAAGTTTATTAGTCATTACATTAAAAATTCTTTACATGGTGCCATCGATCGGTTGAGTCATCATCGTAGGTCGAACCGAGCTTTTTGAGGAGAACTGTGATCTGACTGACCGCCGACATTGGCGGGCTAAAAGAAGGCAATTAGGATGAGGTAAACTTTAGCTTTAGGTAACACTTTAGCTTTAGGTAATGCTTTAGCTTAATCCTAGATTATTAAGTTAGTAGGAATCAAAAGATTAGCCAAGTAAAACGCACGGAAACTCCATTTTGACTCGATTTTAGAGTAAATACGTGTGAAATGAGAATCTTAGTTTGGGAATCACTTAGGATGACGAGGATGATGAGGGACTGGTTGAAGTTGGATTTGAATGGGACCAATGGAGAGATCGCCTTGAAAGAGAAGAAATCGCTTGCGATTGAAAGATGTGGAGACGATGTGAAGGGGAATCGAGTCCAGTTTCGATTGATTGATCAGTTCATTGAGTCATCCATTTGTGAAGAAGGAGAACACTGCCAACCTAAGCCGATTGCTTGTAGCTTAGCATGAGGGCAAGCTTGATAGGGAAGAGAACAAGGACAAAACATCGAACAGTCATTGCACACTACGACACTGACTATTCTATTGTTCTTATTAAACAAATAAAGAAAGTTATAACAATCTATAGTACTCAGGCTAGGCTTAGCTAACATTACTCGTACTAAAAAACAAGTCACAACATCACTGGTACCAGTTTTCCTTACAAAGGAACACAGCAACGACAAGCTAAGCTTACTTACCTGCACCTAAACTCTAAATATCAGCAATAACAATAACAAGTTTCATATAAAATTAATAGACCTTTATGTGTGAATGTGTCCTTGGATGAGTGTTGCCTTCAGTCTTCAGATGGATTGATGGCTCTTCCAAAGATTCACCAAACGAAAGGAGGCTTTCACTCCAATAAAGGGGAACAGTCTTCCCCACAATTCTTCTTCTTCTTCTTCTTCTTCTTCAATCTTTTCCTAATATTCTTTTCTTTTCATTCAGCTTATCAGTAGTCTTTCCTTTCGTTTAACGGGGGCCGATCTTCATCTCTTCGCCTTTTTTTCTCTTTTCTTTACTCTCTATCAATGTCCCACTCAAGACTGTTTCACGATGAAGGGACTGACAAGAAATCTCTGCAAAATACAACAAAATACAACAAAATACCCATTGTTTTGAGATGATACTAGGATTATAGAATGCTTTGTGTTTTGATAAAACTTGCTAGGTTGCGGTTTAGACAAAACACGAGTCATGGGCTCCGGCTTATGGGAAATACGAGAAATGGCAACAATGTAAGATTTCTTGGCATTTTTTTCAGGGAATTCAATGTTACCAATAGAACAAACAAATCAGCTACCTGAGCTATCCAGATTAGCCGAATCCAGAACAGCTACCTGAGCTATCCAGATCAGTCGAAATTCAGGCTAGTAACTGACACTAATCTTGTTAGATACCCTGAGTATTCTAACCATTAACAGATAGTCAACTATTTAAACTGTTCAGCTAGACTTTCCCCATAGCTTCCCAGTATTTCATTAGCTCAAAACCTTTTCAAAAGTATTTCCCCTTGTTTGTACCCATTTTATTATATCGGAATGAGCGTAGGCTTTGTGCCAATTTACAGCCACATAAAGGGTTTAAAAGAGGAATTGGAGAAGAGAAGAATGGGAGATGGGCTGAAAGGGGTCTCCAATAAGTGTTCACCTTTAATTGATAAGAGAAAAGAAAAGAGAGGGGAAGGTTCTGGCTGTGAATAGACAGATTGGTTCGCAATTTGAAAAGAGTTTGAAAGCCAAAAAAACTGAAACAAAGTCTTTACTGTGAAGAGATAAGAAAGAAGAATGGTGGGAATGGAATGGTGCCACGTATACAAAGGATTTTGAGGGTAGTACTGAATGGAATTTGATCAGAAGTGGACTTTTTAGATAAGATCAGAAGTGGACTTTTTAGAAATATCAGAAGTGGACTTTTTAGAAGTAGAGTTAGAAAAACAAAAGAGTATTGGTATGAGATTCATCAAGAGTTTGTGCGGGAGGTGGTCACATGACGCAAAATATAAGTGCTGTTCATTTGAGCGTCAACGATTCGGTGCGCGCTCATTTCAGCGACGCGCGTTTATTCAAATGAATTTGAACGCGCGCTCATTTGTTTTCTGCGCCATGAAAATCATGCTCGTTTTTTGACCGATAATGGAAAAGGACTCAAGGTTTTTGATGTCTGACTGGGGACACGACAAACTGGCAGAAGCAATTTTTATTTTCCGCATAACAATGTGCTTCAGAATGATTGTTAGTTGATGGATGGAACATTCTATGCAAGCCCTTTCGGTTTTAAACAAATTTCAACCGGCGCGCGCTCATTTTTGCTCAATTTTTGGCGCTCATGTGACTACCTCCCGTTTGTACTTCTTCGAGTGTGCGATTTTCAATCGCCCATTGCCCGGGCAATGAGGGCTATGCTTTGCTCTTGTGAACGCTTGCTTTCTGGCACACTTAATAAATGAATTAAGTGTGCCAGAGCGCATGTGAAGTCCTATTTTCAGGGTTTTCACCCATTCTCCCATATCTCCAAATCAATCGTAGTAAGTCTATTCCCAGATTTCAAACACCGTTCCACTCTTATCGGACAGAATTTCCCTGTGTTCAACGTTTTTTCTTTTCTTTCACGGTCTTTTGAAAAATTGCACACATTGTAGCGATCCATTTTTATTTGTCTTCAAAAAATTTGGGAGAAAAACGCCTCCATACATGTTTGAGTCACTCATTTTGGGGGTTACTCAAAGATTTTGAAAATTTTTAGGGCAATGAGTAAGGGATAATGGGGAAGTTATCAATGTTTATGACTCAAAGATGAAGGAATCATTCAAGTTATTTGGAAGAAATTTTAAGGAAAGGGAACTTTGAAAGAAAAGGAAGTCATAGCCTCGTTCAGAACTTGCTCTACTAATTGAAAACTTTTCTTTCCAGGTTCCAAATGGCTGATCCATCGTTGATCGATCTGATCAACGATGGATCGATCTGATCAACAATATTCCTTCCCTCTAGAGTTCTCCCAAAAATAGGAACGTTCTATTTATATCAAAACCCTTTTCTGCACACATGCATAGGCTGGCACTTGTGCCCATTGCTATGATTGAAAGAATTGGGGAATTGTGATAAAGGAAAAGACCAACCATTGAATGGAAGGGGTGAATGGGGGAAGAGTCTCCAAGAGATAACATGTATGAGAGAAAGAGAAGACAACTCTTGAAATTGCTCCTTGATTCAATCTTACCCATTTCACAGAGTTAGTCTCACTTTGAATCATTCGATCGATCTTGATTACTTGACCTGTTTCTTGACCAAATCTTTTAAAACCAAAGCATTATAGATTCTTGAGGTGATTGTCGAAACAAGATGGAGCAATTGATTGGTGTTGTCACCAATCTTGCAATTTCAAGGTTTGTTCTTAGCTTTTATTTTGAAATAGCCATTTGCAGAAATGAAGAGGATTTTGTGGATCGTCTCAATTTCCGTTTCACCTCATATCTCTTCGCTTTCTGCAGTTTGTTGATCACATCAAAGGTTTGGATTAAAATATTTATAATCAAATTTCTTTTCATTCAGCTCTATCTTGGAAATGCGATCAAATGCTGGACACCGAATGAATTTAAAAAAGGTAAAAAGACAAACAGTGCACTGAAATGAAATTGAACTCTAAATTACTCTGTTCTCACGAATTCTACAAAGTTTTCAATCTTTAGGCTGGACTCAATACACTCATGACTATTGTTTGATCGAAAATACCTATTATCTTCCAATGGACGATCCATTAATGCCCGGACATCAAACTAGAGAAGATAAAGAATTGCAATACTACCAGGTAGAGAAAGATTTTGAATCAGTGGATCATATTTAAAAGCAAATTATTTAGTGGGTTCAATTTGTGCTCATTTTGATGGCTTTCTGTTTCTATCTTCCGCACACATTCTGGAGAAGTGTCAATTGGCAATCGGGTGAGTGAAAAAGGGAAAATAATAATAATAATATTCAGCTTATTTAGTTACATTTCTTTTTTAGGCATTCAGGTGAAAGCAATCGTCGAACAAGCAGTGAAATTCCCGGCTTTGAATGAGAAAGAGAGAAAGGAAAATATTGACAAAGTAAGAAAGAATCTAACGATATTTATTCACAACGAATAATGTGGCACAAGCAATACACAAGCACAACCACTAGCACTATTAGCAAAACATTCAAAAACAAAACAACAAAACATGATAAAGAATTAACTAGCCAAGAAATTAACAACAGAATGTACCCTCCAAAGTAAAGAATGTACTCAATCAATGCCTGGACGTATTCCTGCGGCTCGTCTGAAATAAAGTTGTGAGAAAATGGGTCGAAAATCCGTGCCTTGCCATGAATCGATTCAACTATCCCTCTGATGCCGCAAACTCCTTCGCAAGCTCGCAAACTCATCTTCTTGCCAAATAAACGTCAAAAAAATTCCGTTCCTGTCACATGCGTAGATCGAACAATACGTATTCTTCTTTCGTAAACTCTCCAAGTAAAGAATGAACTCGATCAATCCCTGGACGTATTCCTGCGACTCCTTCTGGCATACAGTTGTGGGACAACGGGTCGAAAATCCGTGTTTTGCCATGAATCGATTCAACTATCCCTCTGATGCCGCAAACTCTTCATTTTCTTGCGAAATAAACTTCGCTTGAGAATTTTCCTCGTAGCTTTGCTTTTGTGAGCCGAGAAGCTATCCCAAACGATCCATCGTCTCCCGAAAAGTCGAGCACCAAGAATCTTTCGAAGGTAGGTTTCAATCGAAGTATCATTCATTCATGGAAATCCACTCCAGTGCAGCTCGAGCTTATTCTGAAATTTCGGATGATCCTCGAATCTTCGACTCGGTTCAGCAAAACAAATGGCTTGCATTTGAATCCGCCTTCTTGTGTTATCAACATGACAGTGATTCGCATTTTGCCGTGTCTAGTTGAAAGTACTGTCACCTCCCGGGATCCTTTGTCGGCGATTGTCAAATCGACTGATCAAGAAAAATTCCGGTCCCGTCACGAGATCGAACAGTACGTATTCTTAGATGCGTAGATGCGTAGATCGAACAGTACGTATTCTTCTTTCGCAAATTCTCCAAGTAAAGAATGAAATCGACCAATCCCTGGACGTATTCCTGCGACTCCTTCTGGCATACAGTTTTGGGACAACGGGTCGAAAATCCGTGTTTTGTCATGAATCGATTCAACTATCCATCTGATGCCACAAACTCTTCATCTTCTTGCTACATTAACTTTGGATTTGGATCATCTTTCAAGTCACACGCATCTTCTTTGTTCGTGTTTCTCAAATCCAACCGGCCAGCTTCTTGGCGAAATTGGGATCTTTGAGTTTTCGTCCACCACCTTTAATCCGTTTTGTTCCCTTTCCGTTTTCGTTGCATTGCTTTTCATTTTTTCCTTTTGCTGGCACCATTGCTAAAGATTTTGTCGACTAATTCGAATTTCCTTGCTACAGCCGACTTGTCCTTCATTTTTTCAGCCAATGCAATCGCAGCGAGCTTTGCACCGAAATCAAAACATCGTTTCTTCTTCGTTGCCGCTTGTTCCGAGTTGTTCGACGAAATCTAAAGAAAAAAATTATTTGTGCAAAAGAAACGCATAAAAATTATTAAAAACAACAAGAAATAGTAGAAGAGTGAGTTTTCAACTTAAAATGATTCAAAACTACAAACAACAAGTGCTAATTTTAAGTACATTTCATTTTTGTCAATACTATTTTTTTGGCCGTGACGGCATTAAACGTAATGAAGACTCCCATAATGATATACAAACGTAATGAGAAATGAAAAAAACTTCAAAAATAATCCTCAAAATCTCAGGTGACCAAACACATTGAGACCTCAATGTCCTATTCCTCAAGACTCGCCTCAAATCGATCAAACATCTTCATGATGGCTTTTGGGTAAAGAAATTCTGCAGAATTTTCCTAAGAAACAAAATTTAGATGGGTTTTTGGTGAACATTTCATGACATGGATGTATTTGATCACGAAAGTGCTCTTTTTGGTGAATATCTGTCTTCAACTCTCCATCCTTCACCTCTTCCTCGGATTCTCACCAATCAATTTCTTGGGTGCGTTTGTGAAGATTAAATTTTTTAATAGTTTTAATAAGTTTTAAAACTAAAGCAAGTACTTTTAGAATTGAAAATGGGTTTCAATACGAACTGGAAAGATACCGGATTGTTCCCAAGGAGTACGATGTGTGATTTTGAGGTGCGTTTTAACTTCAAAATCAAAATGAAACGAAAGTAAAAGATATTCAATCAAAAGAGGCTGATACTGTAAGATTGTACCTTTTACCAGACAACTCTAAAGTAAAAAAATTGAATTCTAGATCCGAACGAAAGGAAATGTTCAACGATACAGTGTTCAATGTGTTCTCCAATTGAACATGTTTAACGAAAAGGTTTGAAAAAGTCAAGCCAAGCCAAGACATTCCTATTTTCTTATAGATTTTCCTTGTTTTATACTACTGGCTATTGGTTTTGTTCATGGTAACATTGGGTAATTTTGCCGCATGGATTCTCAATCTTTTCTCTGCTGCAAATCGTGAAGATTTCGCGAAAAAGATGCTTAATGGAGCGGTGAATAAGGAATAGTGTTGTTTTTTAAAAAAATTCTTAGGGAATCTCTCGACCAACACATAGACGATCACCAAAAGCAACAGATGATAAAGATTCGATTGAGATGGCAAAGATGAACACTGATAGAAATCCGAATTATGACGTGGAGGTAAATAGAAAAGAATGATAGATTGAAGGAATTCTTTTAGATTGAAAACTACAACAATTTTATCAAAATGTCCACGGATCAGGTTAGTTAGAGGCTCAGGCTCAGGCTTAGGCTCAGGCTTAGGCTCAGGCTCAGGCTTAGGCTCAGGCTTAGGCCCAGGCTTAGGCTCAGGCTTAGGCTTAGGCTTAGGCTCAGGCTTAGGCTTAGGCTCAGGCTTAGGCTTAGGCTCAGGCTTAGGCTTAGGCTCAGGCTTAGGCTTAGGCTCAGGCTCAAGGATAGTGCTTTCCAGGTTTTACCAAGGATCGTTCTTTCCAGGTTTTACTTCTTCGATTGATCTCCTCAAATGCCGGAGATATTGCTGCAAGTGATGTCACTGCATCGCTTTATCGACTAAAATTCAACAAGGAAAAAAGCTAAAGAAGGGATTTGTTAGCACTGTTTAGAAGTTTCAATGACACTTTTAAAATTCCGTGTTTACTTTAAAGTTTGTCAATAAAATTACATCACTTTCGTTCACGATTGCATCGGGAAAAGATACACTGTGGCGAATTTCCTAGACAATTTCCTAGACAGCTAGACAATTTCCACTTTAATTGAACCAAACAAAAGATAATCTATTCTACAGGTTAATTATTACATTAATTGAGATTTGCGGCTTTCTCTTTAGCTTTGACTCCACCCACTTTTTTGTGCGTTTTTGCCCAAAAGTGTGCACCTTTTTGAAATCGTTTCGAATTTTTCTACACTTTAAATCACGTTTATCTTTTCAAAATTCCTTCAATATTTATTCTAAACGTTCAATAGTCGGTTCAAATTCGGATTTAGATTTAGAATACACTTGACGGAGAAGAGCCGGGCAATTTTATGGATGCAACCGAAATGAATCGATTTCTCCGACCTGGGGTTTGTTATTTATCTACAGATCTACACAATTTCTATCGAAAGTACATAGTTAAAGCAAAACTATGAAGCAAAACTGATCATTTAACAGCTAACATTTTCAATTTCAGCCGATTCGTGGTTTCCTTTTGGATATCACAGGTGTTCTCTACAATAGTGCTGAAGGAAGCGATGGGATCACCATTTCTGGATCTGTTGATGCTGTGAATAGGTTCGTAAAGATGTGATTTCAGTTGAGTTGACAAAAACTTGTTCATTTCTAGACTCTACAAAGAATCTCGAGTTCGATTTCTCAGCAATGAAAGTACGCATACGACAGAGAAAGTTGTTGCGAAATTGACGAGGCTTGGATTCACATTACAGGTTTTGAAGTGAATTAGAAGGGCATCTAGTATAGAAGAAGAAGAAGAATATAATGAATGTAATGAGAAGAAGAATATAATGAGCATCTAGTATATTTCATGCTTTTAAACAAACGCATACTTTCTTCTTTGCACCAAATTCTTTACAGTGATCAGCAATGATTCTTTAGCAATCAGATGTGATCACCCCGGCTCCCGTTGCTGCAGATTATCTGAAAGAACGAGATCTTCATCCACATTTACTCCTTCATCCAGGTAACAACTTCAATATTTGCTTTGAACCATATTTCAGGTGTCTCATCATATTTCCCGACAAGTTCTCGTGAAGCAAATTGTGTTTTACTGGGCGATGCTGAACATGAATTTTCATTTCACAACGTCAATATGGCTTTTCGAGCGTTGATGAAAATGAAAAGACCATTGTTATTGAGTCTAGGACAAGGGTAAGGAAATGGAAAAGAGCTGGAAAGCATTTCTACATTTCAGAAGATTCTACCAACAAACAGACGGGCCAACTATCGATATCGGGGCTTATGCTGAAGCACTCAAATATGCATCTGGTTTGTTATACTTTTGATTGATTACTTTTAATTGACGATTATTTAGGTTGTGAACATGTTGTGATTGGGAAACCGTCACCTGAATATTTCCAATATGCACTCGATCAACTGGGATGTTCCAGTGAAGAGGTGAGCGATTTGAAGGGTATCAAAAGACGATGGCGAAACGCTTGTGGAACATTTGATTGGCTCCGCCCCTTTGGCATTGGCAATCTAAGTTTGAGCTCAAATATCTTGGTTTTGGGCTGTTCCAATTTAAATATTTTTGGGATCATTGGATGCGCCAAGTCTTTCTCTGCCGATTGGTACAAAAACCATTTAAATTGAACAGCCCAACACCGAGATATTTGAGCTCAAAGTTAACTTGCTAATGGGAAAAAGGTGGGGCGACGGACCTTTTATAGCCGCCCCCTTTGCCATTCCAAATTTGGGCTTGGGCCACTTTGAGCTCAAATATCTTAGTATTGGGCTGTCCAATCCAATGATTTTTGTGCCAATCGACAGAGACTTGGCGCATCCAATGATACCAAGAATATTCAAATTGGACAGCCCAACACAAAGATATTTGAGCTCAAAGTTAGATTACCAATAACCTGGCAGTACAGTACGATACAGTACACTTTCCCAAAGGTTGATCTTGAAAAATACCTACTGAGATCCATTTTACGCAAATCTTCAGACTGTGATGATCGGCGATGATATCATTTCGGATGTTGGAGGAGCACAGAAATTTGGAATGAGAGCAATTCAAGTTCGGACGGGAAAATGGAGGTGTGTTGAATGAGTGCATGAGAATGAATGAGAAGCAAGTGCCAAGATCAATTACATTCTATCACTAAGCTTCAACATTCAATTTTCAGAAATGAATGGGAAAAGCATCCAATCGTCTCTCCAGATTTGATTGTTGATTGCCTTGCAGTGGCTGTAAATTCAATCCTTGACGCTCAACAGAAACAATGAAATCGTTGACTACTTTCCATTAATCATTCCGCAATATTTTCATTGATTCCAATTGATGTCTTTCTTTTTCATTGGAAATTTCTAGGTAATATTCTATTCTATTTTCTATTTACATTATTCTATCTTTTTCTAAGATCTATCATGTCTTGTGTCATATTTCAGTGTGACTTAAGATATGTTAAAGCGGGTCGCATACTTTGTGGCTTATAGGAAACGCTTGCTTTTTAGTACATAGTCGATGGATATTGTAAAGATGTCTGGGGAATATTACTGTATAGGGAGAACTTCTCTATCAGTACAATTCCCAGAATATAGCTAGATTACAGTAATCTCTATTAGAGGACCCATTTTAGACCACATTTGGCAAAAGGCAAAGGCAATGGCAAAAATGAACACATTTCCTACAAATGAGTCTATCAGAAAGGGATAGTTTGTTTAAAGAACACAAAGTATGGACCAAGTTTTCGTATAACTATTTTTGCGGCTTTACCGGTGTCTTCTATGCTTTATTTTATAGGGTGAATATTACTGATGAGTTTTCTATGGGCTAAAGTGCATATTAATATTCTTCTTCTTCTACTACTTCTTCTTTTACTTCTTCTTTTTATTCTTCTACAGATGCCAAGCGTGTTTTTCTTCAGGCCTTCTCTTTTTTTGGTTGTTTTCTCTGTGGCCATATGCAAAGATTTGCGATTTGAATAAAATTTCTATAAGAAACCAAATTTGAAGTACAGTACATCCCTAAATCCCTACAGTACACCCCTAAATTTGCATAGAAAGAAAATTAGCATACAAAGAAAATTAGCATACAAAACCTCACGCCATTTATTTCCTCCACCAACTTTTCTCATTTTTAAATGAGTGACGTCGATTTAAAAGCCTGTTTGGAGCAAGGTTTGTAATCTTTTTTGTAATCTTTTTATAGTTTTAATGTCTAACGATTAAGAACTTTGTTTAAATCTTAAATTTAAAGTGTTTTCTCTAAATCTTGATATCTTTTAATGTTTAATTGCAAAGCTTCTACAAGCTTCTACAAGCTTCTACAAGCTTCTACAAGCTTCTACAAGCTTCTACAAGCTTCTACAAGCTTCTACAAGCTTCTACAAGCTTCTACAAGCTTCTACAAGCTTCTACAAGCTTCTACAAGCTTCTACAAGCTTCTACAAGCTTCTGCAAGCTTCTACAATGCAAAGCTTTAGTTCTACAAGCGCTGCTCGATCTGCGCAATGAACAATGCTCAATTCGAAGTGATATCAGCAAACTAAGGTTTGGCTTTTTTTTACCCGTCAATGTTGACTTTTGGCTTATCTTGATAAATTTATAGTAACCTTTCATCGTGTTGCTCATATATTGATGCTCATATGCTCATATACTTTGTAATTTCAGATGTGAAATCCGTGATCTTTGGGAGGAAGTCAACAAGGACATCACTCATCGAAATATGAAAGAAAAGTGGGTTGTTTTTTTGAACATTTTAATACGTCGACTCTTGATTTTTGTACTGTTTCCGTAGTTCTTCTTCTACAAAAAGATACAGCTCAAAAATAATCGTTGATCGGTAAATGTAGTTCGCTAGATTTCACTCACCGGCAATAAGTTTGAAGAAAAAGCTGGGCAAAAAAACGGTGACCTAGAGTGAAAAAGTTTCTACTACAGCCAAGCTTTAGTTCTCTACAGCCAAGCTTAATTTCTCTACAGTGAGCATCTTTTAACGTATCCATCTACCGTCCTGACCAAATTAGTAGATGTTACAGTAACCGGTGCAGTTGGCACTAAACTTGTAACGAAAACATCTATCGTTTCTTTTTTGCCGTTGGCAATTTACGGTTTTCGTGTTTTTTTCAGCACGAACGCTTTGATTTTGACTATCATTCGATGCAGAATAAGATTGCGCCTCGAATGATACCAAAATTAACTCAAAATGTAATATTCACGCAAAGTTGTTGACTAAAAACCTAAGCCCCGTCCATTATGGACGGGACTTAACCTTTTGCCTCATAAGTTTGCATGGATATTATATTTTGAGTTAATTCTGGTATCATTCGAGGCGCAATTTTGTTCTGCACCGAATGATAGTCAAGACAATCAAAATTGAAGGATTGGTGCTGAGAAAAACAGAAACCTTAAGTTGCCAACGACAAAAAAGGATCGATAGATGTTTTCTTTACAAGTGTTGGTTATTTTGCACCATAACCGTAAAGATTTTCTTATAAAATAAAAAAGGAAACATCAAAAGATCTATAGTAAGATCTGAGCTACGCGGTTTACGGTAACTAGAGCAATCTTTAGAGCATAAACCTGCGTTTCCTTAAGTTTCCTTAAGTTCTAGTGTTCATTTCAGGGCGATCACCGTATTGGGAAACGACAAAGAGAGCCAAGCCTGACCTCTTTTCCTTTAGTTGATCATTTCCATCTCAATCTCACCACTCATCCACTTCACTTCATTCAAAATAACCAGCACTTAAAACATTTTCCTCTTTTAATCAAAATTTCCCTTGGATTCCTTTCGTTTTTCTGTGATTTTTCCCGTTTTTTCCATTTCTTTCCATTTCTTTTCAAAAACACATTAAGAAAATTGCTGATTTGTAGTCTTTGTGTTGTTCTCTTTCAGTCAACCTTTTTTCTTTTGAGTTGCGAACTTTTTTGGCAAAAATAACACGAGGATTTTATCTGGCTTAACAGGAAAAAATCTAGAGAATAAGCAAAAAAAGGGAGAAAAATCATTTTATCTTGAAAAATCTGAACATTCGAGATCAGAAATGGTCAATTTGTGGGAAAAATATGGCAAAAATCCAAAAAAACGCCTCGTTTTTCTCAATGAAAAAACTCTCAGGTTAATCCGAATGTTTTGCTGTTAGTGAGGACCAAAAATTGGAAATCTATCAAGAAAACAGAAATAAACGATATGTACAAAACTTGGGATATGAGAAAAAAAGAGATTTTGATGAGAAAAGTGGTTAACAAGAGGAAAAAAAGCACTAGAAATGACTGGTATGAGTCAGAAGTTTGAGAGAAATCAAGCAGAAAGTGATCTGGCGTTTTTCAAGTTCACCAGATTTCTTTCCACTTTGTTTTGTTAAAAACCTATACCAATCTTAGCCGATATGTGCATTTGGTTGAACTTTGGTGAGAGAATTTGTGGTGCAAAGGGGGAAAAACAGAACAGAACAGAACAAAATTGATGCATACTTGTAATTTTAACAAGCGAAACAAGCGAAACGACTATTCTATGTACAAAAAAAAGCAAGAAATCGAAAAAATCGAAGAATTGTAAGAAGTGGAAAGATTGGTTCTTGATTAAAGTACGGATAATGCAAAAATGGATACGGTAATGCTTTCCAGACACTATCTACGGTAGCCAGATTCTCAATCTACAGTACCCATTTTCACAACCAACAACAAATCTTATCATTTTTCTCTAAAACCCGCAATATGACATATATTTGTGCTATGGGTGAACAAAAAAACAAGGAAATAACCCCTTTAAATTACCGTAAATACTCTAATAGAAGCCCTAATAGGAGCGTCGCGTAGTCTTTACAAGTTTACACTCAAACAACCGCTCATAACTTGGCGCAGACATTGACGAAGGAGAAGTCAAGAAGTCAGCTCTTCAAATGAAGCCATATGTTGAACAAAAATCCCCCGCAGAATCCAGTTTACGTTTTTTTAAAGTATTATAGGTCAAATGCATTTTTTAAGACACTGTTGAAACCTCAAAAGTTCGCAAAAAAGCAGAAAAGTTTGACTGGGAGTGGAATTGAACCCGCGAGCAGTAGATTAGCGCACTAGGTAGCGTACTTTTAGAGCATTTTGTAGCGTACTGTTAGAGCGTTTTGTAGCGTACTTTTAGAGCGTTTTGTAGCGTACTTTTAGAGCGTTTTGTAGCTAGGTCTGTGGCTAAGTTGAAACAGTTCCCTAGTTAGCCTACGCGACGCTCCTATAGTCTCTTCTATTAGAATATTTACGGTATTCTCTTTCGTTTTCTTTTATGGAAGAATTTTGGGGGAATTTGGTAGATCCAAGTATCGAATGGCTTCGTTTTTGAATGGAACGGGCAATCTTTCGAGAGCTTCTCCATAGATTACCAACACTTCGCCGATGTTGTGATTTGCGTGTAGTTGACGAACCTTAATCTTAAGCATTTATATCAATTGTTTGCCAGTTTTGAAAGCCTCTATACTTTGTTGCTTGACTATTTTGGTGGCACTAGAGTGGCGTCTTGGTAAGCTCCTTTTCCCCAATGTAAACAATCCCCCCAAAAGTTAAGCTGAGTCCAGTATGATGCCGGGGTGCCATCCAGTCCCTTATCTCTCTATTTCACCCGAATTTTCTTCAAAAATTCGAAGAAAACTTGTGTTTTCCTCTCACAAAACTGGGATCAGGCCATATTTTGTTGATAAGAAGGGCACGCGTGCGACCGTTTTCATAGATTTTTTCCCGAAATTCTTGCAAATTTCTAGAATCTCGAAAACAAGCCGTTCGTGCAAAACAAGAAATGTTTTTGAGATGGGTGTTTCAGGGAAGATTGGAGCTATCAAATGAATTGGAGCTATCAAATGTTTGATTCGGAACCAAACCGATTACAGTAGAGGGGAAAAATAAGCAAAAATCTTAAGCTCTACTTGTTCTAGTTCTACTTCTACTTAAACGAACTGATCCGCTAGCTTTGTAGGTCAAAATGAGTAACTAATTTACCTGCTTTCTTTCTCGTTCAGTCAAGAAATGTCTCATGACTGATGGCGGCCGGCTTGTCTTCAAGAATTTCTCGATTTTGTGTCTCGTCTCCGGCCTCAACTCATCGGCTGCTTCGATCAGTTTTTCCTGAATTTGAATATTGTACAAAGTCTAAGCACCATGATAAAATAAAAATAGAAAATAAAACCCACCTTGATCAATGTCATTAATCGACCGTATTCAGTTGTTGCATGTAGTGAGCTGATCATTCGGAGCTCTTCTTTTGTCCATGGGAGTTCTCTGAAAGTTTTGTGATGTGCTTTGTCTCTTGGATTCTTTCTGAAGCCAAGATTCTGAAGCCAATGGCTTAAGCTCTTGCTAAAAGCCATTACATTGATTGATTTACCTGAAGATCCCTCCATGTGCTTCCAATGATTCCAGAGGATTGTACACTTCTTCCGTTTCCTCCTCAGCTTGGCAAGCATTCAGCGATAAAAGAAGGAGAAATGGCAGAAACCAAAAAGTCGATAGATTTCCTCCTTTTCTCGTTTTTGATGTGATCATCAATGACAAAAGATTGCTTAAATGCATTTCCCCTGAAAATGTTTTCAAATTTTAATTCTAATCTGATTCTGTTCTGATTCAACAGTATCCGAAAATGTCATCAAAAATGTTTCCAAATCCGAACTTTGGCCGGGAAATCCCCCAGATTTGAAAGAATCTTTTCACAAAAAAGGGATTAATGCAATATATGTAGTCGCATTTTTGATTAAATCAGGACAATTTGCTGAGTAGATTTCGAGGAAATGTCAAGAAAAGTGCAAAGTCTTTGAGAAGAAAGATAATAGGGGAAATGAAATGAAACGAAATGGAAATGGAAATGAAATAGAAATGGAAATATTGTAGCCAAGAGGTAGCTTATATCACTAAGAAGAATATGACGTAAGCTGACAAAAGATGGAGAAAGATTTGTATGATTGTTGATGGAACTTAGCCATTCAATCTTGACCATTCAATCTTGGCTATTCAACCTTGACCATTCCATCTTGGCTATTCAATTTTGACTGATTCAATTTGATTCAATCTGATTCAATTCAATTCAATCTGGCTATTCAATCTTCAATCTTCAATCTTAAATTGAAATCTCTAAGCCTTACCCATTGAATATTGGCTGCAGAATGAATCGAAATTTGAAATTCGATATATTTCATTTAAATCCTGCTCAAGAAAACGGTATCTAAAAAATCGACTAAAGAAAAAAATGAGCTGTGCCTGATGGAGATTTGACGTAAATTGGGGCCTTTCCATCTAAAAACGAGACGAATTTCAACGCGTTATTCGCTCGGAAACAACACAATAATTTGGCAGATGGAAAAAAGGGAAAATGATTTCACTGAACTAAATAAAATAAAATATAGATTACTATATAAAAACTGAAAATCTCGCTAAACTGAAAATCTCACTTTTGAAATCTTTTATAAATTAAAAATCGAGAAACCAATCGAGGAAAATTACTGTATATTGAAGGCTCTATTCCTTGAGATTTCTCATTTGATGAAAAGATAAGAGAAATGGAAATGTTTGAGAAGATTTCAGAAGAAAATTCGAATGGAAAATGCTGATGGAGTGGGAAGATTATCCAAAAGGAGATAAGAAGCTGATATTCTGAGGTAAGCAGGGAATATCCTCAAGATTTGGTAAAAAAAGAATGAAATGGCATAATGTTGAAATGATTCTTCTAGAATACAAAAGACAAAAGAGTACAGAACTGGGGAAAATGAGGTTTGCTCTAGATTTGATTGATGATTTGATTGAGAATTGATCTAGACTTGATCATTAGATACTTAGATCATTAGATACTTAGATCATTAGCTCATTAGCTAATTAGATCATTAGCTTATTAGCTCCTTAGCTCATTAGCTCCTTAGCTCATTAGATCATTAGCTCATTAGATCATTAGCCTATTAGATCATTAGCTAATTAGATCATTAGCTACATTAGAGTTAGCCATCCCTGACACACTTCTAGTTTAAGCTGACGAAAGCAAAGTCTGAACCGCATTAGAGAAAACCCGAATTCTCGCTGCAGCACTTCTGTTTTTGACAAAATGTGATTCTCTCTCGAAATGCTTTCACTCATTTTTGTGGCCAAAAGGGCGGGTCTTTGTTTTTTCTTGATGAATAAACCCTCCCCTTTCCACAAATCCCGTGTCATCCTTTTTTTGCCTTTTTTTCTTTTCTTTCATCTAATCCACCCCCATTCTTCACACCGAAAACCTCGAGATCCACCCAAAAACCCATCCAATTTATCGCTTCACATTCGCAAATCAACCCGTATAAGGTTTCGCTTGTTTTTACGAGTTGCAAAAATTCTGGGAATGATCTTTTGGAGGGTTTTGGAAAGAAATTGAAAACGATGTCATAGATAAAAGGCCAAATTGCTCAGAATTGCTCAGATTTTCTTCGAAGATCTCTTGCAAAGTGAATCTAGACTTGAGAAATGTAATGAAACAAGTTAGAAAGAATAATACAACTTGAAGAATCAAGAAAAGAAGAAGCATCAAGAATTTCAAAACTAAATTAATTCAAAGCTAAACTATTAGGTTGGTGCAAATGAAACTTCCGTCACACTTGTTTGTTTATATTTTGAACCTAATAAAAGTTTTTATTGAAGATATTTGTCTATCTGAAAGAGCGTCTCTTTGCGCATCTTTTGATATCTAAGACTTAAGCGTTTTACTTAATTTGAAGTAAATTTTAGCTTCTAGAAAATGGTTGACGAAAAATTTCGAGTGCGGGTTTGCTTGTTGTATGATTTTAAACAAGGCAGAACGCCTGCGGAATCTCATCGTGCTCTGTGCAAAGCATTCGGCGATGACGTGTTGTCCGAACGTCAATGCCGGACTTGGTTTCAGCGCTTCCGAGACGGTGATGGTTTGAAGACGAAAACGCGGGAATCCGCCTCAAATTGTCGACAACGATGAGTTGAAGAACGTTATCGAATCGGATCCATGCCAAACAACTCGGGAGCTTGCAGGGCTGTTTGACTGCAACCATTCTCCGCCATTTGCACGCAATTGGTAAGACGAATCGGGTGGAAAATGGGTGCCGCATCAGCCAGCAACGCAAAAAACGGCCGAGCACAATGGCTGGAATTCTCGTCCGCCGCGAAAGACCGCCGGTTTCTCGACTCCATTGTTACGGCAGATGAAAAGTGGATATGTTACGACAACACAACAAGAAACGGCAGAGGTGGACGCGGTGAACCGCCAAAACCGACCCAAACCGAATATCCACGGAAAAAGGGATGCTTGTCTTTGGTGGAATAGTAAAGGTCTCGTGTATTTTGAGGTGCTGGATTCGGGCCAAAGAGTCACGGCGGATTTCTACAAAGCCCAATTGAGCCGCGTGGACCAGGCATTGCGTCGTCAAGGCAATAACACAGCGACTACAAAATTCCTCCACGATAACGCTCGACCCCACACCGCAAAGATCACTCAGCAGAAAATCGAGGATGGGCTGGGAAGTTCTGCATCATCCGCCATATAGCCCGGACTTGGCACCATCCGACTACCACTTGTTTCGGTCGATGCAGCACTCTTTAGCAGAAAAAAAATTCAAAAGCCGCGAAGAAGTTGAAATCTGGGTGTCCAACTTCTTCGAGTCGCAGTGCCCGAGTTCTTCGAAAGGGCATCCATTCTCTGCGTGGAAGATGGCAAAGAGTCATTGATAGTGATGGCGAATATCTTTTGGATTGAGGTTCTGTATTTGGATTTTTATAATAAATTTTGTTTATGGTTCCAACGGAAGTTTCATCTGCACCAACCTAATAATTCAAAACTAACTCAAAACAAATCCAAAACAAATCCAAAACAAATCCAAAACTAAATCATCATTTGATTACTTTTATAGTTTCACTGGTCACCTCAAGAAAAAAGTGTACTACGGTGGCTAAATTTTCCTTGAAATCTCGGGATTTTAAATGATTTTAAATGATTGCATTTAATTTCTCAATTTTCTTCTATCCATACATCAGTTTTTGTAATCCACGAGTACATGGTGATAGTAAAATGAAAATAGGGGAACAGAGAACAGAAATAGAAAATTTGCGAATTTTTGAAAATGCTGAACTCTCGATTGTTTTCCCATTTCGATGTATGGCTACAAAATTTTGGAAAATCTTTTGGGAATTCCCTAAGAAGCTGCGAAATCGTGGAGAACATGTGCAAATGATTATATTGTTAGATGATTTGTTTGTTGAAATGAAAATCTCAAGAGAATATTCAGCAATTTATAGAATGAAAAGCGAGCAATCGAATCAACGAGTACGTAATGCAAAAAGATCGAAAAATCGAGGAATTTTGGGGATTCTCCGTGAAAACAATAGGGAGATTCGGGTAGGAAAAGAAAAGAATGGAAGAGAATAAGGGGATTCATTTGAAATTGAGTAGAAACTTCGATAAAATGAGAGCTACACTACTGAGTATCGATTTAAAGTTTTTAGATCATCGTTTTTAAAGTAAGAAAAAGCTATAGGAGCTATAGAAGCTATGGAAAAAGCTATAGAAGCTATAGAAAAAGCTATAGAAGCTATGGAAAAAGCTATAGGAGCTATAGGAGCTACAAAAGCTATGGAAAAAGCTATAGAAGCTATGGAAAAAGCTATAGAAGCTATAGAAGCCATAGAAGCTATGGAAGCTATGGAAAAATCTATAGAGGCTATAGAAGCTATAGAAAAACCTACAGTAATCTAAAACTTTCTCTAGCAACTTTACAGTCGCAATGAATTGGTTGTTAAATGTTTTCTTGCAAAAAAGATGTTTTCTTGCGAAAGATGCTGTGAAAGAACAAAAAAGAATGCTTTTTTCCCAAATAACGTTCACTAATAGAGTTAAAAGGTTAAAAGTCACAGACAAAAACATTCAAAACTTTGAGAACTTCTTGGAAAAGTTGAAAAACAAAGTTTAAATTGATTAAGGAAAACTATTTCTAGAGGTTGATCCAATAAACAATTACAGTAACCAATAAACGATTATAGTAACCAATAAATAATTACAGTAACCAATAAACGATTACAGTAACCATTACAGAGAGTCTCCGAGTGTAAATCTGTAATTACAAAGAGTCTGTGAATCTCCGAGTGTAAATCTGGATGATTGAAGGGTTAAAGGGGAAAATGGAGCACACGCCAAAAAAAAGGAAAGATGAAAAGAAACGATTACCTCGATTTTCCTTATCTTTTTCCCTTTTTTGTCCTTTTTTGTCCTTTTTTCAGATTTCCCCGTGATTCCCACAGTCTGGCTCAGTCACCGTTTTGCCTTTCCCTACTTTGATTCCTACAAATTTTTCGAGAGTGTCAACGAGAATTTATAGCCAATGAAAAGGTCAAATAAATGAGATTGAAATTGAGAGATTACGACGAGTTCAGCTACATTTATACACTTCAATTTATGTCTTTTTTTGCAATAAGAACCAAAAATTGGAATGAACTATGTGTTGTCATCGCGGAAAAATTGCGGAATTTACGACTCTTCTAAAAATGTCAATGGGGGAGGAAATGGAAAAAAAGAGAAAGTTTATGACATTGGAATTATTGAAAATTTGCGAGTTTTTGGTGGAAATGTCATTTTAGACGAGAATAGAAGAGAATGACGTTGATTGGAAAGAAGAAAAAAAAGCTGTGCACACAAAATGATCACAAATTATCTTTCAAAACAATTTGTGACACTTTAAAGCAGATTTTGATCAAATTTTGATTGATTATAGTACAAGTTCGGGAGGAATGAATAGGTGTAATGAAGGTAATGAAGTGAAAGTAATGAAGGTAAAGAAGGTAATGAAGGTAATGAAGGTAATGAAGGTAATGAAGGTAATGAAGGTAATGAAGGTAATGAAGGTAATGAAGGTAATGAAGGATTTTGAAGGTTTAGCTGTGAAGTAAATTGTCTAAAATATGTCGAAACGGATTTTCTAAACGGAAACGGAAACCAGAAATATCTTAAAGTTCAATCAGGTGAACAATAAAACTTCTATACTTGAGAAATTCGAGAAACTTTCATAAGGAAAATCAGTGAAAAGTTTTATGATTAAAGAGAATGGAATTTCGTGGAATTTCTTGGCAAAACGATGAATGAATCCCACATGACTGAAACAAAAAATGGGTCAATTTGTGAGAAATGAAAAAGAAAAGAAAAGAGATCAATTCATCGGAAGCTCTTTTTTTCAAAGATTTCAATCGGTGATAATGAATGAAAAAGAGAGAAAAAAGAGAGAAAAGGACAACGAAAATGGTTATGAAATCGAAAAAAATATTGAAGTTTTCATGCAAATAAAGAGAAATTCGAGGGAAACGCTGAGAGTACACAAAAAAGAGAAGATTTCCACAAAAAAGAGTAAGCGGGGAATTACGATAGAAGCATGGGGGTCAAAGTATCAATTTTTTGGACAAAGTATCAATTTTTTGGACAAAGTATCAATTTTTTGGACAAAGTATCGGTGTTCCTTTTTGCAAGATGGAATAGGTCAAAGTGTCATTGTTGGATTTATAATCTCTTACGAGCAAGAAATTCAAGAAAAAATGTACGAATGAGGCTGTTTTTCTGCAGTTTTCTCTGTACTATGTATTTTTTATTAGTCCTTGTTCCAAATTTCCCGAGAAATCTTCTCTTTTTTGCTTTTGACACATAATCCTATCTGGAATTGTTGGTTGGATAAGTTCATCAAATAGAAAAATCAAAAACTATGTATTATAAGCTGCATAAATCCTAAAATGTCGAAATGTCGAATACGTAGAATGCGGAAAATTCGAGAGGAAATGACCAATCTAGCCGAAAGAGAAAATGGTCGACTTTTTGCAAAAATTAAAACGTTTGAAATCGTTTTCTATACCTATAAAAGCTTTTTTGGAAGCAATTAGCATGTCAAAACTTCTTTTTTTACCAAAATTAGCTCACAATCAGCTTGTCTAGACGTGAGGAAAGTAAAAGTGGTTTTGAAAAGCTTCTTGGTCAGCTTTCTTCCTTGTTTTCCACTTGATTACCCTCTGAAATTCGACTTTTTCTCCATCTATACCTATAAAAGTTAGTAAAGAGAAAGTTAGTAAAGAAAAAGCTAGTAAAGAGAAAGTTAGAAAAGGAACTAGGGTAGATCAAAAACCTGTGCGCCGCCGGGATTCAAACCCTTTGGCTTACCGGGCAAGTGTGCCTTTACACCACAAAGCATTACACCACAAAGCATTACACCACAAAGCATTACACCACAAAGCATTACCACAAAACATCACCACAAAACATTACACCACAAAGCTTTACACCACAAAGCTTTACACCACAAAGCACGGAATTCCCTTACTCCAGAGGAAGTTAACTAAAGAAATAAAGTGCATAAACTTTAAATTGGCAAAGGTTCGACTTCTCATATAAAACTCTCAATGATGACAATTCAAAAGCTCTCTAAAAGCTTTACTTACTGTTTTAAAAACTTTTGGAGCTGATTTTAATAGATCAATTCGATCAATTCAATAGATCAATTCGATCAATTCAATCATTTCATCATTTTCTTTGTTTTTCACACATTTCTTTAAGCTTTGCCGATATGATAGGCAAAAGAAATCAGAAAAAATCTTCCTTCTTTTCCCTTGACAGTCACGTGTTTGTTTATAATCACATTTCGCGAAAATATTTTGCTTTTCATCTGCAGAAAAAAAGATCTACTGAAAATTTCGGAATCTTTTAAGCAAAATTTTTGAAATGCTATGATGACTTGTAGAAAATGATGACATTGCATTTGAAAAGAACAAAAAAACTGATGTTTTATGGGGATTCACTGAGATTTTGACGTAAAAACAGATAAAAATACAACATCGGCTTATCTCTTTTTATTCAATAAGAAGTGCGGATAGTTTAAAAAAATCTTTTTCTTTTGCTTTTTCTATAAAAAAGCGAGCGAGGGTCCGTGCCTGGCACCGATTTCTTTTCAGCCATCTTTCGTGAATCTCAAGAGATTACAGTAATCTTTTGAAATGATGGTCTATAATCTGCAAAATAAAAGAGAAAAACGAATTAGATGTCATTTTCTGTTCTTTCTTTTCTTTCTTTTCTCTTTTTCTCGAAGGAAATAGTTTTACATGTTATCGAAAAGAGAAAACATAGATTAATAGGTTGGCAAGTTATAAACGATCGTTTTTGGGTAATGTGTTTTCTGAAAAAACGGCTTATTCAATCAAAAAACGGTTTGCTTGATTCAAAAGCCCTATCCTTAATCTATAAAATGGCTTTTTTGAATTTTTGAAAAATGTTTTATTTTAGAACTTTTTCAGGCATTTTAATGTAAGAGTTCAAAATCCTGGTTTCTAGCATTCATGAGCTAATAGCATTCATGAGCTTTTTGAGTGATTGCATACTTTTTAAAATAAAACATCTTGATCGATTACATAGTTTCCCAAAATTTCAGAACAATCCAATCTTCGGAAGGTTGATTTTCAAATTAGGCTCAAAATGCATCAAAGTGCATTTTGAGCCTAATTTGAAATTTTGGGAAACTATGTAATCGATGAAGCTGTACAGGGTGCGTCATAATTATTGCAACAAGATACTCAAGGCATTGCACACCAAGAAGTTTCACTGGAAGAAGATTTTTAAACAGAAATAGCTTTATTTAACAGTAACAAATAAGGAAACAAGAGATCATTCGATATGACCGCCATTTGCCTTGATAACAGCCCTTAATCGGTTCGGATATGCCTCCACTGCGGCCCGAATGTCATCTTGAGGAGTCGCCTTCCATCCTTTGGTCAAAGAGCAGACATTAGCCTCTAAGATTGCCCAAATGGAAAAGTCCATCACATTGAGATCGGTGAGTTTGGAGGCCATTCATCCTTGGTGATCACTGAGGGGAAGTTGGCCACACACCAGTCCTGAACCGTCTTCTTCGTATGAGCTGGAGGCAATTAGGCAAGAATAAAAAAAGATACAACGCAACACAACAAAAAAGGGGGCAAAAAAATAAGAAAGCTGTTTGGAAAACGGTCTTTGAACTCTTGTTGCAATAATTATGACGCACCCTGTAATGTAATATGTAATCGATGAAGATGTTTTATTTTAAAAAGTATGCAATCACTCAAACATACCGTATTTCTTCGAATAGAAGACCGGGTAAAGAGTATCATCGCGTACTCCTGCGTAGCAGCCCAATTTAAAATTTCTTTTCTGCATAAAAGCTTTCAATCAAGTGCTATAGAGCTGGAAAATGACTCAAAAATACCACATGAGCTAACAGATTTTTGAGTCATTTTTCAGCCCTATAGCACTTCATTGAAAGCTTTTATGCAGAAAAGAAATTTTAAAAAGGGCTGCTACGCAGGAGTACGCGATGATACTCTTTACCCGGTCTTCTATTCGAAGAAATACGGTATATTAGCTCATGAATGCTAGAAACCAGGATTTTGAACTCTTACATTAAAATGCCTGAAAAAGTTCTAAAATAAAACATTTTTCAAAAATTCAAAAAAGCCATTTTATAGATTAAGGATAGGGCTTTTGAATCAAGCAAACCGTTTTTTGATTGAATAAGCCGTTTTTTCAGAAAACACATTACCCAAAAACGATCGTTTAAAACTTGCCAACCTAATAGTAAGGAAAAACGAATTTTTGTGACCCAAAAATTCTCAATCTTTGCTTTTTTTGAGTGGAGATTAAAATGGAGAATTTTTGAAAAAGCTTTATTAGGCACTATTTTGAATCGAATTGAAACAAATGGCTACAAAATAGATTTGCTGTACATCGCAAAATGCTTTCGGTATGTTGTGGATCAATCTGATACACCGTATCTGGAAATTGGTAGCGGTTTTGGAGAGCTTTGAGTGAAAAGTAAGTTTGAGAAATCATTATTTCATTATCATTAAGTTTATACCTGCAATAGACTTTCAAATTCTTGGGTAATTTGAGCTCATCGAGTATTTGGATGAATTGATTGGAGCATTGAATGAGACTCTCTGATTGCCTTTTCACAACAATCAATCTTTGTTCTTCTCCCGATGTCGAGTTTGTCGAATCTTCCGAATCGGAGCCGACTCTTCTGCAAAAGATTTACTGCTTTGTAGCTATATAGCTTTGTAGCTTTATAGATTTATAGCTTTATAGCTTTATAGCTTTTAAAATCATCGCTTTACCTCCTTTTTGAACTATTTTCATCATTTGTCGTCCCTTCAGATTCATCTTCCATCGGAATCTACAAAACTCTCATTCTCATTCTTTTTTCAAAACTTGTGGCTGCATGTGGCTGCATGTGGCTGCTTACATGTGGCTGCATAGCTGGTTGGCTTTGTCGAAGTGATGTCCCCGATGATGAGGCTCTCAAAGGATTTGGTTGGTTCTCTAGGTTGGACGTCAACTGGCTCATGTGGTTGTTGTGGTTGTTCAACCCTCTCTTCTTCCATTTCCGCACTATCCGGTCTCACAACAATATCTTCAACAATCCCATCCATTAAAGGGATATCATGTTCTGGCTGCAATGTAAGAATAAGTCGATTTTATGCCATTGCCTTATACCTGTTGCTGTTCACCCGATTCATTTCCTTGTTCATCCTCTTCTTCCTCACTATCCTCGTCAGAAGTCTCAGAAGAGAAGCTAAATCAATTCTGTATTCATTAGCAATTCAGTTAGTAGTCAAGTGTAGATTCCACAAAAACCCTTTACATCAAGTGCTCATCTGCTTCAATTTCCCTTTCTTCCTGTCCTTCTCCCGCTTCTTCTCCTTCTCTCATTTCTTCAACCGGTTCTCCCTCATCTCGGAAATTTTCCACCAATTCTCCTCGAAATCTTCTTCTTTCGTCTGCGATTTCTCTCAACCGACGAGCTCGACGCTAAATTTTTGAGTGAAATTGGTTGAAATCGGTGTCAACTCACAGCCATTGCGTGATCTCGTTCACCCAACATCAACGCTCTCAATAATCGGGCACGTCCTGAACACAGTTGTTTATTTCATAAACGTTCTTGCTTGTTCTATTGTTCACTCACTAATTCTTATATTCGCCTCATCAGCATCCTCTTCTTGTTCTCTTTCTTGTTGTTCCTCTTGATTGATCTCGTTCTGATGAATTCCTACGTCATCAAGGGCCTGACGAGCTCGACGAATGTGGGGAAGTGCCTTAAAAGAAAAAGATCTCATATTTGCATTTGGTAAGCTTTATGTTTAGTTTTTTGACGATTGAGCCTAGCTTACTTCGCGTCGTAATCCAATCATGACCGGTCTTGGCTGTCCACCTCTTCCAGTTACATGAAGTACCATGCTGTTTGTTGGGCTAAACAGTTATTTATTCAAAGTTTCAACAAGAAAATTATATTGTCTAATACCGATCATCATATTCTTGTGGTTCTTCCATTGTTTCATCGACTCTTTGTTGCAGTTCAACGGGTGTCAGCGATTGAGCCTGAAAATTCTCTTCTAATGTTGTAAAAATGGAGCTTTCAATGCGGGCATCTCAATGTTGGGATCTCAATGTTGCAATCTCCATGTATGAAATCTCCATGTTTTAAACGAACCTTCTTCATGATTGTTTGTCTAATAGCAGTCCGGCACAATTCCCGAAGAGAGAAATTCTTGTACGAATCGTTTGGAAGAACAACTGGTTTCGTATTCTAAAGGTTTCAGTTAAAAGTTTTAAACTTCAGAACTTACTGGAGAAATCGGCAACAAAGTTGAGAAAGAAACATTCGAATAGTTCTCTCGTTGAAAATCATCAGTGGCTGTTCGACGATAGCAGATCATCTATGAAATGTTATTTGTCCAGTTTCAACGTTCAACTCACCGAATTCTCAACCGGAGCCACCAATTGTCCGCCAACTTTCAAAAGGTTTCCCATATTTTGTAAAGCTTCTTCTGTAATAGCTGCTCCGATATAGATTCGATCGTAGAACTCTTTTGATTCATCGTTGATTAGAAGACCGTTTCCATGAAGAAAACTGCAAATTTATTGCTGTACGTGATCAAAGCTTTAAAACTCACGTCGGAAGGGCAAAATCATAGCAATTTATCTCGGGTCCTTTAAGCGTTTCTACAAGTTTTTTGTTCGCATATTCAACGAGATTCTCAAAGTATTCGATTCCGTGATTTGTTCCCGTTGAACCTGCAAATCTTATGGCTTTTTGAAATCCTTTTTCTCTTACCAATAATAAACCCAACAACCGTATTGAGATATCCCGTTCCGGATCCAATATTCAGAAATGTTTGTCCTCTTTTCAGTTGTAAATGATCGAGAGCACTTGTGTAGATACATGGAGCAGATAAATGGATTGAACCGATCGATGAAGGGGGTCTCTCTGCATCTTCTACTGGATTTGTATCACGATCCTGGAAATGATTGAAACTAGATGAAAAGGACATAGCTTTTGAAGTTTTTTGAGCTTTTGGAAATAACGACATTTACATTATCTAGGAAGCGGTTTTTAACTATTTAGATCTATCAAACCGACCCTATATGGAGCATCTCTGTACGCGTCTTCATGTGCTCCAGGTGGTATAAAACGGCCTCGATCAACTAATCTGAAAAAGTTGAACGGTTAAAAGTTTTGCTAGCTCTTCTTCCTGCGTATTCCTATCTTTCTTTTAACTTTACTCACCGAAAACCTCTTTCAACATCTTTGCATCGAAGCGATCGATCATTCACAAGGTAATCCACCAATTCATCGTTGTCTTTACTCGCCGTTGTTCCCATTTCACATCTGGAAATCTGATAGGTGATGAAAAGCAGTGATCAAATGAGAAACTTACAATAAAATGCGTTACGATAATAATTATAAAGTAAAAGCAATTTGTAATGTTGTGCCAGAAAAACAACAACCAGCGAAAATCAATTACGCAATAGATTTGTGTGCACTGAAGAGTACGAAAGAGAACGCGCAAGAAAAAGAGGGAAATTGAATGGGAATGTGGGCGATGAATTGCTTTGATATTGTAATAACGGTGGTAAAATATCAGAGACAGACTATATTTATGTACTCTATCAGTTCAGACAATTTCCATTGGTTTCAAGACAATTCTAAAGCGAATTAATTTAGTTCGTAATTGATTTTCGCTGGTCCATTAGTTTCCGGTTAAGAACTAGCGTTCTGTTTTCTAAAATGCACGAAGCCACTGACTGAATATCTCATTTGAAAGCAAAATGTATTTATAAGGTTGCAAGTTCAACCATTCCACGGTTTTTAAAGTTTGCTCAGTTTGCGCTTCAGTTTCAGCTTTTCAATTTAAAGCTTGCCGTATTGATTCTAATAGAAGCGCAGCCTCTAATAGCAATAACTATGGATATTCAGCTTAGTAGAACGAATGCCCTAATTTTTGAGCCTTTAAGGATATATAAGGATATACCGTATTTTCTCTAATAGTAGTGCACCGCGGCGAGCCGAGTTGGTGACTATTTTACGGTTTCCAAGCTTTTGCAGAGGCTCAACACTCTAATCTCCCACTAGATCTCATCGTCAGCTACATTTTCCGACCCCACATCGATAGGTTCTGATAAGCGGTTCTCGAGATTTCGAGCAATTTAGGCGACGCTAAGGGTGCACTACTATTAGAGAAAATACGGTATACGCATTTCTTTGAGGAAAATTGCATTCTTTATCATCTGTTTTTCATAAGCAGTGATAATTTTGATAAGTTTTTCTTGCAATAAAGTAGTCAGCTTATTTAGATCGAATTTATAACTCTAGGTATTTAAATTCCGTCGCGATTAAGATAATTTAGGCCATAAAATTCTCAAAACTAAAAATTTTGATGTTTTATATTTTAGTATCCAATCCTTTAGCAAAGAATCTTTCTTGGTTAGTTCTTTCTTAGATTATTATTATCATTATTGCTTAATCAGGAGCTTTTCTTGTATTTTCTTGCATTGACATAGTGACATCTCGATTGAAGTTGACGACTTTAACGATAATGAAATCGAGAATAATGCTTTTTGACGATTGTTTGGATCGTTGGATTGTTTTTAATTGGTTGTCACCTAAAGGTTTTTTTCTACGAGCTACCTCATCAATTTTTTAGTCTTAAAAAATAGAAGCGCAGCCTCCGATAGAAGCAATTTTGTGGAATGATTGAAAAATAGAAGCGCATGTGCTTCTATTAGGATAACTACGACACTTTTGTTATGGCTTGCTGGTAAAACTACCACTTAATATTTTTAATGATTTCTTATATTTATCTCTTCTACTTACTATGATTTGATTGCTTCGATGGCTGTTAATTTTTTTAATTTTCAGAAAATACACTAGAAAGAATGAGCGAGAATCCAGCAGGAATGAGCGACAATCCAGAATCATCATCGATCGAAAATGGGTTAATTTTTAAATTTTTGCTTATTATTTTTTAAGAACTAAACTGTAAAAGTTTTGTTTTGCCAAAGTTATGATATCATTTTTTTTAGTGTATTGAGTGCCCGAGATGAGGAAACGAGAAAATTGGAGAAGACACTGAAATCATATCGAAAGTTTTGCGCCGAAAAGGAGACCAGGAAAACGCTTTTAAAAGTTTGTGTTCTTAGTAAACGCTTTGATTTGTTTGTTTCTTTTAGGATGCGGCATTTTTGAAGATGTTGACACAATGTATGACAGACAATCGACCCTCCGTTATGAAATATCTGATTCAGGTTGTTAAAGAACTTAAATTCGCAAAATTTGTTTCCTTTTTAGCAAAAAAAACTTCTGTTTTTTAAGAATGTTTTTAAATTTAGATTCTTTTGCTGTTGACGGAAAAGAAAGAAGATGCAACCTTTCTCGGAACAGTTGAAGGATTGGTGAAAGCGATTGGATTGGCTCAAGAAGGACCATTTACACCAAATGATGTAAAACAACTCATCACAATTTCCACTCGGATTCAAACAGTCGAGAAAAAGTTAGTACTAATTTTTATAAATATTAATGCAATAAAATTGATCAATTTGAGATGAATTGTTGGATGAAATCCCTCTGATCTTGCTCCATTTTTTGAGCTGCCTCTAGTTCAATCCTCAATCTTTCTAATTCGACTTGTTTCTCTCGAATTAGAATCTAAATTTTCATTAGGATTAGTCTTGAGAATTTGATAAAATTCCCACATAAAAGAGCCTAACCTGTATTTGTTGTGTCTCATTGACTTTCCTTTTGTCAATGTTCTTCAGAATACTCCTCGAAGTCATCGCTCGGAGTTTTTCTGTTTCAACCATTGTAGCCAACTAATTTGTGTTTTACGCAATTACTCTATTAAAACTAACTTCTTCCATTGTTGTTATTAAAGATTCAGTGGTTGTTTTGAATTGAGCCATTTGTTGTTCGAAGTTTTTGCCCTCCTGACTCAATTCGGTACAGCATTCAGATGTCTCTAAGCTTTCTTGGTCAATTTGTTCAAGTTTAGTAGCAAACCTGTGCTCAATAGCCGTAGATGATTAAGATCATCGACAAATAGTCCCGATTTTGAAAGAATTTCTTCGGGTTCAGTCATTCTGGGAGAAAAAGAGTAAAACTGACGGGATTGTGTGGCACGTTTTCACTTGGTTTCCATGGTGATTTTGCCTCGTTCTTTCATGATCCTACTGCAAGTGCAAATTAGAATTAAAGTAAAGTAAGAAAAAAAGCTTATTTGAAAGAATACATTTGCTTTTCGATTATCTGTCTTTTTTAGGAAGGTGATTCCTACAAATGTCGGAGACGTGGCTAATTCTCGTCGTTTCATCGTTCGCACAAATCGACAAATCGTTTTTGAAATTGATGACATGACGGAAGTATGTATTAACTACTCCTTTTTTTAATATTCTTGTAAGTGTTTTAATACAAACTACTGGTGTTTAGACTTTGCGCTCAACTATTGAAACGATGTGCATCAGCCAATTGGGAAAGCGTGGATTGATCAGTGTTTATTGTGATGTCGGAAAGTCTCGAGTGGTTCTCCGAACTACACATGCGCTTGATGCTAAGGTTTGAATAAAAATAATTTGTAAATATTCATTTGTTTAGGGTATTAGTGAAGTTCTTTTTGATTGTGGCTGTGAAATGGTGACTCAGCTTACGAAGATTGATGGAAATGACGAAAGATTTCGTGAGTTTTACGTGAAAGTTTATTTACTTGGCGATTTGAACCGGTAGCCTTATTTATAGAAATTTTAGTTTAGTAACTTTAATAAACATTCATTTTCCATTGTAGTATTTTAGCAATGTATGCGAGTGAACGTGAACGTCGATTGGAGTCAAATCGAAAGGAATTGCCAGATTATCTTGAAGAAGGACATACATTCGACCCATCAACAACTCTCGTTACAAAGGCTCATGCGCAAGAAAGTGGATGGCTTTCATCGGTGACAAGTTACGTGAAATGGTGGTGATAAATTATCCTCGTTATCTTTTCAAATCACTTTACTCTTGTCTTTCTGTAATCTAGCCATCGATCTACATCTCTCGTTTTGTATATTTTTGTTGATGAACAAATTTGAAGTGAAACTGTCATCTAATGTCTCTAGACTTCTACTCTTTTAAAGGAGTTTTGAATAAATTATATATGTTTAACGTTGGATTTGTAAAAGCTTGATGTCTGAGGGCAATTATTGTGAAAATGAAAACGAATTGAGTTTGGGGGAATTATTGTGCCGAGGTTCTGCGCTTCTGTCAGGTGAGAAAAAACTCCTGTCATTGCGGAAAATTAAAATTACACAGACGAACTTTTTAATTTCGTTATTTATTGTACATTTTCATTGACCTTCATTTGCTGAGGAATCAACTTGACTTTTAGCGGACTGTAGTTTATTTAAATTTCCCAGCACTAATTCAAGCAGGAGACCAAAAAATGGTTAAATTATTCACTTTTTGTGTTTTCTTCTGTATCCAAAGAAGAGATCTCTTCTATAGGCAAGGTCAACTCAATTCATTCACAAAAAGACAAAGTTGAGCGGTCGCGACTCGCGACGCGCTCTTTCCTTTCTTGATGACCCCTTTCTTGTCCACTTCCCGTTTTCTCATTCAAAGCATATAACCTCTGAGTAACACTTGTTTTTATTTGCTGTTTTTCACTTTCCTTGACTTAAATAACCTCTTAAGCTTACCGGTTTTTCTCATCATAAACATTTTCTTCAATTTATAGCGAATGAAAGAGACGGGAAACACGGTGACGGTGAGCAATCGAATGAATGCAATGCATATCTCATCCGATCAAGAATACATTCGAAATCTCTACACAAGGCATCAAGGTGAAACTTTTTCTGAAGCTTGTTAAATGAATGATTAACTTTTTACGTAGCTGACTATGAAAAGCAAAAAATTTCAGTCATCGTATAGCCTCAAAGCACGATAATATAAACACAAACTCATAATTTAATGCATAGAACTTTCGCTATCATAATTTTTTTTAGATGCTGAACGCCTTTATGCGGAAACGAGAACGGCTCGAATTCGAACAGCAATGTTTGGGGATTGGCTGAAAAACGGAGAAGATAATGAGGAGAATGAATTACAAAGAAATGGAGCTAATATTTCGGTAAGCTGGATTCCTGTACTTGTAATTTGGACATATCCTGACTATGTATTAGACTGTCCAGAAAGTCTTTTCGTTCATTTTCGTAATTCCGTTGAGAAATAACAAATTCACCAATTAACCTATGGTTTGCTCTAAATAAAAAGTGTTTATTATTCAATTTCCCATCTTTTAAGTCAACTTCGGTTCATCTTCAAGCAAATTCGAGAGTGAAAACGTGTTTTTTTGTAAAAATCTATAAAAACCTCTACGAAGAAATTGGCTGAATCAATTTCTCTGAAAATTTGGCTATATTCCTAACTTTTTGTGCTCTATCTTTTATCTATTGACGCGAAGATAGGTCTCCTTAGCTAAATTGTCTAAAACGCATCATCGAACCGTCACCCTTTTTGACTACCCGACTTCACGCTTTCAAAAAAATCCAGACATAAGACATTTTTAAACCCATTTTAATATTATTTTGCAGAAAAATGATTGGCCTTTTTAATGAAACAAACCGTAATTCAATTGGTGCATTTGTTGGTTGTAAACGGAAGTACAAAAAGGAACGAAAAGACTTTCTGGACAGCCTAATATAAGAAAACATATCCCAAAATATCACTACTTCTTTGCAGCCCTCAAAGTTGATGATTGTTGAACGATTGGCCGGGAATAGTCGACAATTGAGGGCCGCTGTTGAAGAACTTTTATCGATACAGGTATCAATCAATAACAAAGATTCAATACAGATTCTTGAAGAGCTTTTTCTCTTTTTCCACTGTATACTTATCTATGCCTACTATAATTCAGATGTCTCTTGATGATATGACGGTTCATTCGATCAACGACCTCATTGGCCTAATGAGTGATTCAGATCCGGTAAGAAGATGGTTCACGGTGTTTTAAAATCAAACTTTAAAAGATATTGCAACTAGCAACTAAAAACCTTACGTTTACTTGTTCTACATACATCAATAAGCTTTTTCCAGGCAATCGTTGTGCGAGCCGTTCAAAGGGTGTACATTTTATGCAAAGAAGATCACTCAACATCAGAAAATGCTCATCTTGTTGCAAAATTGGTGGAAGTATCGAGGTAAGTATTTAACAAAGTTCTCGGTAAAATATATGATGGCCTGAAGTAGACAAGCAATAGAGGCCGAATTACTGTAGTTAGTACGTTTAGAAAACTACCCATAAGCTGATGTTTTAGAAAACGTATCAGATAGAAACGCACTTTAAACACTGGGCTCTGATTTTCGTATGACTGAAGAATAAAGTTGATGGGACTTTTTTGAAAAGAGAGAAAAATGAGAGAGCTTGGAAGTCAATTGATGAAATTTGACACCTTTTGCCCAATTCTTCTCATTTCTTTTCCTTGCCAGACAACATCGTCATTTCACACCGCCATATTGAAATGAATCCAAGAAATTCTCTCTAGTTTTCTAGGTTTTTCAATAATACATTTACAGAATTTTCCTATTTAGCTATCATTTTTTAGATCGGATAACATTGCGATCAAACGAAGTGCAATGGGAGCTCTCGCTAAAATCTCCGAACATCCGACTGGAAGAATGCATTTATTCAGGTGAAATTACATTCAAGCCCATTTAAACGCAAATATTTAGATCTGGTGGTCTGGTGGAGCTGATCCGAATGCTTTATTGTCCCGTTGAGGTTGGATCAGTTACTAAATCAGAATACAGGGTGTTCAATATTTCTGGGGACCAGTAGATTACTTGGTTTAGAGCTCATTTTGTACAGGTTTAATGCTAAAAAGGAAACACACTTATCAATACGCCCAACGTTAACAACTTTAACTTACTTTTTTCAAAATTATTGCCTTTTGCGTTGTTGTTTGCCTAGAAACACCTGTGGAAAGCGCCTGGCAAGGAGGTCCGGTAAATTGAATTTGTCACAAACTCTCGTGAAGCTTTCTTGGAAGAACCAAAACTGAGATATAATTCTAAAATTTTTAATGTCCCGTAGATTCGAAAACTCTTAAATAGTGAAGACTCATTGTTAAACAAGAACAACTGGGGTCTGACTCCTTTTGGTGAAATTTCATGATCGAGTTCCGATGAATCGATTTTTGGAATGCCAAATTTAGTAAACTGTAAAAATAATCTAGAAAGTCGAGTTTTTTCCAACTCCTATGCAGTGCTTTCTTGACGATTTTTTATAAACCAGCTTTGAGAGGCCTAAACGACCTGCGAGCTCAAAAGCCCCCATAAATATTGAACACCTGTACTGGCTTGTCGTTAAAGTTACACGGGTAAAGACCGCATTACTGTAGTTGGTACGCTTAGAAAACGGGTATTCATTTCAGGTAGTTGTCCGATATGCGGTGGCAACCCTTCGAAATCTTCTCGTTCATCTCGATTCAGTCAAAGATCAAGCAAGGGCTCTTGGTGCTGTTGAAGCTCTTTCGCCACTACTTCTACGGTCAGTTATCAGACAAAACAAAGATCACAGATTAAATTGATGAAAGAGAATTATTGTCATATACGGGCCATAGTACCTTATTATATCAGTCATTTTTTCAGAACGGATCCCCGAATGTTGGCTCATGTTGCCGATTCACTCTATTCGCTTCTTCATGAACATGCAAAGAGCAAGTGAGTAGTTTTCGTTTTCCATTGCAGAGAAGAGTTTTTAAAAAAAATAGGTGTTCGTATCAAAACATGTCTGATAGTGAGCTACCCTTTAATCAGCCTTTGTCTAGACTTGATTTCTTGTCTCTTGGTGGCCCACAAACACTCGTCGAGATTCTCAATCGATACCAACAACATCCCAAGCTAATCTTTACCGTTGTCAGGTTAGCATCTTACTACTGTAGCTTAACCAAATTTATCTTTTCAGATGTGTAAAATCATTGAGTGTTTGCCCGCAAAACAAAGCTGCACTCATTTCTCTTGGCAAGTTCAAATAAGCCCAATCCTGAGCATTTCTAATAAAATCTCTTTCCAGGTTGTCTCCAAGCTCTCTACCAATTATTGTGTACATCAACCGATTCGCGAACACAATTGGCAATTCTTGTCTCAATGCGAAATCTCAGTGAAGCTGCCACAAATGAGGAGAATCTTTCGCAATTGGTGAGTCATTAGAACGGTGAACAACAGTCAGTCATATTCACAATCAGTTAAAATTAATCTTTGTCTTTTGCAGGTAAAGCGTTTACTTCAAATTGTTCGTTCATCGGATGATGCTCAACATGTGGCGTGTGCCTGTGGTATTCTCTCCAATTTGACATGCAACAATGTTCGCAATAAGCAGGTGATGCATTACGAATTGCTCAAGGCATAGACAAATAACTTGGTCATAAAAGAATATTTCAGACGGTTTGTTCGGATGGCGGTATCTCATCACTGGTTGATTGTGTTCGCCGTTTTCCCGATGTCGAAGAAGCGACTGAACCGGCTCTTTGTGCTCTTCGACATTGCACTGCAAGACACCCATTTGCTGAACAAGCACAACGAGATCTCAGGTTCGTTTTTGGCTCATTCAACAACTGAACATTTCCTAAATAACAATTCAATAATATTTTCTAAATTACTTTCAGATTATCGGGAGCTTTTGGTCAACTTGTTATCCTTCTCTCAACACTGCGGGCACCCGTTGTAAAAGCAGCTCTGGGAGTTGTGAGAAATTCGGCTCTTCTTCAAGATAATCTAATCGAACTGACACAGGTTTTGAACAATTTTTTTATTAGATAAATTATTGTATTCAAGGAAATGACTCCAACTGGACAAACAGTGCTTTCTTTGGCAATGGAAGTGTGGATATTGGCGATCAACAAATTGAGAGAGGTTTGTAGCTTGTATTGCCTAAATATTATCTAAATAGATATGTGCTAATCAAAATCTCATTTTCCAGGATCCAAACGCTGAAACAGATGGTGTACCGATGTGGGGAGTAGTTGAGGGAGCTGTCTCTGCTCTTCATCAATTGGCCACTCACAAACAGGTGAACAGTGCTCACATCTAAACATGACCAATGTTTTTCTCATCTAAATAGACTGCGTTTATAAACTGAATTCAATTTTCAGGTTTCCCATGATCTAATTCACAACTCAGATGCTCTTCAATTGATCTATGAATTGCTGAGGGATCCATTTGTCTCTCAATCTGATGATGAGGTTTGTCGAATAGTTACTGATGAGATAATATAAAGAAATCAGCAATTTCTATTCAATTTAGGTACTAGAACGGGAACTTCTCGGTCTTCTTTATCAAATCTCACAAACAAGCGATGGAGCAAGTGCTGTAGATCAAAGCGGGTTTGCTTCGATTCTTTCCGAATGTCTTCGCTCACAACATCGATCGGTTTGTTAATTTTAGCACAATTTTTAGCATAATTTTTTCTCCACAAATTTTAAGCATAAATCTAACTTTAAATTTGAAATGAATCAGTACCAAAGGTTTAATGACTCATTTCAGGTTTCCACATATGCATCCGGAGTGCTGAAACGTCTCGAATCGGATCGACCACCGCAATACAGGTTAGCTAAAAGCATTAGATTTATAACACAGAGCATTTACTCAACACACAGTACTCACAAGGGTACAGGCCTGACACCTACTGGATCGGATTTGATTTGATTTGATAATTCAAATATCATTTTCAGACAAGAAATGGATATGGAAGCATCATCCGGATGGCAAAGAGATGGAATGGAACCAGAATTATTCTCGGAAATGTACAGACCGGTTCGTTTTTATTTGATAATCCTGAGCCTAACTAGGGACGGTCGCCAACTTAAAGGTTCAAAACGATACGTATCCTATCTTCAGTTTTTCACGGGCTTTCCGAACCCGCTTTTAGTTTTTCCTAAATGGCTTGCAAACGCAAGGAATTTGGCTTTAAAGTTTTAGCTATTCTTTTGTAAGACTTCCTCGCTTGCCTGAATGTCCTTCTGGCTGAGAGGTAGTTCTCTCGGTTAGAAAGTTTTTGGTCCGAGTTCGACTTCTTCGTCGATAGCATTTTTAAACTTTCCTTAGTAAGTAATCCCTAGTAAGCGACCTTTCCTAGTAAAGTAATCATTAACAAATCCCCTTAATCAATCTGATTTTCCATCAATTCACGTTTTCATCCTTTAGGGTTCGATGGTTGGACATCCAATTGGCGTTGATAATGGTGGATGGTATGATACGGATTTGTGATTGCTTCGATGAGAAAAATATGTTGTATTGAAGATTTAAAATCGCACTATTATCTAATTGAACTATGCAACAGTTTGGCTTTGCTATATTTATTTTGATTAACAATTTAGAATTGTTATTTATTCAAACAGCGTTGTGATGCAAATGAATTCTCTGTATTTTTCTCTTTTGTCCAAAGTATATGTCTTCTTTTTATATGAACTGAACAAATCAAAGCTCTAAAATGTGCTATTTTCCCTTTGTTTACTTTGTTTTGAATCTCCTACTTAATCAAACAAACAAATCTACTTTATCCCCCATTAAATCGATCTACACAAATGTGCTATTTATTGTTGGCCTTAAAAAGTATTGATATCAATAATTCTTGATCACAAATTTGCCTTCACTTTAACTTATTTGATTATTAATGATATCCTTTATATAAAAGAAATGGATTCACTATGCAATGGCAATAAAATAAGACTTTATTTACAAACGCAAGCTCAATTGTCCTGGGGAAAATCAGTCGTAAACATTGAGTGGACTGCGGGAACCTGAATTAACAACAATTAACAAACAGGATTAACAATGATTGACTTCAATTTATAATCAATTACCTGTTTTTCAAGGAGTGTTGTGCCATTGGTGTATTTTGTTGTCTTTTGAGGGACAGTTTGATGAGTGAATGCACGTTTAAGAGATGCAGATGAGGGGGAACGATTGTGGGGCATTTGACTAGAATAGTTAGACAGTTGTGAAAACAGCGTGATTTTGGTTTAAGTTCATGGGAAAAGGAAACTAGGATGAATTGCTTACCTTCTTCCATTGCTTTTCCTCTTGAATCCAAATAGTGAGAAAACGATATCGAGCACAAGAAGTCCTACCTGAAGAATGCTTTAGTAATTGTCTGGCTTTAATTGTCTGGCTTCTACTCACTTCCGAAATTGTAATCACCGAAACACCCATCCAAAGACCGAGTTGACCACCAAAATCTGATAAGAGATTAATCCACTAAACGGGCTTGTTTTGGTATTTTAAAATGCTCTCAACCCCGTAAGCTTCAGATTCTTGAAGAGCTTCGTAGTTGAGTTGCTCGAAAAATACCTAACATTGAAACAATTAAGATAAAAAGCATTCAAATCTCACCTCAATCATCGCTCCTTGTTCGCGAAGATAGTTTAGACATTGCTGCTCGTTTAAGCCCTGAATCAATGCTTGGTTTTTGAAATCAATATATAGAATTGGTTCAATATATAGAAATCTTTTTATTCTACTTTTGGACAATCGTTCCTATTTGCAAGTGTAGCTGGCCATCGAGATGCCGAATATGAGATCGAAAAAACTTGTTGGCTGAAATAGACAGTGAAATAGAATTGAAAATTTGGTCTTGAACTCAAGTTCCATGCTAAACTATACCTGCATGGTTGTCGACACTTTTTGCATTTCAATTTCTCAATATTCTTTGCAGCGTATTCGGTTTCTCTGTGAAGACATTTTCCTGATTTGAAAAAAAAAGTGCTTAATTTAAGTAGGTTTCTCACTTTTTAACTCATCATCAACAGGACATGAATGGCTGTGATTCCATCTTGGATAACGTGGATCGCCACAACCACATTTTTTGACAAAATGCTGTTGAACACAACTCCTCTGACATCCCTAACATTTGCAAAGTGTCACAACTGATTTGAATAACAAACCTCAGTTGAATACTCCTTTGTCGTGTAGATAAAATTCTCATCTTTTCCGTTTTTCACGCAATCTCCATATGGTGATGGAAGACGGGAAATGTGTTTCTAGAATCAACTCTAGAATCCACATAATCTCATATCAAACCATTCGAATTCCGAAACTTGAAACGAAACCAGTTGGAGCTGAATAGCCCAAAGTATCGGGAAATGGTTGTTCATCGGATGAATGTACCTATGAAGAATGTATTTTTTATTGAATCTTATTCGTATGTACAGTCAATCGAACTCCAGCAGCTTCTGTGGTTGGCATGTATTCTTCGATATTGACAAAAACTTGAAATCTTAATCCTGAAATCAAAAACTTTTTTGTTGCTGATGTTAAGCCTTAGATTTCTTACCGTAATTAGGCCCAGCTCTTTCACTTGTAAGATTCGATTGTCTTGGATCATGATTAAAAGTGAAGCAAGTACCATAGATTGGGTCGAGGTAGTGCGAGAAATCACTAGGGTTTGTCAACCTTTCGAGAAACTCTGCTAACAAACTGTGAAATGTTGCAATCACGGCCGTTGAAGGAGCATCGAGTGATGAATTCGAATTTCGTGTAACTGATCTGCAAAAATGATTGCTTACTTTTTAAAATACCACTCAACCTGGGATCTTTCGAGTGGTGTCAATTTGTCCAAAACAAAAATCACATTTTCTTTTGCTTGAGTGTTGAGAGCAACCGGATCCGAAGCCTAAATATAATTTTTTGGATCTTTACGGTTATCGGGGTGGGGGTCAAGCGATTATCGGGGGATAGAATGACTTCTTAAATGGAAATCTCGATAAAAGGCAAATTGTCCTTTATCTTTTCTTTTCAGATATTCAAGCAACAAATTGACTACTTTTCGTTATTTTATCTGCTGCCCGGAATTTCATTTATTTCGTTTATTTGAGGGTGGGACAAATGCGACCTTTTTTTTGCGCATCTGGACATTCGCGCACCTTTTTTTTGCTGGAAAAGGCCTTAGGCAAGGCCGTAGAGCTTCGAAAATATTTCCATATAAGGGAATCGTATGCGTAGATTCCGAATTTTGACAAATCAGACCTCGCTGACACGTCAAATTTGGGCTAAAAGCAAAAACTGCGGAAAAGCGTTAAGTTGCGTAGTTTTTGCCTTTTAGCTCAAATTTTACGTGTCAGCGAGGTCTGATTTGTCAAAATTCGGAATCTACGCATACGATTCCCTTCTATGAATACATTTTTGAAGCTCTACGGCCCCCACAAAAAAGGGTTTTCCTTTTTCTTTTCTTTTCAGATATTCAAGCAACAAATTGACTACTTTATTTTATCTGCTGCCCGGAATTTCATTTATTTCGTTTATTTCAATCTTTTTTCTGTTTCTGTTTACGTTTCTCTCCAGTTATATACTAATGTTCTTTTTTCAGGTAGAATGCAATCGTACAGCGATTTGTGCCAGTTCAATGAAAAGGCTCCATTTCTTTCATCATTCATCATGGAGTTATCATTCCACTAGTGTCTTCAAGACCATGAAATGTCACTTAAACACAAAGAAGGAAAAACTTATCGATGGGAACATATCGATGCGTTCGTTGTCGGAATAAAAAACGACTTCGAAAGGAAGCACAAAAGAATTGAAAGACACAAATCGGATATCAAACAGCAAGCTCTCCTTTTTGGACTTTGTCAAGTCCATTCGACTCTGGACAGACAACCAAGCAACTATCGAATTTTGCGATCCAAGAACTCAAAATCGATAATCCTCCCGGCCGATAACCGTAAAGATCCGATTTTCTAAACAACAAACAGTTTTGCTTCAAGTTACCACATAATTGTAAGCTCTTTCCGTCTCTTCTTTCTTCTTTTGAATTGGTGAAATTGTTGTTGTTGGGAGAATTTCCCAATATGGGACAACTCGTTCAACTGAAATTTGAAAAAGCTTATGGAATTATTTTTGATCATTCTTTACCTAAAGCAGTTGTGTTCCCATTTGGTGGTTCAATTTTAACACAAAGCTTGATCGGCATTGCACAGAGACAGTCAAATGCAGCTTTTGGATCATCCGAGTAATCACAATTGCCAAAAGTGACACAGCTAAAGTTTAAAGTGGATTTGGCATAACAGATTCACTTATTCTGCTCAAGACATTTCCCACCTAGTGCACTTTTTTTCTTTCCAATCAACCGGCAAATAACAAGGCCAAACAATCCCATTCTTTTTATTGTAAAAACAGAGGCAAGTGCTTCGGTTCGAGTCCTGAAATTGGTCATCAGGTGGAAGATTATATGCAAACTTTTTCCATCAAAGCTTTCCATTCATTCCCTTGTCGATCACAAGAAGTGTAAACAGCCAATAAACCATCATAATTGGCAAGGATTTTTTCGTAGATTCGACGATTGTGGCGGCGAATTCGAATCTGGGAGTGAGTAGCTTTTTAAAAAGAAAAATCTCAACTAACCGATCTCTTTGTCGTCTCCTTCTCATGCACTGATTCAAGTTTTTCTTGAGATTCTATTTGAAAGCAGCTAAATGATTTTTGATACAGATTTAAGCCAAATTTGATTTGATTTGAGCCAATTACCGGTTTTGATGACACAAACATTGTGTGTCTCCATCCGAAAGACTCAATGATTTCGAGCAACGACCGGACCTAGAATGGACAGACTCAGTTTGATTACTTTAATCAAACTGTTTTCTCATTTCTTACCAATCACATAAACCACAAGTGTGCATAGACCAATTCGCGAATGGGGCACAATACATCGATGAAATTTCTACATATATAAAGTTCTTTTAACTACTCATTTTTGTCTACCAATTCTTTGAGAAGATGAACCAACGCAAAGACAAGTCTCATTTGATGAATACTTGCATTTTCTCGTTGAGATTGGCAACGGTTCAGTTGGAATGATCTGAAGAATCTTATTCGTTTTTGATTAGTACACTCTGTCAAAAAAATATAGACGCACCCTGTTTTTTGCTAGTTTAGAGCCGGATGTAAGTGCTCGTCCAGTAAAAAGTATTTTTTAGTTTCTTTAATGTAAAAAAAGTCCAACTTCAAAAAGACGTCTCGGCATCGAAGAGACAAGGTCATGGAGCGCTTTTGGCTGAAGCCGATTCCAGGCTACTTGAATGGCTTTCTTGAGTTCACTCACGCTCGAATATTGCTTGTTTCCCTTGTAGACATCTCAAACGAGTGTCCCCCACACATTCTCAATCGGGTTCAAGAATAAAATTATCGATAGAATCGATTCAAGTTCAAGAATCAATTATCGATAGAATAAATCGTCAAATAAAAGTGCGTCTATAATTTTTTGACAGCTGATAAAACGTTTTTTGTACGATAAAATACTTTGGATGATTGAAATGACTTGGAATTTTGCATGGGTTATTTTTTACATTAAAGAAACTAAAAAATACTTTTCACTGGACTAGCACTTATATCCGGCTCTAAACTAGCAAAAAACAGGGTGCGTCTATATTTTTTTGACAGAGTGTATAACACGGGTACCTCTGCAACTTGACTATCCTGAATGCAAAACCCATCCAAACAGAAACATGGATGAAGATTTGTGTGAGTGTTTCCCACCAACAGACTCTCATTTTTCCATTCACACAACTCTGAGCTCCATTTCTCTTCAAGACGACATTTCCAGTAAAGAAAATTTGTGGGAAATGAGGCACAAATCTTGAAATTTCGATTAAAATTGTTTAGAGATCGATAGAAATTCCTACACATTTCTCATCACCGTTCACTCTCGGTTCATAGTCGGTGGCATTTGTCGAGATTCGGCTACAGTAGACCTGAATTAAAGTGAAATTCTTCAGGGAAAACTAATTGGAAAATTTAGAAAAGTCGGTGCTTTTATTGCTTGCTTTTAACCAACCGATGCAGCTTGGGGAATGAGTGAGTGAATGGATAGATTGATTGGTGATTCACCCAAAGCTCTCCTCAATCTTGGCGATTCGAGATTTTTCGCTTTCATTGCTTTGTTCAAAGATTCTAGCTAAAATGTCTTTTTTTGATAAATCTTTTGATCTAAAAGGTCGATCTCTCTTACCGTATCTTTAACACCGCCAAACTCGAGAGCTTTCGATGTTTTATATGGGTTCAAATTGCAGACGGTCACCGACGGAAAAGCGATATCTTTATACTTGATCTCAACATTCACAATTATATCATTTCTAAACAAGTCTTCTAAAAAAGTACCCAGAAAACGATTACCGATTGAATCGTACAATAATCAAATAAGCTTGGTAGAGAAAAGTGGCAAAACAAGCTGAGAATAAACCCATCCACAAAAAACGACGACATCCATTTGCGACATAGGCACGCGGAATTCCATGAGCACTTAAATTATTTCAAACGACATAGGCAATTATTTCAAACGCTTAAAATGGTTATTTCTATTATATTTAAGCTTTTGGTAAAAAACGGAAAATGTTTGACCGGAGGCGGATTCGAACCCTTGACCTCTCGCACTGGGAACGAGCGCGCTAACCACTCGGCCATTGCGCTAACCACTCGGCCAGTGCGCCATGGCCGCCGTGGATAGAACGCTCTAAATCTAAACACCCCAAAAACACCAAAAACCGAACATGACTTTTTTCTAATGGGTATTTCAAACGTTATTCAAAAGTTCAAAATAAATAAAATTTCAGGGGTGCGGCCGCTTCTTAAATCAAAATTTCGACCGCTTCCCGAAAAACTCACTCCTGCGCCCGTTAGAGCTCTAACGGACAAACTGACTTTTCGAAATTATATATGGAATAGATAGCAAATCAATCTAATGATCTAATTTTTTTCTTTTTAGACATTGTTTCCACTTTTTGAGCAGAAAGGTGAAAGTTGTCAATGTAGAAGGGAATTCATGAATATCTGAGAATGAACGAGAAAGCCCACGACTCTTTTAGCCACAAATAACCTTTAAAAGATCAAAGATTTGAATAGGAAAACATCTTCGATAAAATAATTCAATGTTTTTACCCTACCAGCATCGAAAATTCCGTGGAATTCTCACCTTGTATGTGCTGCAAATTCAATGACGTCATTGCCAAGTCGATTCGCTAATGAATGATCCATTTTGAAGCTGGAAACGAAAAGGAAATTTTCAAGGAAATTGAGAAATCAAAAAAAACACATTGAACCACATTTTGAACGCCTAAAATTCAGAAAGTTGAGAAAATTGCTTGTTTTTGTTTCTTGGAACTTCCGGGGAATTCTCATATCCAAAAGATTCTAGATCCTTTCCCAGAAAATATGTCAGTGACCACTTATTCCTTCAGTTTTGGCCTCAAGCAGATAATTGTCGAGAAATTGCAACGATGTCTAGGGAAAAGAGAAAAGATGTCTGAAAAGACAGTTTGAAAAGAATCATAAGCAAGATTTGTTTGAGATGTTGGCTTGTCGCTCATGTCCATCAAATGAAAATTGTTTAGATTTACAGCCGAAGCTTTGGCCAAATGAACTGGAGCTTTAAAAATCCAAATTTAAGGCCGGTGTTTGTGGCAAAGCCAGAGCCAGAGCCTAAGGCGTTTTTGTTTGAGCACAAAAAACAAATATGACAAAGTCAACGAGTTGGAAAAGACCAAAAACCAAATGGTGGCTTTGCTTAGCAACTATGCATAGTTGTTAAGCAAAGCCACCATTTTTGCTCAAATTGTGATTGTTTGAGAGCTTTTCTTTTCTCATTTCACTTTTTACCACCCGTCTGAAAGGTGACGAGAGACTCTCATGCATAAATTTCGACAGAAATCGAGACACGTTTTGGAGTAGATGAGTGTTTTTGGATTTATTTGTCGAAATGCCAATTCCAATCCCAATTCCAATGCCAAAATTTCTTGGGAAAAGTAGCAGTAAAGCTAAAAATTAATCCTGCAAGTATTAAATTGACTGTTGGCCCATATTTGAATGAGAAGAAGAAGTTTAATTGTGATGGTCCAGATGGTTTTCGATTCGATCGATGCACAGATCACTGGCATGATCTGCGCATGAAGGACAAGCTTCGATATTCGAGATGAAACTTTAAGGGAGAAGGAATCATGGTGTGGGATGTGACTGCATTGATGGTACGAATCAAACTGTGCTTCATTTATAAGAAGATGAATGGATCGAACTACTGGGCTACTGGACTCGATCGAACTACATCGTGGAATTTTGCCTTTTTTTCCTTTATGGTGACGAAATCGCATGCAAAATTACATTTTTATGCAGGATGGAGCTTCAATTCATCGATACCGTCGTACCCAAGATTGGTTGCAAAGAAAGAGAATGCCTCTTCTCTTCTGGCCGGCTTGCTCCCCCGACTTGAATGTGATCGAGAATGTCTAGGCATTCATGGTTCGCAAGATTTACGACGGAAACAAAATGTATTGCAACGTTGATGAGCTCAAACCCGCCAACATTGACGCATGGCTCAAACCCAACATTGCGCCTGGCACCAGGTCGACCAGAAGTTGATTGATAACCTCTGCCTAAGCTTGGAGAATCGAATTTTTCAGCTAATTCGTCAAAATGGCGGACCTATTGATTATTGAAATGTTTTCGTTGTTAGTTTTATTGATAATTGTTTTTGTTAATAAAGTTATTTATGAAGTGGAGCTATAATTATGTGAAGCAGATTATTTTCCATTTCCCGTTTACACATTTCACTCGACTCAACTCAAATACTCTTTTTGTTGGGGTGATGTGACTGTGAGAATGGAAAAGAGATGAAGAACCAGTTGGGCATTTTGATGCGAGAGAAAAGAAGAGAAAGAGAACTGATCATCCATAATCTAACCTATTTTAACCCTTTCTCTTCGCACTTCAACGAATTTCACACTCATCATCATAATAGAAAAAAAGTGGAATTTGGGAATCAGAATTTGAAAAGAAGAACTATAGATGTGTGAAAAAGGGTTTTTTTTTTTTTTTTTAAAAAAAAAAAAAAAAAAAAAATTAAAAAAAAAAAAAAAAAAAAAAAAAAAAAAAAAAAAAAAAAAAAAAAAAAAAAAAAATAAAAAAAAAAAAAAAAAAAAAAAAAAAAAAAAAAAAAAAAAAAGGGGGGGGGAAGGGAAGAAAAAGAAAAGTTTTGTTTTTTTTAAATTTTAAATAAAAAAGAAAAAAAAGAAAGAAAAAAAAAAAAAAAAAAAAAAAAAAAAAGAAGAAAAAAAGAAAAAAGGGGGGGAGGGGGAAAGGTGGGAAGGGAAAAATTTTTTTTTTTTTTTGTTTGTGTTGGGGGGGGGGGGGGGGGTTGGGGGGGGGGGGGGGGGGTTTTTTTGTTTTTTTTTTTTTTATTTTTTAATTAATTTTTTTGTTTTTTTTTTGTTTTTTAAATTTTTTTAATTTTATTTAATTGAAAAGGTTGAGGAGGGGGAGGGGGGGGAGGGGGGGGGGGGGGGTGGGTAGGGTTTTAAGTGAAAAAAAAAAAAAAATAAAAAGTTTTACTAATGATCGTTAAATAGAGCAATAATCAATGTTATTTAGAGTATCAATGTTATTTTGTTTTTAGATATTTTTGAAATGATTCGTTTCGTTCCCTGTTCCATTTCTTACATTTGCACCCTTTTCACTGGTAATCCGGAATGGGATGAATGGTTGAATGACTGAATGGAGAAAGAGGGAATGGTGCGATGAGAAGAAAAAGGGAAATGGGGTACACCAAAAGAGGAAGGACATTCTTTTAGTCTTCTTTTTTTCTTTTATCTTTCTACCTTTCATCCGTGATCATTGAATGTCCTTGGATCAAGTAGAACTATGCTTACTACTATTGTAAAGCTTGCATTAGCTGTTAAGCTGTAAAGCTGTAAAGCTGTAAAGCAAACAAAGATTTGCATTCTCTACATTTGCATTGGTTAAACAAACCTTTTAAACTCCATAAAAAGCTCACTCAATTAAACTTCTTCTTCTGGAAGCTCATTCAAGTCTGGAGCTCATTCAAGTTCAAGTCAAGTGAGCTCGATCTTTGAGGTAAGGCCTGGTGCAACTTGTGCAATGTTTTCACTCACACTCATTTTTCCCATATTTCAATGAGGATGATTCGTGTCTGTCCTTGTGCCGGATTCCCTTCCTTCCCTTCCACTCCTCTACATGTCTCACTAACCGTCCTTCCAGACTCCGCCCCTTTCCCCCAAATTTCTCGAATCTCTCTTTTCTCTTCAATACTGTAGCTCTCTTCTTTTCGATCAACATCTTTCTCTTTTCTCCTCTTTTCTTCGTTCTCAACTTTTTTATATTTCTTCCCGATATCGATCAGAATTTGAAACAATCCTTTCATTGATTCCTCTTCTATTCTAAACGATGAATATCATCCAGGGGATTCTCTCCTCTGTGAAACCACTGCCAGACAGGTTTGTTTAGACAGAATTAAATTTAAGTCTTCATCTTCTTGATCAATTCAAAATAAAACTCTTTCAGTGATTTCTCTGATCGACTCTCGTATGTCTATTCAACACTTGGATTGATCATTGGATCGGCTTTTGTTTCGGGATGGAGGTAATACTTTTATTCTATTAAACGCCTAAATAAAGTTTCATTTCTAAACAAAAACTTACTTTCAGTTTCGTCGGAAGTCCAATCCAGTGCTGGTTTCCAGCCTACTACAAAGGTTCAAAGCTCCCCAAAAAATTTTTGAGTCTAATTTTCATTTTAGGGTGGTGGATGGAGTACGCGTTAGATTACTGCTATGTACAGAATACTTATTTTCTTCCGTTCACGGATATAAAAGTGAGTTTATAAGGGATTTTCAAATGCTTAAGCCAATCAACATCAAATTTTAGCCATCAAATGACTGGGATTTCGCCAATCACATCGTCCCGTATCCAAAGAATTTGACCGATCGAGAAGATAAACAGCTTGGTAGATAAAGCTTTAGGACTAAAAGTGAATAATTCCTGAATTTTCCAGGGTATTATCAGTGGGTTCCGTTCATTTTGGCCCTTCAAGCCTTTCTTTTCTATTTGCCGATCTTGATTTGGAGAACCGTTTATGAGGGATCAGGTTGGTGGGATTTAAATTGGTTTAAATAGATTTAAATTGATTTAAATAGGTTTAAATTGATTTAAATTGGTTTAAATTGATTTAAATAGATTTAAATAGGTTTAAATAAGTTTAAATTGATTTAAATAGGTTTAAATTGATTTAAATAGGTTTAAATACAAGATTTTGATGGTCAAGAAGAAGAAACTCACCTTTTGTTGCAGGTTTCAAAGTGGCGACAATCTGCCAAACTTGCTCGATTGCCGGAAATATGGAAGAAGCCGATCGAGCAAAGAATATGAGAATTATTTCGGGATTTCTCGTTTATGAACACTCTGTATCAAAGTTGGTTTTGAGTTTCTAATGTCAGAATTTCTCAAACTCCAAACTGTATTCCGAACAGACTCATAAACATGCACTTTCTCTTGTCCTCTCGAAATCCTCTTAAAGTTCAAGTTTTAAAAGCATTGTCTTTCAGTGCTATTGGCGGAAGAGTGAGACGAGCCACGTCTGGAAGCTACATTGTTGGAACTTACATTGTGAGTGGAATTGAGTTTTTTTGAGCTAAATCTAAACAAATACTTTTGAAAATTAATCAAAACATTTTCCAGATCACAAAGGTTCTCTTTTTCTGCAATGCACTTCTCCAATTCGTTCTTCTCAAAGGTTTTCTTGGAGTCGATTCGTTCCTTTGGGGATGGCAGGTACTGTAGAAAAATGTAGGATTCAATATTGATGATAATCTTACCAATATTGCTATTACATTGGTTTAGGTGTTCACCGATTTATTGGGAGGAATCGAATGGCCAGAGTCTGGGAATTTCCCGAGGTAAGTTTGAGCTTAAACGTTTGAGCTCAAAGCTTACGAAGTTACAACTCAAAGCTTACGAGGCTTACAACTCAAAGCTTACGAAGCTTACAACTCAAAGCTTACGAAGCTTACAACCCAGAGCTTACGAAGCTTACAACTCAAAGCTTACAAACTGTTTCTATGCAATTATCGAAACTTTCTTTAGAGTAACTTTCTGTGATTTCGAAGTTCGTGTCCTCGGCAATCTCCATCGTCATTCTGTTCAATGTGTTCTCATGATCAATATGTTTAACGAAAAAATCTTTGTTTTTTTGTGGTTTTGGGTATTCGTTGTGCTGGCTTTTAGGTATTTCTAAGTAAATTTTCAAGTTTTATCTCAATTTTAGCTTCTATTCAATGATCTTTTGGTTAGCGACCGGATTTTCAACAAATGTTGGAAAGAATGCTGTCAAAAAGTACATTCAAAAGGTGAATCTAAACCTAAATATTAGCTCCAAAGTCCAACAATGAACATTTTGCAGATTGATCCATCAGTGAAAGAAAATACCTACAAGAAATCCCTTCTTCAATCATTTGTTGTCGAAAAATTACGAGCTGATGGAGTGTTTTTGATCAGGTTTAGTCATTTTTGATCATTTTTTATTCAATCTTTCATCTTAAACTCGTTTTCAGATTAATTTCATCGAATTCTGGAGAAATGGTCACTTACTCGTTGCTAAAAACGCTATGGGAAGAATATGTGAAGGTTTGTTAGAAGAGATTTATGGAAAGCTTAACTATCAATCAAGATATGTAACCAGAAAAAGAAAATACCTACAAGCATTAAAGAGCATTAAAGCATTAAAGCATTTGAGCATTAAAGCACTTGAGCATACAAGCATTTGAGCATTAAAGAAATCTCTGTTTTTTCAGGAAAAAGGTGCTCAACCGCCGCCCTACAGTAAACCTCTACTTCTTGCAAAGAAAGACGTCGAGGAGAGCGACTTTTAGAAAAACACTAATATCTATTTCTAGATTTAGTATGTAATAGGGTTTCAATTCCAATTTTTCTTTTCAAAAATCAATGATTCATTATTTTCCTGACTCACTTATTTCTCCCTTTTCCCCTCAGTTGCCGGTTGAGAGTTTTAATTTTGATTTCTGATTTTTCGATTTCCCCCAACTTTGCCCCCAGACTGCCAGTGTGTTCAATGTGTCACAAAATAGACAATTTTATCTTTGAACTTGCAAATTATATGATTTTGATTACACTGTGATATTTTGAATTTAAAAAATAAATATTTACTTTAATAAATATAAATAAATATTGCCAAACACGTCAAACATCGAGTGGTTAAAGAGTTTTTGTGGTAGATCTTGAATTGTTTTCGTCACACAAAACATTCATTTGATGATGAAATTGAATACACATTGACTACTAGTAATAGGATACTCAGAATTTTCACTAACAAGACCTATTGCTATATCGGGTAGCGGTTTGATCTTCGCCGTCAATTTCTCTAGGAGATGAGCCCTCCAATTACTCCAGCGTCGATTTGCCTCCGTTGGACATGCCTAAATCAAACTATTAGTTCTTAGCGCTCATTAGGCTCAGATTTATTTTAGTTTACTTTATCTATAAAACATATCTATAAAACATTCACAACGTATAACAATTCACCACAATTCACCAAAACGTATATCCAAATGGAAACATTTCCCCCAGTTCAGTTTTCCCTCGTCTCCTAATTTGCCACAAACTTTCCCTCTCTCACTGATTAATGCATTAGTTGTTTCTTCTCATTCATTTATCTTTTTTAGTTCTAAACGATCGTCCAAGGTCTTCCCATTCATTGATTTCTCGTTGTTGTCACCTTCTCTTCAAACATTTGATGTGTTTAATTCAGGACGAGTCTGATCGGTAAAAGAAAAAAGAAAAGGGAACGATCCATTGCAAAAGGAGAAGAGAAAACTATAAATGCATTCAAATGTTTGAAAGAGAGAAAGAGGATTTGCATGCGAATCCCCGTGAAGGACACATTTAGGGTGAAGGGGTGAGAATTGGGGTGAATGAGAGAATGAAAGGAGTATAGGTAGAGAAAGAGATAAGACTGTAGAGAGGGGAAAGATCACAGTAAACGAGGAAACAAAGAAACTGAAAGAGTGGTGAGGTTGAGATGCGGTGAGGGTGAGAATGAGGTAAATGAGGGGAGTGGCACAAGGGCAGAGGCTGCAGAGTTTGTTGAGATACCGGACGAAAGATCACAAGTAAAGGACAGAAAGGTTGGTGAGACTGGCGAAACAGTAGGGGCTACGATGAAAATAGTCTGCTGAATACCATTGTATTGGGATGGAGGAGGAGGTGGTCGCAGAAAAGAACAGTCAGACGGCAGACAGTCATCCCTTGCTCAGTAGCCCCATCCCCTCCCCTTCCAGACCGTACTTTCCCCTCTTTTTCTACGTCGATCTTTCCTCCCCTTTTTTCTTTTCCCTTTCTTCCCCAAATATGGCCGATCATCGATTCGTAGTGATTTCTTGTTCACGAAAACTTTCTGTGTTTCTTTACAAATATCGGTCTTCTGGGGTCTTTTTCTAGTCTTCTTCTGCCTCCTTTTCTTCGACTACTACCGGGCAAACAGTGGTCGATGACGAGATTTGATCAAAAACATGTGGAAATTTTAGAATTAAACATTCAACTCTCTAACGTCTACCTCTAGTCTTTGTCTGCAATCAGTTTTAATCTGGCTTTTTCTCTCTAGAAATCAATCTTTTACTCTAGAAAATTTCAACTTTTCAATAACTCTAATAAATTTCAACAAATTCTACTTTTCTACAAAACATAGTCTACAAAATCAATTCCTTTTCAGTTCCAAATCATTTCCTTTTCAGTGAATCAAGAGCCGAGTTTTGCTGGAAGAAGATCGATTTAATTTGTCTTTATTTGAAAGATGTTCTTTATTGATGTCTTTCTGAAAGGACTCAAACCAAATTATGACGATGATGCTGTTGATCGATTGAATTATTACTACACACCCATGTTGATCGTCATTTTTGCTTTGACACTTTCTGCTAAACAGTGAGTTTGTTTTCAGTTTGGTTTTCAATCACATAGGATCATCTAAACCGGTTAAGCACTTTGTTTGCTTGTAGACCAAATTATATGCATTAATTTTCTTTCCTAGGTCTTTCCCGTCCTCTAATTGATCGTATCTTTCCTCTCAAATGATTAAAATCTCTTTTCTTTTAAGATCTTGTCATTCCTTCTTTCTTTTAATGACTTCACTGACCCTTTCCATCCGATTATCTCTCGAACACATCTTCGAGCATTTTTGATCTAAAGAATTGGGGGAACCAACTTTAAAACGCAAATTTTGTGCCTCGCTACAAAAACCTTCATTACATTACGCTTTTCTTCGCTCAAACGTACAAAATAGCATTTTGTACACATTGTTAAAAGGAATCGGTTCATCGGGTAGCGGTTTGATCTTCGCCGTCAATTTCTCTAGGAGGTAGCACAGGAATGTGAGCTACAGCTAAAGCAAGCTGTTAAAAGGCTTCAGCGACGTAGCTACTATTCTCAGCCTGTTCATTCAGGCTCTAGGGTGTTGGTTGCTTGCAACGTGTTTGGTGACTATCTGTATCGTGGTGCCAAAAGCGGAAAGCATTTTCGACGTTTTCTCTCTGAGAGATCGCAACTTGTTTTCATATCTGGTTGATCCTGCCAGTGACGATATGCTCATGTTAAAGACTAAGCCATGCATATCTTAGTTCAGCCCTTTTACGGGTAGACTGTGAACGGCTCATTATAGCAGTTAAAATCCTTGCGAAATTAGCATTTTGGATACTCCAATTGCTCCAGCGTCGATTTCCCTCCGTTGGACATGCCTAAATAAAACAATACAACAGAGAATACTGACAGAAAATCAAAGAAAACGATAAGAAAACTACAACTCTGCTTGTTATTATCTATATTAACCAAGGAGAAATTTCGCCAAATTTCTCCGTTAAATACTAGCATCTACAGTAGGTTTTCCGACGAAACCTATCGTAATCCCGATCATCCACGATGTAATTTACACTACAAACCACAAGGCACTCAAATTTCTTGCAAAATTGTAACCTCTTTAACCGTATTTTTCATTTTCACAATCATAATCACAAAATCATATTTTATAAGATTAATAGGAAAAAATCTTTTGTCTTTTATCAGAACAAGTAGTAAAGGACTGTTTGCATTGTTGAATGATGTACTGAAGTCGAAATTCTCTATTCTCAAACTTACAGATACGTCGGTCAACCCATCCAATGCTGGATTCCAGCTCAATTCACAGGTTTGCACAGAGATAGAAATTAGGATTTTATTTGAAACTTTCAGGAGCCTGGGAACAGTACAGTGAAAATTATTGCTTTGTGCAGAATACCTATTTTCTTCCACTTCATCACTATATTCCGAACGATATTGGAGATCGAGAGAATCGAGAAATTGGTTGGTATAGCTAAATATAGATAATAATTCGATGTAAATATAAATAGAATACTCAGAGATATAAATAGAATACTTAGAGATATAAATAGAATACTCAGAGATATAAATAGAATACTTAGAGATATAAATAGAATACTCAGAGATATAAATAGAATACTTAGAGATTTTCTAAGATCATACTTCCATGTAAAACACATTATATTCAATGAATCAACCAATTCCAGGGTATTACCAATGGGTTCCCTTCATTCTCGGTCTTCAAGCTATTCTTTTCTATTTACCATCAATGTTTTGGAGGATACTCAATTGGCAATCAGGTATAGCGATTGGTCTAGTATCTGGCAAGAATTTCGTTTTATCTAAATTATATGCAAACTCGTTTTTAATCACGATTTTAGGTGTCTCTGTGAAAGGTCTCATCAAAATGTCAAAGGATACCGGCAATATGGCGACAGGTAGGAAAATTTTGAAGAACTATCAAAAAATGAATGAAATAAAAGTGAATATAAGTGCTCTCTAGGGTTTTTTTATTGAAAATCTTTTTAGATCGTCGAAATGAGAGCGTGAAAGTGGTTGCCGCACACATTCACGACTCGTTGAAAGCACAGAAAAAACTCGCTAATTACAGTAAGTAAACAATCAGAAAGGATAAGATTATCTAGTTTTATTCAAATCCAATACTATTTCAGCTCGTCTGACAAGATTTATTCATGAAGGCAAATACCTATCATATCTGTATCTTTTCACAAAAGTTCTCTATGTGGTTCAAGTTGTTATGCAATTCTTCATTTTGAATAGGTTTGTATCGAGAATCTTTGACATTGAAAAACAAAAGCTTTCAGTTTCTTATCGACCTCGTATCTTTTCTGGGGTTTCGGCATTCTTCGAGATCTCGCCTATGGTCGAGAATGGGAGGAAAGTGGGCATTTTCCGAGGTAAAACTTTTCTGAAATCTTGAAATGATTTGAAGAAAAGAGAGTTGAATGGGGTTGGTCAGACGGAAATGAGATGAAAAGGAATGGAAGGGAATTGGCTCCGATCATTCCCCTCTTTTCTCAGAAGAAAGACAAGGCCATTCATTCATTTTAAGTCTTCCACCTCGAGAAAGGGACTATTTCCAATAACAAATCATATTTCGTGAGAAACTTTGCTAGGAAATTAGGGGAAATTTATGGATTAATTCTTGAAATCGATTGTAATTGACTCAATGAAGTCTTCCAGAGTAACAATGTGCGATTTTGAAGTCCGTGTTTTGGGAAACAAACATCGACACACTGTACAATGTGTGCTAATGATCAATATGTTCAATGAAAAGGTTTCATTCAATATCATCTGATCATATAATATTTCTTTTTCAGGTCTATCTCTTCTTGTGGTGGTGGTTATTGTTGGTTGCTTGTGCCACTGTATTCTCACTTTTCTACTGGATTTGGCAGACATTCTCAGCTAAAGAAAAGACATCATTCCTTGCTAAATATCTCTCCGTTTTCAACCTTTACAATGCGGAAAACTATCAGAGTAAGTTGGTAAGGAAATTTTAAGCTAAAAACATTTCCAGATCAACGAACATTGGATCGATTTGTGTCGGATGGATTGAGAGATGACGGGGTTTTTGTCGTGAAACTGATTGCCGCTAATGCAGGAGACTTGATCACAACTGATCTTGTGGCTGTGTTATGGAGGAGATTTTTGGAAGAAGAGGTGAGTAGGGAGAATTTCAAAGTGCTAGATTACAGATCAGCTACAGATGTGTAATTAGATCTCAACTGTATACTCAAAGATTTTCAGTTGAACAGTTGAATTTCGAAATTTCAGTTGAACAACGATCAACAAAAAGGTCTTGGCGGTGGTGGAATGTCAGCTCCACTTGATGATGTAGATGGATTCTCCGAGAAGACTCCATTGCAATAAATTGACAAATACAAATAAATGCCTAATTTTAAGCTTTTTCTTGTCAGAATCCATTGAATCATTCCGAAATCACGTACCCTTCTCTAGAATTGCTCGATAAAGTTAACATGGTTGTTAATATTTCTACCGTTCTCTTTTCCGCTCACTATAAGCCTTATCAAGTTCATTTTCAGTAATTTCACTGCCTATTTTCCCATCAATTTCCCCCGAATTCCCCCAAATTCTGCAATACTTTACCCCACTTGGAACTCAGTTATCTATCTACTTTGTTTTTTTATACTTTCTATACTTTGTAGTTGATTTTAACAAAAAAGTTATCAAAGAAAAGATGTTTTAGATGAAGGAATAACTGAATGTTGACATTCTCAAAATTTCTTTCCACAATTTTCCCATTTTTTGTCAGTTTCGATTACCGACCAACAATTGAAAGTAATCGAATTTGGCGATGACCCTGAAAAACTTCAAATTCACAAAATTTCTGTTTTTCAATTTCTGTGTTTCAAATTTAAACTAGGGATCATATAATTTAGAGTATTTGCCTAATCGCTTGTAAACTTTCCTTTTTTTGTTCTGTATTCCCCGTGTTTCTCGTGTGATGTTTTTTTTGTGATTAATGCTCTAGGTGTCTCACTTATTTTTTTGGGGTAGGCTAATTTCCGCCATTTTATTTGCGCAACTGGGTCCTTTTGCGCAACTCGCCATAACTTTTTTTCTAAGTGACACAATCTTTATGATTTTGGTTTCATTTTGTTGCACTTATTGAGATCTACAAAATGACACCAAAATCATAAAGATTGGCCGACTTCAAAGAAAGTTATGGCGAGTTGCGCAAACGATCCAGTTGCGCAAAAAATTTGGCGCAAAGTAGCCTAACCCATTTTTTTTCAGATTCTAAACGTTGAGTCGTGCCTTTCTTCAACAAAAATACATTCAAGAGCTGAATTTCTTTGTTTTGTTGTGAAAATTTTGTGTTGATGATTTTCGTTGAAGAAAATCGATCAAGCAAATGTTAGCCAGTGAATAAAATGTTTGTGTATGATGTGGTATTGCACAGAATGGCACAAATGAGCGAAAATTGCCAAAAAAATAAGTTTTTGATGCCTAAGATTGTTAGTAAAGAGGAATGCTTGCAAATTTGTTTACTTTATCTCATGCCCTTTCTACCGTAATCCACATTCGCCGAATATCAAGTTCCACTTTCTCTTTTCCCTTTCGGTGTAAGCCACACTCGATGCATTTCTCTTAAATGACTTCTTTAAAAAATCTTTTACGACACAATTTAACAAAGATATACATGTATTTTATCTTATCATAAGAATCAAAACAGTAATTGGGTTTCATACTTTCAGACATGCGATCGGCGTCTCGAATCGGGCCAATGATTGTGGTGATCGGTGGATGTACGGCGATTCGAGAAGAAGGGACACTCAAATCGATTGAAATATTACAGGTGGGTGATTGAATTGTAGAAACTATTCTATTTGGTATTTGATATATTGAAAAAAAGAGGAACAAAACCTTCATTTGACCAAGAAGCACGTTTTGCGCTTATCAGCTGGCGAGATGCGAAAAACACTATAATGTACAAATATTTACACCCACACTGACGGTTTCAGTTTTATTTAGAGTCAAACCGTCTATGTACTCTCTTTTTTATTTTTTTATAAGTCTAAATATTGTTGCAGACATCTCCACAATTAGACGATGATCGGTCGGTGCTTCAAATGAAGAAATTGAGAAAAACGCTGGAGATGGAGATCCCGAGAAGAGCCCCCACTGCAATCCCGATCGCAAATCAGCAACCGGCATTTGCTGTATGATTTTATGCTTAATTGCTGTAATTCTAAGCTCTTTTTTCAGGTGATTGGTGGTTGTTCGGCTCCAATGAAACACCTCTCTTCAATCGAAATCGTTGATCTCGGTGATGAAAAGAATAATGAGGTGAATCAATTTTGTGAAAGCAAACTATTTTCTAAAACTATTGCCCTTTTTATTTTCACATTTTAGACATCCAAGTGCGATTCGCCGTCTATTAATCGTCATCTTTTTTCTTCGTCTCTTCCTGAACACAGTTGTGCTGCATCATGTTCGATTAGAGTGAGTACTTGCAATTTTTGAGTATTCGGGGCGTCCTCTCTACTTTAATTTGATACCTAATGAGTATGAGGTATCAAATTAAAGTAGACAGGATGGGTGATTTTTGATATTTAACGCATATTTTTAGCATTAACCAGCCTTAGAACAAAATGATTGAAAAGTGGCAAAAAAGTCGATTTTTCATCATTTTTGAATCATTTTGTTCTAAGCGCTGGTTAATGCTAAAAATATGTGTTATATCTAAAAAAAAATCACCCATTCTCTCTACTTTTATTTAATACCCAAGCGCGCAGAAACAAACATACTGGTGTCGAGATATGAGCGTTTGTTCGAGAGTAAACTTAGACTAGGCGACGCTCCTATAGGGGTTTCTATTAGAGTATTTACGGTATTTTCCATTTTAGACAAACACTTCTGTGATTGTCGGCGGATTTGATGGGGTCGACGCACTGAAATCTGTCTCTATCATAGGGATCAATGAAAAGGTTGGGAAAATGTGGCATTCAACATATGATTGGGATTTCAGGGAGAACCCATTGTGAAAAGGCTCATCGATTTCTGTTCTCCACTCAAAAATGCGTCTATGTTTTCGATAAACGAGAGAGTAGTGTTAATCATGGGTGGATGGGATGGATCGAGAACTCTTCAAACGATATTCAAGTAAGGTTTGATGGGATACTTAAGTGTTATGCCCAGACTTTTTACAGGGTGCGGCATATATAATGTTGCGCTCTACAAAAGTATGATTTTCTCAAAAGCCAAAAGAGTTGACAGTTTTTTCGTTTAGGTATTTTAAAACTACGGACATTTTTTCACTAGATTCATGACTTTGTGTAAAAATTTAAAACTTTATTCGTTTCATATAAGACTTTAAACGTGGTTGCTGCTCTCGAAAAAAGAAATTTGCCAAAAATGTGCCCATTTTTTAGCCAAGATAAGATTTGCAATAATGGAGCTCAAAAAGCACTTACTTTTATAGTAATAAACTCTAAAAACGTATTGATGCAGAAAAAGACGATTTTTTAGAGACTCCAAACTTGAATTTAAATGTTTTCAGCCTCGTGCCACATAGCATTTTTTGTCCTGCTCGACTAGGGTTGTCAAAGTCATTAAAAATATTACGGTTCTTCTATTCTATGTAAAATTACGCGTAGATTTTATGATTAATTGCTGTTTTTCAACTTTAGGTTAATGTATTGTCTTAGAAAGCCAAAGAGATGCATTAACCGCAACACTATATATGCCGCACCCTGTACATTCAAACGATCCAATGCCCATCTTGCTTAGGCTACATTTCACCGATTCCCTCGATTCATATGAATGGGAAATGTCAGGTCTTCTCCCTTATCCAATTGAAGGGCATTCTACATCAAAATGGCAAGATTCAGCCTTCATCTCTGGAGGATTCGATGGAATTTCGGTCGTCGATCACATTTTGCGGTAGAAATTTAGTTTTTAAACTTTTCACTATGACTTTTAGACTAAATCTTGTCGACAACTCGATTGAAATTCTTCCAACAAAGCTTCGGATTCCTCGAGAAAATCACACGACGCAGGTTTAACTTACTGTAAGTCTATTTTATGATTTCTTTTAGATAATTGGCGACTTTTTGTTGGTGATCGGTGGATGGGATGGACGAAAAGCTCTCGATTCGATTGAGGTATAGATAGAAATTTTCAACTATTGAAATAACTTTTCTGTCTATGCGACGGCTCATTTTCTGCTTTCAGGTATTCTCTATCTCATCCGATCCACCGTATTTGAAGGAAATCTCATCATCTCTTCATCTTGATGTACCCCGTAATCGACCCACTTCAATCATGTTCTTTGCTTGAATCTTTTTTGATCATTCATTTAATAAAGTGCCTTCCTTTACTTGTTTTTCTCTGTTTTGCTCATCTAGTCAAAATTTAGTGCTTTTTCAGGATATCTGCTCAATACTCGGATGATCGGGTTAAATACGGCTTTTTCCTTTCAATCTATTTATTCATTTTGATGGAATCCGATGTTCGGAGAGATCTCAATATTGTTTTACATCAACGAGAGGAACAGATGTATAATTTTCAGTTAAAAGATGTAAAAAGAATGAAGGCATTTAATAAATCCAATAGGCCCATTTTCAGACACGACCAACCCATCCAATCCGCATCTACGTCAGCTCCAAATGAACAAGTTTTGTTGGTGGAATTGACGAGCCTTGATGAGCTTTCTTTTCCAACAAACTCGAATCGGAGAATCAAGGTAAAAAGTGATAAGAAAATTATACTTCTTTCACTTACAGTACACCTGTGTATCGGTATCGAAACGTTTTCTGATTGTTGGCACGTGTACGGGAACAGTCTATGTATTCAGCAGGTGAAATCTTATGGAAAATGGAAAATCTTTATCTAATCCACTCTTTTAATGCACAAGCGAACTAAAAAACAAGAAATTCAGATATGCTTCACGACATCGATCAAAATTAACATCACTGCCGGTTAGTGTGTTCACAACGAGAGATGGATCTGTGAACAAAGTGAGTTTGAATGGAAAGCTAGCATAATGAGAAATTTACTTGTATCATACCACTTTATTGATTCCAGCTCTTGATCTCTCCGCAAGAAACCCATGTGAGTGTGGGAAGTGAAAGTGGACGAGTATCTGTTGCATCGCTCACTTCACAAAACTCTTCTGATCTTCCATCAAATACAGCAATCATTTATACCGGTAAGAAGTACAGTAGAAAAAACCTGAGCCTAAACCTATTAAACCATCGTTTTCAGCTCCAGGAGATGTTCGTCGAATGGATCGTGTCACTTCTTTGTGTTGGTCACCTCAAGGGGAATCACTTTTTGTTGGCCATTTCAGCGGAAGACTCATTCATCATCGAATTGGGGTACATTTTGAATAGCTCAACATAAATAAATAAAAACATAAATACCATAAATAGCTCAACATTTTAGTCAAAAAGTGTTTTCCGTGCCTCGCATGAGCAACTTCATCACTTTGATGCACAAATTGTACAGGTAAATACAAAGGTAAAAACTTTTAAATACACAAACGCAGGTATGTCATTCGAATGAGCAACTTTTGGTGTCAACGAGCTCTTTCTCATATCTTGTATCACTGGAAACAAAACAACCGATTCAGGTGCCCGAAACAAGCAAAAACAAATGAACACGAAAGTGTTTATGGTTACAGATTGGTCGGAAAGTGAGAAATGAGGCGATGGGAGCGTGTTTTTGTGGAGAAGTAAATGAGGGAAAAGATCAATCATCATCCTATATTGTTGCCGCTCGACCAAAGGGAAGATTATGGGAAGCAAATTTAGCGGCTACAGTTTATCGGTAAACAATTGATTCAAGAATTATTTTAAGGTCTTTTCCAGAACTCATCAATTTCGTGAACAAACGAATGTCTCTCTTTATCCGGCAATCTCATATCGATCACCTGTGTGTCTCGATCAGAATGGATCATCTGAACAAATCAAAGAACTCATCGACTTTCAGAGACTTGATCCGCTGATTTTCGAAGGGTTTGTTATACATTATTAACAATTTTCAATTTTGCTACAAAGTTACAATCCAGACACCAATTTGTTGCCTCAATTGTCGATGATCGTTGCGTAATTGCGGATTTGGAAGGATGTGTGGATGATGAAAGAGAAGAAATAAAAGAAGGGCCATCTCTGAGACTTCTAACAAATTTTGGAACTGGTTTGTGAAGATTCAAAAAGATTTATTTACTTAGATATCTACTAGTGGAAAATTTATTTGCAGAAATCGTTGACTATTCATGGAGTGGCACTGATCTTTTTGTGCTTTATTCGGGAGAGGGACGATTACGAAAGTTCACTCTTTTACCAATTTCAAAAGCAGTGGAAAAGTTGGCTCTGAAGAAAGCTTATAAACAAGTAAGTAGACAAAACTGATTGAAAATATAGCACAAAATTTTAGGCGGCAAAACTTCTTCTTGAAATGAAATCACCATTGAATGTTGAAGTGGTGGATCAATATCGAGAAGTGATCGAAGCACTGCAACAGGCAACACATCGATCGGTAAGAAGTCTGAGCATAAATGGAATTTGTAGAATGGTTCTTTGCCATTCTTAAAATGTTTATAACATTTGTGTTGCAGACCGAAGCCGATGCCTTGTTGAGATCCTTGCAAAAGAGACTCGGCGATTCTCAATCGAAAATTGATCGTCGTTCCTCTATCACTGCAAATCAATCGATTTCACCCCGAGTATCGCCACCAAAAATGCAGAAGTTTGAGCCGAAAAGTCAGGTAGGAATAAGGATAACTAAAAAATCTAGGTAAACTAATATAGTCCCCAAATTTCAGTCTCGTGTCTCATCTCGTTTGCCGGCATCGGTTGCTGCTATCTTGAGTCGATATTCAATGAATGGACCATTAAAATCGTTGAATGTTGGCATTCACAAGTAAGCTTGATCCATAGTATGCTTAAAACTTTCTATTATATGTGAATAGTTTGTGAATTTCCAGAGTCTACCCCGCTGGTCAAGGCAATCATTTCGATGATGACAATAAGACTCGATTAGATGTGAATCGCGATCAAAATCAACAAGACGAGAAAAAAGGACAACGAGAAAGAAGCAAAAGCTCATCACCATCACCAGTAAATAGGTAGATGAGATAACCTGTGAATAGGCAATCAAATGTATTATGTAGTTGATGAATTCATTCTTTACTATCAAGATTTCAGAAAAACTTCTCGCTTGAATGATGATAAATGGATGAGTGAAGATGAGACTCGATCTGATCGAATTCCTCTACTCAATCAGCATATTCTCAAGGCAAAAACGTTACTAGTAAGTAAATGACATGTTGAAAAAGTTAAAAGTTGTTGACATGTTGAAAAAGTTAAAAGTTGTTGACATGTTGAAAAAGTTAAAAACGTTTACTAGTAGCAAAATTTGAGATAAAGCACAAATTATCCAATCCTTTGAAAAAAAGAGTAAAAGACAAAGATTAATGCCAGATGTACTTCTTTTTATCCTCTTTCTAAAAGCAGTGAAAAATCTAGGATTTTCAAGAGGGGATTTTTGGAAAAAGGAGAAAAATCCTGTCAGCTGTCTGTTGAGCACACATTGAAAATAAAGTGTGTGAAGGATTTTTGGAGAGAAACGATAAAAGAAATGAGAGAAATGAAAGAGTGTAAAAAAGAGAAAGAGAAACGAACCGAACACAAGCATCATCCACTCAAAAAATATCTCATTACAGCTTTTTTTTCCTCTCACACTATCTTTTTGCACTCAAATCACTTTTATTTGTACTCTAAAAGCATTACTAAACTTTGTGAAGTTTCAACTTTATTGCATTAGTTATCATTTTGGAATTGCTTCCTGAAAGTAATAGACCTTATTCACTGATTCTATTATCGAACTAACTGAAACAAAACAATTTCAGCAAAGCCGTGAATTATCGACTACTGATCCAGAGGAAGTGAATTCATTGCGAACCCTTCTTGGACTCGATCCATCCGAGAAACCACTTGAATGTGTACAATTTATACCAACTGTTAGTTTTACTTTGATATTAATGCAAAGCACAGAACATCAATAAAGCTGAAACCGTATCATTTAGGTGACTCTTGCATCGGCTCCTCGCTCCCTTGCTAAGCTAGCCCAAACAGTTCCACTCGACATTGTGAACGCAATCAAAGTAAGTAATCATCTGGAAGCCTTTTTAGCTTAAAAATGTCTAAATCCTAAGTGTTCTCACTTTACAGGTTGAGCGAAGGACAACCCGTTTCACCAATCATCCATCAAAAGGTTCTCGTGAAAGTCTTTCTTCTGGTGGAAGTTCATCTATTTCTACAACCAGTCCATTATCGAAAGGACCGAGAATATTGAAAACTGTGAGACCAAATCGGGTAAGGGATAAAGTTTATGTGGAATTTAAGAAAATAGGGCTTTACTATAGGCTTTAGGGCTTTACTCCCAAAAATGATTATCTCCATCTTAACTAGACATATCTTTTTCAGGGTGGAATCTCCGTTCAAAGCACGAAAATGCCGCGGAAGGTTGAAGTCCGAACGAGTATCATCAATACAGAAAATTTGGTTGGTGGCTTGTTTTAACGGATGTGAAAGGCTAAACTATTACTATATACAAGAATCTCGATTTTAGGATAATCGTTTTGATGTAACAACTTCTCTTCAAGGAACGAAGGGAAATGTGGGGAAAATCGAAGGTTGGAAAGCTCTATGAAAACTTTTGAATGTGAAATTTGTAGAAAACGTGGCATTGCTGGAGATCTCAAAAAGCAAAACGGAGAAGATTCCCTTCCAAACTTGTGACAAATGTTCACTTCATAGGTTAGTTCGGAAAGGGATTTATTTATAGGCATTTCAATTTCAGATCATGGCTTGCTGTAGCAGTGATAATTCCATGCAGTGGACGGGCTCATTTGATTGATGGGCATTCGAAAAAACTCTCTCCAATTCCGACAACTTCTCTTCAATGGATGACATTATTAGGTGATCGATTGAAAGGAAAATCATCCATTGATTATCCCAATCTTCGTCCATGTTCTTCATGTTTGGCAACAATCAATCGACTCTCAACAATATTTGGTGAGTAAAATGGAGATTTTTGATAATAGCAGGAACAATTTTACAGATGTTCCTCCAAAGAAAGAATGTCGACCAACAGAGATTGAAAGAGTGAGAAGAAGAGCTCTGGCAATGTCCGACGAACATATAGGAGAGATATTCTTTGGAGAAACACGGCAACCAAATCGAGATCAATTGGAGAAAACATCAATGACAACAAAGAATGGGAGAAGTGATGAATTGAAGGAGATAGAATCGAGAAGCCTAAGGCCAAATCTTCATGTTTTCCTCGAAGGTGTATCAAATTCATTGGTAAGTTTTGAGAATTTTAAGGCATTCTTTTTTTTTCTGCTTAAATTTCTGAGCAAAAAGAGCAGCCTAGTCAAATTCTATGCCAACCCATTTCAGTTACTCGCAATTTCTGCCTGTTGTCTGGGAGTTGAAGAATTATGTGAAACGATGATGAAAAGTGACTGGAAAGGAGAAAATGGAGAGAAATTTGTGGAAATGCTCACAACAAATGAATGGTCAATGTTAACATCAATTCATCATTTCCTTTTATCAAAGAAAGCGAATGGACCATTGATGTCATTACAGGTAAGATTTAAAAAAAGAATGAATAATTATTAATTTTATAGAAGTTTATTAATGTTTAGAGTTTTGATTCAGCTGAAATTTAGTCCCTGAAAGCGATCCTTCGAGAACATCACTTTGCCGATTTCATTCAATTGGATCAACCCGGACTAGAAAAGGAGAAATCACAAGAAAAACCGGTGTAAGTTTAGAGAAACGATATGACTAGTATGAATATATATATATATATATACCGTAAATACTGTAATAGTACCCCACCCCCATAATGACGGTGCGGAGCGTTGCGTAGTCTAGCTTTGGACGCGTTTTTCTCGACACTGGTTTATGCTACAATGCCCGCTTAGGTATCAAAAAATAGCTGAAATTCAGGGCTATTTTTTGATACTAAAGATGCATTTTTTGAAAGTAAGGGCGCTTTGAAAAAAAATGAAATACTAAAAAACTTTTGCAACTACGCGACTGTACGAGGGGGGTGGGGTACTATTACAGTATTTACGGTATATATAAAGTATAAAGGTATATAAAGTTATATAAAGTCTATAAAATATATAAAGTTCATGATTAACTTAATAATCTTTTGTACTTTGTACCAATCTTTCAGTTCAACTCTTCCTCCTCGTCGTCCTCCAGTTTCCTCAAAACCAGTGATTGTTAAATCATGGATTGCTGATATGACTAGGTAGATTCGATTGAACAAATATCTAAAGATAATCAAGTTTAAATCTTTTACCTGAATCCGCTCTTTTCTAGGAATTGTCTCCTTTGCACCCTCTCTTTGCGGACTGTTGTTGGTGGAACGGATTGCGGTGTCGTTGCATATTATTGTGGTAAGTATCATAAAACGTCTTCAAACTTTGCTAACTATAAGACATAAACTAACAAAACTTTTATGTAAAAAAGCAGCAAAAAGCAAAAACAGCAAAAAAATACTAAAAAAGCACTAAAAGCCCTTCCAGGTCACTCATTTCATGTGGTCTGTGCTCAAGGAATCTCATCGAATCCACCCAGTCCTCCAGCATCATCAATCGCACCAAATATTTCATCGACTGTTCCATCTACATGCATTGCTTGTCGAATTCGATCGAGAAACACAATGAATTCATTAACGAAAAAATAGAATCCCTTTTAATTAGGTGCCATTTAACTTCTGAGTTTTAAGTTTTTATTAGAAAGGCCTACTATGGCCTACTAGGGAATGAAATAAGCTTTGTTTATCCAATCGTTTGAACAGTTTACGGTTATGGACCCATTCTTTTTTTCTCTAAGCCTCGGTCAACTTAATATCACACTCTTATCATTAACGTTTTACCAAATAATTGTATTTATTCAAAGATTTCCCCTCCAATGCGTCATTTTTCCCTTCAATGCGTATTTTGTCACCTAGAATTTCCGGTTTTATGCTTACTATTAGTATTAAATTGCAAATTATGCTTTACTCGTTAAATATTTTATCTTTCACATGAGTTTCACCATTTCCCCAACATGTTCACAAATTCTCTTCAAAATTGCCTCATTTCTCTCCACAAAACGGGTCTTTTCAATCCTCCCATTCATTCTTCGATTCTTTGATCAATCTAGTCACCGAATTACCCATTGAAACTTGTGAAAATGTCTTTAACCGTCCATTATTTGAGTATTTTTTGTTGAAATTTCGAACCGACGATCTCTAAATTTGCTATTCGAAGCGAGCGTTTCATTGTGCCTTTCTTTTTCTTTGAATATCTGATATGTAAAACAATAAATCTTTTTGTAAACAGTGCTCAAAAACAGGCATAGGTTGAAATCTAGAATATTTCAATATTAATGATCATGTATGTATCACAGTTCTGTGAACTTATCACATTTCAGTTCCGCCCCTCTTCAAATGACCTTTTCATTCTATGGTCTTCTCGAGGCAGCTCTTCTCGTTTTAAATGGAATTGCTGTCCTTAATCGGGAAAGATTTCTTAAAAAGGTTTGCTAGAAAATAACAAAACAGGCGACAAAAATTACCCTAAAGTCGCGAGTATAAGTTCTGTTTGGTTTTCGCATGCAAATTGACGGCTGTCTCCGGTGCGGTGTGTCGAGGGTTCGAAGCCCGCTGCAGCATAACTTTTTTTGCTTTTTAAGAACAATAATCGAAGTAAATTTATTGAGGGTTATAGCAATTTTATGCTGTTATTTGTTGCTCCGGGCGTGGCTCGGCGCGTCCGCCCTGCTCCTCTCCGGTGCTCAGTCTTATGGATCCCTCCCTGGCCTCTTCATCCGGCCAAAGTCCACGTCGACGGTCGAAAGAGATGCTTTCCAGTGTCTTCTTCAGCACTATCGTCTGGATGTATCCATGCACATAACAAATAGCAATGGTGATAGGCTGTCACCTTGTAGTATCCCGCGCTCCAAGAACAATAATAAAAGTTTATCTAACAATAAAAATGTATAAAAACCCAACCAAAAGAAATTCAAAGCAATTAAAGCGTAAAGCGAATGTAAATTAAGGCAGAACTTATACTCGGATGAACTTATACTCGAGACTTTAGGGTATTTACCAGAAAACAAAAACAAAGCTTTCTTTGCAGATCGGATTCGGTGAACCAGTGCATTCGTTCGATGGCTCATCACAAAGCTCGGTGAAGGGTCAACTGATGTCATTGATCTTTGCGGTGCAAACTGTTATGAGAAGTTGGTTATTTGGGGATTATTTTTCACATAATAAGCATAGTAACCAATCGCTTTCCAAACAAATATCCACTAAAATATATTTTAGTGCCGTTGATTGCGGTCAACATTTGTGTGATTCTCTTCAAATTGATCCTTGGATGAAATTATTTCAAATTCAATTTTTTTCTTTTCGTTTCACTTAACTCTGTAATTTAAATTATTTGCTGGGAATAAACGGGTTTTAATCGAAAAATGTCCTTTGCTTCACATCTGAATAAAGGTTTTATTAAGTAGATAGACATACAAAAATTTTCAAATCGCAAATTGGGTTTTCTTGAGCAAAATTAGCATTTAAACAGACACAGACTTATCTGTTGACTTTTATCATTAGACCAAATTATGATATTCTTTACAGAAAATACTGAAAAGTATTGGGCAAGTTAATCTGAAAAAGGCACAAATCGTTTCGAAAAAGAGAAAATGTCGATTGTCAAGTGACTAGAAATCTCGGAGAAAAAAGGTTGAAAATAAATAAATTATGCAAAATGAGGTAATTTTTGATTACAAAAATGATTGTTTCGGTTAAAATGAATGAATTGGGACGGAGAGGAAATCTTGTGAAGTCATGCCGCTGTCTCTGGAAAATTGAAGATTTTCGTTTAATTCACTAGCTCTCTTGCACCAAAACAAAAATCGATTTAATTGTCCATGTCCATTGTGAATTGTATAATAAGTTGCATTGGCTAACAAGTACTGTGCTTCCCGATTGTGGGACATTTGATACGCCCCTTTGCCATTGGCAGCCTAGCTTTGAGTTCAAATATTTTGGTGTAGGGCTCTCCAATTTAAATAGTTTTTGTACCAATCGATGGAACCATATTGGAACCGTATCTGATCCATATTGGAACCATATTGGAACCGTATATGAACCATATTGGAACCATATTGGAACGGTATCTGAACCATATTGGAACCGTATCTGAACCATATTGGAACCATATTGGAATCAATCGACAGAGAAAGACTTGCCGCATCTAATAATACCAAGAATATTCAAATTGAATGGCCCAACACCAAGATACTTGAGCTCAAAGTTAGATTGCCAATGGCAAAGAGGACGGGGCGCGTATCAAATGTCTGATAACCGTGCTTCCCATTGCCACTCACTTATCAATATCGACATTTGTCCATCGTCCTCCATCTCCTGTTTTTAGCGAGAATTGCCATTGGTCCGTTGAGACACTCCCACTAAAAAGTGTATCCAATAAAGATTTCTTTCATTTTTTTGAGATATTCTCATTAGATACTGAACTAACTTGTGTGGTAATCTCAGTTCAGCCGGCTTATTGAATTGCAATCCTTGTGGTCCGCAAATGACAAGTGGCGAAAGAAGTGTTTCACCCCTTGATGGATCGATTGGTGGAAGAACTGATCCTTCTTGACATACCTAAAATGGAAAAGCTGAGATTTCTCTTCTAATAGTAAGCAATTTTTGTAGTTTACTCACCCTCACGTATATTTCATGTTTTTGTCCCAATGGAAGTGCCCCGGGAGGAATGCGAAGTTCAACTCGACTTCCCGGACAACAAACAACTCCACCCTCGGCTCCCACCTGAAAATATTCATCATTATTAAAGCCATCATCTTTTCATTGTGTTTATTTGACTTTGCATCTTATTTCCCCACCATTTGTGACGCTTCTTCAACAACAATCGGTTCTTCTTCATGTTGATGTGTGTGATGTCCATTCCCACTCATTGATGACCTCTCTGGCGGTGATTCGTCAATATTCTTGATCTGAAATGGCTAAGTAAGTTTTAATCTTCACTTATAATACAGATAGCTTTAAACGAACCCCATTCTTTGATCCGGATTCAATCACAAAAGTCCCTCTTTTCTCTTGATTATTGTTATTTTGTGAAGCTGTGAATGATCCATTCACTCGTTCCCTAAAATAATCATTTTAAATCTTTGCAATAACTTTTTTCGATAACAAACTTGAAATAGGTGTCCCCATAAAAGTTTGGCTTTGGTGCAATGACTGGTTTTGTCGCTTGGGATGGTTGTTGCTGTTGTTTTCCGCCACTTCGGCCAGAAAACGATCTGAAGTTAGTCACATGTAATTACAAAAGGTTACTGTGATAAAAACATTCAACAACTTCTGAAACGTAAGTGCAAATTGGGCAAAAATGTGTAAACTAACCGCTCCAGTAAGAAATTCGATGAAATGGGCTCTCCACCATTGTCGTGAATCGGTTTTCGACTGTACATGTCAGCACTTGGTGGTTGAAGGGGAGCCTATAATTGGAAATTTGAATTATTTCATTCATTTTGTAAAGTAAAATTGTTTAGCTTTATGTTTGTCTTGTTTGTTGTTTTTGTGTCGCTGTGTGACCTGAAGTCTTTGTGTGACTTCTCGTAGTTGCTGTGCCGCATCATCCAATCTTTGACTTGCTTCTTCGCGTTCCCGTTGAATTTCCATTGATTTCTCCGAGTCTCGCAAACGTAACTAAACAAAAGATGATAACAAATGATGGTTTGAGATGAAATCTTTGTCATTCCTTACATTATTCAAATCGGAATCCAATTTCGTTGTCGGATGAGATGAATCTGATAGTAACTGCGAAACACTGTATCCACCATTTGGATTGTGTGTCGAGGCGGTCATTCGAAGACCTGAATTCGACATTCTATTTGAAATCCAAACGGAAATCATCTTTAAGTTTAGTCAGGGCAATTATTTGTGCTTTAAGTGCATAAAAAAAAGTTAATAAAAACACGGCACACCCTTTTTTGTTATTTATCTTGACATAGATTAAGTATGTATCCTTCTGTAAAATTTGTTTGCTCAACTAAACATCCAAAAGGTTTAGCTAGATTTGTAGATTAGAGACAAGTTTGAAAAATCAAAAGTAAGACAAGTTTGTATCAGATAAACGATAAAGACAAATATCAGATAAACGTTACCTGTCTGTGATCCATTCGAATTTCGTGGGTGTTGAGAGCTGAGTTCGCCCAAATCCGAATCTTTATTTGGTGTTAATGGGATTGGTGTAGGTGATGGAATGGGAAGATTGACACGGATTGGGGGTGGATTCGGGAGATCATCATTGATTGAATTGATTGAATGGTGATCATTTGATGGTGGATCAGGCACATTTCGATGGATTCGACGAGGGAGAGTGGCAAAACGAGTGCCAGGATTAGTAGAGTTACAAACACCGTTCATTAGGGGAATTTGTTGTTGTTGATAATCTCCGTTCATTGAATAATGATGATTTGGTGGGTAAGGAACACGAAATTTTGATGCTTGAATCTCACTCGATGACGATGAATTGCCGGCAAGTGATGGAGAGGCATTTCCAGTGTCCCAAGCAAGATAGCTTCTGAAATTGTGTCAAATGAATTTTTCAAAAAGAACACTTTAACAAACCTGCTCATCGGTGATGGTGCAATATCGCTTCTCTGTGAGTAATCCCCATAATCTCCTTTTGACGATTCAACGTCAGAATCAGCACCGTTTGATCTATAGTCGAGATCAAGTTTTCTTTAAAAAAAAGTTTCTTACTTTGCATTGACTGCTGGGAATAATAAAACATCTTCCAATGGAATATTTGGAGGGAATTCGGGCATCCATAAACGCTGAAATTCGGAGTTTACAAGAGTATAATCTTGACATTGTTTTAAGATTGTTTGTTTCTTTAAGATTGTGTATTGAAATCAGACAAACCCTCTGTTGTAAATGTCCAATGAGGTCTCGCAACGCTTCAAACCATCCATCTTCTTGTGTAGCGTCAACGGTGGCTAAAAATTACATTTTTAGTGTTATATATAAAAGATAATTTTTATTTGAAAGAAATCCTTAGACATTTCCAGTAAATCTTCACCTGATAACAAATGTGCGTGATGTTTTTTGATGGCCGCCGTCTGATCAGCTAGCTTTCGGCTTGAAATATGTGTCGCATTCATCTTTTTACGAATTTCCCTAAAAGTTTCGCAGTTACCGTAATCTTTTCTTCGAATTACCGTATTCTTGAGCGCCCATCAACGTCAATTAACACCACAATTGGAGCATATTGAGCGAGTTGAAGGCGTTCGATCTGAAAAAGACAAAAAGTTACGAAAACTCATACGGAAATCTAACAAGAACAATCAAAAGTAATAAGTTTGAAACTAAAATATCAAGTAGATATTCGGATTGCTTAATTGGATTGGATCAGTTGCTTGCCAGACTTATTGGATTGCTTTTATTTAAGATTCAATGCCTATAGAACTCACCGATTCCACCGAAATATCCAATACAGCGTGTTTGCCCGCGGCAATCAACTGATCAACGGCACCTAAGAAGTTTTTTGTTGGGGGTAAATTTCAATGATTTCAATTTACTTTTCGAAACTGTTATGAGATCTTTTTACCTAATCGAACAATTCCATCGGGAGGAGCACCGAAACGGAGAGAATATTGCGAAAGGAGTTGAGCTCGGGCTACATCAGATAGAGAGCCCAATAAGACAACCGGTCTGAATAAAAGATATTCTTTCATAGAGTTAAAGTTATAAGCAAAAACAGGATTTCTATTACCTGGGAAATGATGGAGTGTTCAAGGCAACTCTTTCATAAGCAGGAGCGGGGACACTAGCTGCTGCCTCAGCCGGATCACACAAAACATTCTTCGGTAAGCTCTTTGTCCGTCTAAAATCCTGCTTATATTTGTCGCCGTTTTTCAAACTCGGTCAATGCGGTAATAACAAATTAGTCTTGAAACTTATAGTTACTTGCAATGTTCTTTTCCCATTCATTCAAGTTTACCTTGCATCTAATCTCCTTAACAGTGTCCCACCAGGTCCCAATTTCTTTGCCGATTCAGCTTGTTGTCTTCGTTGTTCACGTGCCATTCCCTCCGCGGTGATCTTAAATGCATTTTTATATTAAAGTGTTCATTTGTCCAACCATTTATCTTTAAATTTATTTACTTGATTAGGAATGACACCCTTGATCGGTTCTCCTTTGATATTCGAGGCTGAATAAACTCGAGCAGCTTGCCACAAACCGACAGTTCCTGTAAAGAAATTTTTGATGAGTGTTTAAATGTGCTTTGCTCTACTCATTTGCCAATAATCTTACCTCCAAATAATGTATCAGTGACATGAAATATATCCCCTTCATTCACAGATAATTCCAATGGTGATCCTTTCTTTTCCTTAGAAAAATGAGCTCTGATATAGAAATTGTCTCCCAATTGATTGTTTCGAACGTGCTCGAATTCGGCTCTTGCGTGCTCTACCTATAAGTAATTGCAATTGCAGTAATTGCATTTTGGAAGCTTTAAGTATAACAAAATTTTCCTAAGCTTACCCTCAAAGTGACTCGATCATCAAGAGCCAAGAGCAGCTGCACAGCCGCTTCTCTTGTCACACCACGCATATTTCGACCATTCACCTAAAGTTGTATAGTATGCTCTTTGCTTTAATCTTTTATAACGTTTGAGCCTTTAATATTCCACTTTGTGTTTCGTTACCTCAATAATTTTGTCTCCACAACAGACTCCATGAATTGCTGCTGGCGATTCGGCGGCAACGGCCGACACAAAAATCCCCACTTCATTTCCACCAACTACACGAATGCCAACACTGCCGCCAACCTTAAATAATAATAGTTGATTAAAGCATTGGATATATGATAGTGTGCCGACTAACCGACACCAAATTTAATCAAAACAATCTTTTGTATTGCCAATTTTCGTTGTAGGGCATTTACCCTGTTAACTGAATATCTTTAACGTTGTTTGCCCTATTTAAGTGTTTGTTGCCAGAATTTCCCGTCTCTTTTTCATCCATTAAAAGGAACATACTGCTTGCAAGTTGAATAAAACTATTGTTTTCAAGTTGATTGGTCAAATTGCACATCAATTTGGGAAAAGTTTGTCGATTGTTGATCAGATATCACGATCAATTAAGGAGAAAGCATCTCCGCCTGGATAAAAGATTGGAGAGAAAGCAGTCTCTTATAAAACATCTTTATTCAGTATAGATTAATTTTTACGGCATTTGATTTTGTTGCTAGATCTCACCTTTCTGAAAGTGATCGTCCGCGCCGAGGGATCATCTTTGCCTTGACTCCTCAGATAATAGTCGTACTCGGCTGGTGAATGCATACTTGTCACCGGGGAAGAGACTCTGAAATTATTTTGACTAAATGTAAATGACTTCTATTTGATTTTGCAGCCCAAAAGATAACCTTCTTTGTGGATCATCGAGACTTCCATCGGGTCTCCATCGAGGACTGTTGATGTATTCGTGAGATGATCTGGAAATTCAAAACTTCTTTACAAGTATCTCAACAAGCATCATTAGATGAGCAGTTTTAGGGTGAAAACAGAGTGATATACAAAAGAGTACAAGAGTCACCTTTGGGACAGTGCTTGATGTTGTGTCATTGGTGAAGGGCTATGTCGTGGAGTAGCTCCAACACTACCAACCCTTTCATAAACCTGAATAAAATTTCCAATAAAAACTCAACACTTCCAAACTGTATTCTGCGATGGCCATCTTGATGTCCCTCTTCTTACATCACGTTGAATCACCAAACATAATTTGTCTCGAGATCTGAAGGCGTTTTAATTGCACAATAAAGGCGGCGGTTTTCTTCAATAATCTCTATCCAATAATACCTCTCAAGCCATTTATTGCATTCTTCGAGTGATGCCCCTTCAACAGATTGCCCGTTTATTCGAACAATCGCGTCACCCTCGCGAAGACCCGGGTCCTAAGGAAATTGAGATTAATAAAAAGTAAAACCTATAATAAATTAACTCTGACTATCATAATTGTCATTCTATTTTCTCCATTCCAAACCTTTTCAGCCAATTTCGGATTTCGGATTTCTTTAATGTAGAACTTGCAACCCAAGACGATACCAAAATCTGCAAATCCAACTTGTATAAGATTTCAGTTTACAATTTCACGAACCGTCCTTCTTTTTCGATTTGGTGAGCGTGAATTTGAGTGTTCGTTGTTCGAATTCCATCACCGGCATTGCCACCCGTCGCTTCACGATCTAAAACATAAATGCTTTGTAAGTTTCATTTTGTTTTGTTTTTTGTTCTTGAACTTACCATATTGATCTGTTCAGCGTGTTTGATAATCTCAACAGCCGTGTTGTTGTCGATATTCTCAAAAGAGACCCCGTTCGCTGAGAGGATTCGATCGTTCACTCTAAACAGCATCATTCATTCATTGATTATGCTTGATACAGATAGAAATCTGCATCGATGATACCTTTTTGGGGGTTTCTTTTGATAACCACCTACTTTATATGAAAATTCTTACTGTAAGAGACCCCAAGCGGGTCCGTTTGGCACAACGTCGGAGATGACAATTGTTGGTTCGCCTGATGTGAAATGGGGATTGTCTCGTCCACCAGAGATCGCTATGCCAAATCCCACTGATGGAGTCTGAAAAGAGTCCATTCATAGTGATTCCTAATTTAGCTGTTAAAGTTTGAGGTCTAAAAGTGAGAGGGTAGAAAAAAGGAATTTTACTTTGAAAAGGAATTCTAACTTTAACTTAACTCCCACAATACTGGTGGTTACAAAAAGCTAAGATGGGTGAAGGGAGACAATGATGAGAATGTTTAGGATTGAGAAAAGAAAGAAAACCCCCTCTACTATCAAGAATGCAACAGGGGCAATGGGAAAGAGAACCCCTTCTCTCCTTGTAAAAGGCACTCTCGGGAATACATGCTTTGGGGAATCGAGCACGGAAAAGGAAAGACGTGAAAGTTTTGAAACAAGTCAGAAAAGGCTTGACTATTGATAGCTATTGACCTTTCAAAGCTACTAGGTAGTTTTCAGTTGATTCTTTAACTACCAGTCCTACCACTTTAGTTCAACTTTACAACTCCTCTCATTTTCCAAAACTATCATTTTTGCCTTTGTCTATTTCAAAAGAAACTCGAGCACTTAGCTAAATGGGGCAGCGAAGAACAAAAAAAGTGCATTTCAAATGTTTTGTTTCTAAAAATTGGTTCCATACATATCTTCCCATAATCATAACTGGAATAAGACAGAACAATGGCTAGAAACGAGCTACTTTTGTGCCCTGCTACTGATAATGAGTTCTGGACTAAAAATAAAAAGATTATTTCAATAGAACGCTCTCAAAAAACGTCAAAAAAAGTAATGGTTTTGGAATGAAGGAGAATGGGGACCACAAAGGAGGAGACCCACGAGTTTGTCCATTCCACTAACCTGAGAGAAGGTGATTTGGATATAAAGAGAAAGATCTAGAAAGAAAAGTTTTGAGAGGAAATAGAGGGAATGTTGATAGGGACAACTGTCGACAAGGGAAGGAAAGGGTGGAGGGATGGGGTGGTCACTTGCCTTACACTTACAACCAAGAAGGGGGATCGGTCGATCGACCACCAAAAGAAGTAGGGAGTCGGGGTTTATTCACTTCTGGCAGACATATGGGTTTTTGATAAAAAGAATGAGAGGAATTATGATCTCCCCTCAATGCTCTGTGAGGTTATTGGGGATCAGGGAAGACAAGCAGGAGTTGGATACAAGGTAAGTTTTTGGTTACTTGAGCAATGGGATGATCCTTGCAAACAGCAGCAGTTTATCACTTCCACAAATTTACAAATTCGGTCTAAAATCTGCACTTGTCTTGGAATCACAGTGAACTCTGCAAAAGAATGCTGCAAAGCTTGACTGACTTAGGGCAAACGAACAAATTTAAAACAATTGCTTCATTAAAATTAAGTTTTAGTTTTGAATGCTAATCAATGTTAATCAATGCCGATCAATGCTAATCAAAATGCTAATAATCTGTAGGAATGGGTGTGAAGATGGGTGGTTGTCAAGAGTTGAGGCGGAGAAAAGGGTGATCAAGGACAAATGAATGAAGATGGATTAGATTGATCAAACAAATAAAAAGGGAGATAAAAAGGAAAACAATAGAAAACACTTAGCAACAGTTGGGTAACAAAAATAGGAGGTAAACTGTTAGGTAAATTGTTTAATGTTTGGATTATGAATGAGGCCACAGTAGTATTCGAAAAACAAAACGCAGAAACAAAACGCGTTTCAGAAACGCATTAAGGCACACATTTTATTCTTGAAACTATTTCAACCTACCCTGTGCAGAGAGACGGAGAGTAATTGCCAACTCACACATCCACCACCATTCACTCCACCATTCATCGACATCTGAAATATTTTCTGGGTTTAAACAGTTTGACTGCAAGAATTTCTCCGAAAATATTTAGTTTTCACCTGATCTTCCTGAATGGGCGGAAAAAAGAATTCGTCAGGAGCTGGAGGAATTGGAGATTGTAACATCTGAAATATGATAAATTTGAATTTGGAGCAAGACAAATAAAATTTTTGCAGATTTACAAGAAAAAATTGGGCACTTACACAGGGTGTGAGCCCACACAAATGAATCACCCTCTATTGTTGAAGATTTTATGAGAGGGTGACAAGGAGATCAATGGCTGAAGAATATAGATTCTAAGGGAGATTCATTCGAGCTATTTTTACAGTTACAATGGTTCGGCAGAATATGAGTTTTGGGAGAAGAAAGGAATGGCCCCAAAAATGGGCACACAACAAGAAGGGAGGCTGAGGCCCCAAGGGAGTCACCAATCAACCAAGAGGGAAAGAGGGGGCCCTTCATTCCTCAACAAGGGGATATACGGGGTGGAAGTATAAGGGAAGGGAAAGCTCACCAACAAGCCCTTCCGATATACACCACATTACTTCACTGACAACAATCGGAAAGATATTATCAAAAGGGATACGTGGACGGTGCGTTGGATGCTACGACCACCGAATATTTTGAAATGGTAGCAAAGCAAAGCAATCGGATTGAAAGCAACCATTGCCCAACAGCTTCCACAAAAAGAAAGTTAAATTTGCTCTGGAATCGGTGAGAACCGGACTGTAAAAGAAGAGGTTTGGGTAGAAAGGGGATCGTTGTAGAGAGTTTATCGAAAAGAAGAGGCGTGCAAAGTGGAATGGGGATAGGTGGGAAAGACAAACAAAAACACCCGATCGGGGACAAAAAGAAAAGAATTGAAAGGGGTGGATGGGTAGAATCTGTGATGATGTGACCTCACACCAAACTCATCAAAGGAACAACATATTGAGATCAAAGGAAATGCATAAAGATAATGTTAGGTGACACAAATGAAACAAATGTAGATAACATTGTTTCCCTAAATGGATATTGCTGACATTAGAAGGCCAACTGCAAAACAAATATTTTCAAAATAACTTTGCATCATTGACCATCAGGGGAAGCGGAGCTTGGTAAAAAGAAAGCAGATTGGCGGTGTCTGATTAAAAGAAACACAAAAATGAGGACAAAGATTGAAATCTATTGTCGCCACATCTTTTGGCTTTCCGCAAAAAAAAGAGGTTCAATTTTGCAAAAGCCAAAGAAAATCGGATCAATTTGTCATAAAATGTGTCCATGAAAAGCATGAAATAAAGAAGAGACAATAATTAGAGCTTGATGAAGACACCAATGAGAGAATGAGGAAAGGAAAAGTGAAATGAAGAGGCTCATGGGGAGAAGGGGTACCCCTCGTCGGAAGGAAGGAAGGGGATTAGCCTACCCGATTGGAGAAGTGCAAGAGCAATGCACAAATGAGGCCCTTTGAAAAGAAAAGAAAAAAGACTTCAATTTGTGAATTCCACCACTCTTATGCTTGAACCTCCTTTAGACAAAAGAGAATAAAAAGAGCAACCTTTTTGATTGAAAAACAATAGAATAATTTATTGAGTTCAACTCCACGTTTAGAATGATAATTCGTGCTCACAAAATCAGTACTGGCCACCATGTTGTATTCGAAAGTCAAAGAATGTCCTTGGGTGTAGTGAGGGAAAGGTTAGACCTCCCTCTTCACCCGAATGGGGACATGCAATGTGAAAGAGGATGGGATGACTTCCCTTCAACAAAAAAAGTGTCCCCTATCCTTTCATATAGGTGAGGTTAGCCTTATTCGCCCGTCTCTAACTCACTCAGTCAATAGAAAACATGAAAGTGAGCGTCGAAATAGGATTATTTTATCGAGAGTAGTCTTCAAGGTTTTCTCCATATGCATGTGAATCTACGAAAACGAGGTTGATTATGAGAAAAATTCCTAACGTAAATATATGAGTGAGTTTATTGTTAATTGTGAGAGTGTAAGATTTTGTGAATTATCTTTGAACTAAAATCCAGGAAAGACATTTATTCACATCAAAACTCCAAATTTCTGGTTAACAAGCACAAAGGGCAGAATTGATTCAACAAAGCTTTTTTTTGGCTGAATTCAAGTGGCCATATTGAGAAGAAGGATTGCTAAGAAAAACAAAAAAACGACATCGAGAGGACCCTCTCTTTGGCGTGAAATGGGAAAAGGGTTCACGGGGTGACCCTTATAGAAAATTAGAAAGGGCCTCAAATTTCCGTTACCCAAAAAAGCTGGATAAAAAAATGCTTAAAATCTAGATTTAATCTTGAACTTTTGTCTTAACTCTGAGCTGTTCTACAACTTGCAAACATCAAATTTTATGGTCGACACTTGGCTTTTTTGGCGACGAAACAATTTTCATAGTCGAAGGTCGCTCGGAGGTCAAATCAACGAATATTTTGATGGATAAGCTTACAGTTAGTAAAAGGTTTTTTGCCACTAAAAAAAGCAGTAACAGTTCGCTGAAGTTAATGAAAAAAAGTGGGAGACGACTGAAAGGGAGATTGATATAGAAGGATGGATATGCATGCCCAAATGAGGGTGTGCTATGTGAAGAGGAGATCATCGATCGATTGGGGGTGAATAGAGGAAAGAAAGGGGAAAGGCCAGGGGGGAAAGGGATGGAAAAGAGAAGGGATGGGCAATGATCAGAGGAGGGCTGTCATTGGACACATGGGGAGGGGGAGGGAGACCACTTTCATTCAACCAAAAGGAAATCGTCACATTGGGGTCTTTCTCTCATCTCATCATTCCTTTTCCCTATCATTCACAATGATCTTTTGGTTAAGAGATTGGTGCCAGAAATGAAGATTGAACACATTGAAAACTACTCACATAAAAATATTGAAAATTTCGATACAACTTTCCAAACTCCAGTAAGCATTATCTACCTGGGTAGTACAAACTGAGTTAGGTAAAAGCTTCTGATAAAAGGTTTTTTGATTTGTTAATGAAAGTAATGTACGGTATTTAGTCAAAGTATTTACATGTACGTGAAAGAAAACATATAGTACTTTAAAACGCTGACTCCTATAATAAACATTGCTATGTTGCTATAAACATTGCTATAACAAACACTACTCCTCACCAAAATCGGATAAAATCAATTTAAGGATGCAAAAATTTCAAATAGGTGCTTACCTAGATATAGTACCTACCATGTGCATGCCTTTGCCATTCAAATTGGCCTATCATTCACTACAAAAGTTGCTGTAACCACCGTAGTTTCCGCCTTTTTTTCGCCCGCGCAAACCAAATTTGTTTTCTCATTTTCTCGCAACGGTGGTGCGGAGTGATTTTTTTTCGCGCTTTTGACTTTTGAACTGCTTTTTGAACTTTTATAACCAGATATTTAAAAACGATGCATGTTAGAATTGTAAGAAAAGGCACAGTGCATTCCGTGAATCAAATAAAATTGATCGGAGTCTGTTAGATTTTGTTTAAATTTCATTAGAGTGCTTGGATTGTCATGCGTTTACTTTAAATATTACTTTCAAATTTCTATTTACAAACTAATAAAATCAATCTTAGAAAAAGCGCTCTCTTTTCGAAAGAACAACTACCACCGCTCTTGGAATAATGCTTGAACGTGAGGTTTTTTTGCCGTATTCGCCAGTCATTATGATAAAGACTTATCAAACTTATAAAGATTTGTTTGTTTTAGATCTTCCTGATGGCGTTTTGGATCGAATCGTCAGCTATCTTCCGATAAAAGAACGATGTCGAGTTATGAATCGAATTTCACAATGTCTACATCAAGCTGTAAATCGAAGCATGACGTCCGCCTCGTTTTTTATGGTACGATTTCTTGAATTTGACTTATTGAGTTAAAATAGCATAATAGCGATACTCTTGACTTACTTTTTCATTTAAGGAGAATTTGGATGATCTACCAGAAGCTGCGATGAAAAATTTCCTTGACGTCTACGGAACAAAAATCAAGAGGGTTAACCTCGATCTTTTTCGAAGTACACACTACTATGTAAGTTGTTCTTCCGCTAGTTCACGTTTCTTTTTACAGGAATCTTCACAATGGATGTGGCGGCAATCGGTTACTAATATTGCTCATTCATGCCCAAACCTTTACGAACTGGATCTGATGATTTGTAATCGGCACAAAATTCGCGATCTTGACCTAGAAAATGTGAGCTTGCATTTGTAAAGCGAAAAAACTAAGTCTAATTGGTAGCCAACTCAATGTTAATTCGAAACTTTTTAGATCTTCAAGAAGTGTCACAATCTTCGTTCTCTGAAAATAGATGCTCATTTCCTGAATGGACATTGCTTTAAGGTAAATTCGACCAATGTTAAAGAGATTCTTTTGTTTTCAGAAAGCTCCTCCGTTGGAACGCCTCGAAATGGAAATGTGTGTTCGAATCAACGACCAAGCGCTACAGGTACAACAAATCCTTTCTCATGTATTTTCTGATTAACAACTTTAGGCAATTTGTTATCGCCTAAAATCTCTATGCGCTCTTCATGTGAGCCAATTGCTTATACTCAACGATAAGAATCTGGCGGTAATGCGCATTTAATGGCAATAAAATCAAATGTTTAGAAATTGGTCAACTCACTAAAAAGCCTGCGAGAACTAGCCATAATTTCACACCCAAATACCAAATATGAAGGTATCTTTCTGCTTTGCACTTATTTAAGTTTGAAATGTTTAGGTTTAACTGGGTACGGGCTTTCCGTGATTGAGAATTTGCCGCTCAAAACTCTGCTTATCGATGGCCTATCGGCTGCCACAGATCAACTCCTTGGATCAATATCTCGAGTCAACGAGAATAAAATTTCGAAGACTCTTGAGAATCTATCTATCGCTTTCTGTTTCAACATTGGAATGTGAGAGATTGTTGATGAAAAAAAAACACGAATGTTTTAGACACGGGTTAAAACGACTTGCTGCTTTGCCAAATTTGAAAAACATAAACTTGGACGGATTCAAGAAACGAGATGTCTCATTGGGGATTGAAGAGTTGGCGGCTTCTGGCCATTTAGTCAGAGTAAATGAAAAGAATCAACTAGTATTGTCTATTGTACGCTTTAGCTTTTGCTAGCCGAAGAAACAAATATTTCGGCCGAATCACTTGTGAAAATTGTCGAGAAATCACCAAATCTTCGATTGTTGGATTTAACGAACAATTCACAAGCGTTGAGCGCTGAAGCAGCCGAAAAATGGGTACGGAATCTGTTTCTTATAGCTAGATGGAATTAAACAATAGCGAAACTTTTGATATGACGTTTAAAGCTACAAGCTTTTTACCCACAATACATTCGAAGAAAGTGTTTATTTTTAGATTACGTTATGTGAAGCTTCGAAGCGGCCACCTCTTTATGTGTTGACGAGTGACCATTTGATGTGGAATGATGTGCATCGACCGCAAACGGATGAATATGGACGGATGAGTGTGCAAATTCTTCACTCATGCCCACAGATGATTAACCCGTCAGTTTATGATCATGTTGTTAATTTTCTTGGATTTAGTGAAGAAATCTCTCCTTCAACGGCACTTTCATTTGAATCACCATTTTCTCTACCAAAAGGAATTTTACTAGCGGGTCTTCGTAGTGGAAATAGGTAAAGTTTGGTTTAACTAACCAAAAGAAAGTATGACAACCGGCTGAAATGACGAGAAAAAAGCGTTGAAGTGTCGAGAGCTTCGGTGAATGAAAAAAGTTTCATTCGTCGATCGTTGCCCATTCAAAAAGCATAGTAATTGCGTTATGATTTTTGCTCTGATCAAAAAGTTTCTTCAAGTACTGGATAACGCAATCAACAATTTGTTTTACTTATAGTAAGTGCGAATAGGCATCTTAATAAACTCTCAAAGGCACTAGTGATCGCACATCAGTTTTCAATCTGATCAGCCAAGAAAAATATTGCTAACTAGTTAGTGAGCAAGTGAAAGCATGCATCATTCATTTGTTTAGGTATCGCCTCTTGTTTCAACATCTAGGTCATACACTTCCATCAAAGGTATTCATTTTTGTAACTGTAACTTGCAATGTGCGATAATTTGTCATTGTTAAACTGAACAAAAAACAAGATGAAGTGATGAATGAGTAAAAGGTCTGAGGATTTCAAGCCGCATTTCAAATCAAAAGCTATTGTTTTTTAGCAATTAGCTTCTTTAAAAACGCGTTATAGTATAAAAGGATGTGCAAATACTAGTTTATGACATAAATGAATAGGCATAGATTTAGTTCTCATCCTGACACTTTTTGTAAATGGTTACGCGTTAACTAATGTGGCTTAGTGATCCGTAAAATGATCTCAAAAGATTTCTGATCATCTTGCAAGTAAAACTTGTTCAAGATGTTTAAAAATTAAAATTTTAAAAGCAGCAAAATTTTACACTTTTAGGTTTTACAAAAGGACGTTACTTCCCCATTGGCCCATATTGTTGCGAAAAGAGAAGAGATCAAACCACAGGCCGAATTTGCTCCTATTCTGCCGCCAGCGTCGAGTTTGTTAAAATGCTGTTGTCTTTTGAATGTGCTTTTTAGATTATGATCCATTTTCTTCAACACCTGATGAAAATTTGTACAATTTCCATCCATTTGTATCAACGGTCAGTTATTTTGAAGATCATCTATTTAACTATTTATGGTTCAGACACCTTTCTCAATCACTGACCAACCAATCGATTACTCAATGGATGTTCACAATCAGCCGATTTTCAACAATCCTCATTTGACGCACTTTTGTTGGGTTCTAATTTAATATATTTAAACCTAGAGTTTAGCTCCGGATGTTCTCCGTCTTCTACTAAACACACATGCTTATGAAGATGGGGCGCTAGTGGGAAATGATTTTGCAAAAGAGGGAATTCTGTTTCGGGAAGATGGAACGGTTAGTGATGAGCAAAGATTATAAAGTAGCGAACAACTTTTATAGCCCTCTTCCCCAAAGAACGGCAAACATATAGTCTAACAAAAAAAATGAATAAAGCAAGATTCTATTCAGACAAATGTTCCCTTCCTATCCCATCCTCCATCAAACACTTTCCACGATTTGCTATCCGATGATCTCCCGAGAGCGATTTTTTCACCGATTTGGGGCCCAACAACAAACAATTTCTAACATGTCAACATTTCTAGCATTGCCGGCCATGCTCATTAGCAAGCCAAATCAAACTTCTCAAGATCTCAATTTGTTACATTTTGACCGTTATAAAGCTTGTCTACCACTAAAACAGCGAAAATACACCGTGCAGTTTTCACAATTATTTACACTCCAACGAAACATGTATAAAGTTGTGATCTAGTGATGCTTTAGTAAAGAAACAAAGATTTAGAGCTAAAGTTGGCTGCTGATAGCTTATCGATATCAAGATCTCAATAAGTTTTCCAAAATCTTTAAAAATCGTAAAGCTCCGATCTGGGATATCGACAGTCGTATTTAGCGCATCGAATTACCGCGAAATAAGCCTCAGTTAAAAGGATTTGACGGAGAATCAACTAAAGTTTTACTATTATCGATAAGTTTATCGAGATCTCAATATCAATAAGTCTCGATAAGAACTTATTGAGATTTCGATAGTCAAGTCTGGTGAGAGCCCAATAAACGGAGTCTTGAAAATTATAAAACAGTAAAATTAAAGTTGTGATATTTAGGTTGTGAATCTGAAAGCGCTGTTAGAAGTACGGGATCAGAATTGGGACACCGCTTCTGTAATCTTTGATCAATGTCAACAACGGGATCCATTCAAGAGTTATCGAGCATGGCGAAAGTAAGCATTCATCTTTGTGTCGGGATCTATTGTTCACTGTTTATTAAAACTTTGATGTTTAGTTGTGAGCAATGCTGTTCACAACGACGAGTTGAATCACCCCGGAAAAGGACGAACAGATGTAGGCAAGTTTAGATTTATTTAATGGATTGTATTTGTGTTTTTAGTGGTGTGAGTTTACAGCATGACAAAAAGGCAGCACCAAGGGATCATTTCATGGTGTCATCGATTCCCTGCTCGTCTACAAGTGGTTATCGTACTCAACGAACCTCGGTTTCAGAGGCATTTTTGGAGGAATTGCCCGATCTATTGCCAGCATTTGGACACTTTTCACTCATGTAAACAAATGATTGAATAAGTAGTTCCATTGTACATTCTTGTAAATATCTTTCTTACTTTTGTTTGTTTGTAAAATTTTGATTGTTATTGTCTAAGAATTTGTCATTTTTATCGTTTAGAATTGTCATTTTAGAATAAATCGTTTTATCTGATTATCCAATCACGAGCAAAACGCTATTACAATCTTTATTCTTCTAACTTGTCAATGATGGTTAGCTACCAAGCTGGTATTTTAAATTTGCCTTGTTACAGTTATGAGAAGTTTGACATTATGCACCCGATGGACTTTTTGGATAGCTCTTCGTCAACTTCGCATCAATCATCCAAGTTTGCCCACACCGATTATCAACAAGAAAAAACGAGCCCTGGATGTCGCCGTAATTGGAGCGCCTAATGTGGGAAAGGTTTGTTCTTTAAATAAAATCCGATGTCGATTAGTTTATTTTCACTATTGTAAGTTTTAGTCTCTCCTTACCAATCAGATTGTGAGAGCCGCCGTTTCCGCTGTTAGCTCAAAAATGGATACGACAACAAAGGTATTTTCAACATGTTGTCTATGATTTTGGTGTTTAGAATAATGAAGCAATCGTTACCGAAGATGACGTCCAGATGGTTGTTGTTGACAGTCCCGGAACGATTGGATTAGGACATGCAAAGGAGGTATTGCGTTTGACAACAAACTAGCAACTCATTAAATTAGATGATGGGGAGAAGTGGACAAGATCGAATTCTTAGTGACCCAGAGGAGGCGATAACTCGATCGCAACATATACTCGTCGTACAGGTATTTGGATAAATTTAATCTATTAAGATTACATATTCTTTATTAGGCGTATAGGTAGGTATTGAGAAGTCTTTCAAGTAGGATAGATGTTCTTTATTAAGGACGCAACAGCCACAGGAGATTACATTCACCACCGAGTTCTCCATTTATTACATCGGCACTCCCATATTCCTTCGTCATTGGTTTTTAACAAAGTTTGTGTTTATTTTATTTTTTATTTTGAATTCTACATCACCTTTAGATTGATTTGGTGACAAAGCGGACGGATTTACTTGAATTGACAAGGATACTCACGAATGGCAAAGTTGGCGAACAGCCAATTAAAGTGGCTAGAAACACTATCGGTGAGTGAGCCGCAAAATGAATTTATCATATATCAAATTTAGGAAGATTAGGGTCGTCGTTGAATAACAAACAAGAACTTCATTCGGCTGATCTGAAAGAAAATGACGCAGAATGGATGACCAAATATCGGTAAAACTTTCCAACTTGATTGGTTAATAGTGGTTTGGTTAAGACAACTTCTCACTAGACCCACTCATGAATGTGGTTACGCGGAAACAAAACGACTTTTTATCGATATTCGAGGTTGGAGTCATTTCTCGGCAGTTTTCTTTGCTTCAGCCCTCACAGGCGAGGGGGTTCAACCTATCAGAAATCATCTTAAGGTATTGTATCTGTTTTGCTTTTATTTTTATGTTTTATTGTTTAGTCGTTAGCCGAAGAAAGGGAGTGGCGGATGGACGAGAATGCAGTCACAACAAAAACACCACAGGTTTATTTTAAACATTTTCTAATGTTTATTATATTAGGCTATCTGTATTGAATCAGTTCGAGCGGCTCTTCTCGACACTCTTCCTGGAGATATCGCATACAAGTTGCGACCAAAAATTAGCGAATGGTCACAAGAAGGAGAAGTATTTGCGAATGCTAATATGTATCAGTACTATGTGGTGTTTAGGTGCTACAAATTGTAGTAGATGTTCCTTGCGAGAAAGAGCGATGGGCAAAATTAATCATCGGAAAAAGTTCGTGTTCGTTGTACATTAAATTCTGAAATCATGAATGCACGAGTTTAAAATGATGAATTATTGCTTTAATTTACTTGTGTCTCATTTAGGTGGCGGTTCCCGAATGATTGAAATTGGAAAACGAGTAAATGAGCAGATGTCAACTCTCTTTCAGCGGCAACTTTTTATTCGAATTCTCGTCAAATACAAAGGAAGAATTGTAAACTTTTCCCCGATGAATATATAGAAAACAAATTTGAAAGAGATAGGATTACCATCAACAAATACCTTTGCACATACATAGGTAGCTCTTTTTTTCATTTTGTGGTTTGTTATGTTTCAGTGTTGTATTGTCAGATTTTTGTTGCTTAAGTTGTTGTTGTTTTAGAAGAATAAAAGTTTCAACCGAACACTTAAACATCCTCACTGATGAAGCGTTAAGTTTTATTTAATTGTTTTCGGGTCAAAGCATCTTGTTATTGCTGCTAGTTAAAAAATGCTCTAATAGTTTGTGCCTAGTTTTTTATTCAAAGTTATTCACCCGGACAACCCACAACTTTCTACGCATTCATTCCAAAAGATTACCCTTTTGACAATGCTAGAGTGTGCGTTTTCGTTAGGAGGCTTCGTGTGCATTGATCGTCCCCTTTCTCTTCCCTGTTAAAAGACAACAAATTACTTGTTTTGGCCTGGAATTCTCCACTCTTATGCTCAAGGGACCATTTTTTCATTTTAGAGCGATGTCACTGAGGCCTTCGCAGAGTCATCCAAGCGTGTCGGCATCTATGGTGAACGCGCGCGGTGGCGCTTCCTCTTCTCTTGGGAGTACGCAAATTTTATATTCAATTGACTTGATATATATATGAAATTCCCTTCCCAAACTCACGACCAGGCTTGCTTTTTTTCCGCTTATTTGCGGAAAATAACCTAAGGAAATAAATTAGACATGGGCGTGGGACGAGATTTTGGTGGGATGGGATGGGACGTCCCATTTTTGGGACAGAATGGACGGGATGGATTTTAAATGTAGACGTAATTGCTGCTTATTAGTTCTAAATTACCTTTCATAACAAAAGTTAGAGACAAAACAAAGTTACATACTAATATTGTTGTCGTTTAGGGCCACCACACCTCGCGACTCAACTTGCTTATCAACAAGTGGAATCGCATTATCAATACGGCACTCAGCAACACCATTTCGTTGGTATGCGATTCTATTTAAATTTAAAAAAATGTTTTGTGTTTAGGTGAACACATGGTGCAAACGGCAAGTCTTTCTTTAAATGTTCCAGTCAGAGAGACGACACCACAGCCACTTGAGATTAAGACTGAAATTAAGGTTTGGATTAGAAAAAAAATCAAAGTTAGCTTGTTCCAATCAATAGCTAAAATACAATTGTTATAATCAAGTTAAAACTATAATTCTTAGTAGGTAATTTTTGGTTTTCAGGAAGAACCAGTTGACGTTGCTTCCACGAGCAATCAACTTCTCTCTCAACCGCCTCCAGAAGATGATGGAGAAATTAACATCGAGGCCTGCGTTTTTAAAATTTAATAATTTTGAATTTTTTAGATACGGAATGTTGTTTGCAACTACACACTCCCATTCCATATCGAGCTCCGCCGTGTAGCTCTCAATTCTTTAAATGTGCAACTCGATCCAGGAAAGGGGGTAGGTCTAAATTCCATTACTGAATGGTAAATAAACAGTGATCGGATTTGTTTCAACTCTATGAAAGCAAGCAGCTCACAACCAACAAGCCAAATACTATCAAAACAAAATTCAGTTAAAGTTTTAGGCTCTCGTGAAGCAGTTGCGTAATCCCTGGTGCCTCATAAAAATATACAATTCGGGAAAAGTCTACATTGTTGGATGTCGTAGGTAGATTTTAGAATTGAAAAGTATTATACCTGCCTAGTTTACTATTTGGTTATGTATATACGTAATTTATTTCCTTTTTTTAGTGAGCTCGAGGCAATGAGAGCAGCTCGTAAAGTGGCTCGCTGCATTCAACGATCGATGGACAAATTGGGAAAACGGGTTCGTTTGCAGATATGCTATTCAAACTTAATTCGACTCTAGATTTGCATGAGGAACTACAAAATCTGCAATGTTTTGGCCACCTGTCGACTCCCCTTTGGTATCAAAATTGAGGAGGTTTGTTGTACATAAAAACAAATGTATTTTTTCCCAGATGGCACAGAAGTACAAGGAGCACTCGACATACGAACCAGAATTGTCCGTAGGATTGGTTTGGAGAAACAAGATCCCAAAGGCCACATTGCGCATTCACACAACTGGAAGCATCACTGTCACTGGAGGTAAAGCACACTTTATTCAATGATAGTGGTGAAGAAATTAATACTAACAGATGGTTAGTTACCAACTAAAGCTACCTATGATCGGTTTATGATTTAAACTGATTGACAAACAACTATATTCATCTAGAAATTAAATAAACTCTATTTAGCTCAATCCGAAGCTGATGTAACGACGATTCTGACAGATATTTATGAAAAAGTATGGGAATTCCGCTGCGCAGACAGAAATCGATCGGAAAAGGGAACGAGAAAGCGAAAGGTTAATAATCAAAGGTAAATTTTTTGGTTTAGTGGGTTGGTGTGATAATTATTGAATCGTTAGACTACTAAACCTGAATAAATTAAACAAGTTATCAACTCTCGACTTGCACTAATTAAACACCTTTTCTCATTTAGATCTGACGGTCCGTCGCGAAAGCAGCAATCTTTTAATCGTGATGGCAATCAACCGACTTCGGGTCTTGTCGGAAATCGTGTCTATTTCAGCGACGAGGATGAGGATGAGGACGAAGAATTCTTTGATGAGGATGAAGAAGATTTTTGAAATAGCAATATTTACTTAGTACTTTCTCATGGGTTTCGCAAATTTGTTAGTCGAGCTTTGCATAATTTTGCTTGTCTCTTTATATTGCGCGGCTTACGTTTCTTTCTCAAGTTAAAGGGTCAAATTCTTTCACTATTCTTTGATTGCTAGAGTCTTTACATTTTTGATCGTTTTCCCCGGATCTGGTCTCATTTAAGTCTCTCAAATAGTTGTAGGGTGTCTATTTTTATGTGTTTCAGCTGGTTCTCATGTTTTACTACATATTCGCGGTGTTTTTTTGCGTGCTCTCTTGTCAGGTTTTTATATTTGTTCCTAAACTCTTCAATAAACATTTAACCTGCCTAGTTTTTATTTCATGAAACCTTTACAGGAACGTACTTTGTACTTTGGCAGGATTTCTTTAGAGACACGCATTTTAATTAGTTAATGAAGCAAGTGGGTCTACATTTTAAGACTTTGGTTCTTTAGATGTGTTGACCACGTTGTTCGTGGATGCTTAAAGAATTGATTCGTCGAATCGAAGGGATCTTGAAGAATCGATTCAACGGAAAACTCAAACGGAACAAAATGGAGAGCAAAGACGCAGCGAGAAATGAAGAGACCGAAATGAAGAAAAACGGTGAAGATCAACCATCAACCCATGCATCCACTGACCCATCTCATCTACATCATGTTGAAGAAGGACGCGTGGAGAAAAGTATGGAGGAAGGCTAAATCTAGTAAAAGTTTCCGAGTATAAACGTAGCTCTAATTATCTGTGCTATTGCGAGTTAATTCTGTGCGAGTTAATTATAGACTAATGTTTAACTATTTTTTTGTTCTTTTTTCTGCTATTTGAATAGAAATAGGCTAAAGCCAAAACCATTAAACTTTTAAAGATTCAACATTTCGAGGGCTACATTTGAAGGAGTTAAAGCACTCAAGTATCAAAAGATGCATATAGTAATTCTTCAGAGGATCGAGGCTTTCCACGGGTGAAGACGTATCGATATGCAATGATTGTCGGCTATCAGGGAAAGAATTACTTTGGAATGCAGGTAAAAGACTTATTATGCATGCTTAAAAACCATAAGTCCATCAGGTGCAAAAGGGTCCGAATGCGGCGCCGACAATTGAGGGTCATCTATTGGATGCGTTATTGAAGAATGGGTGGATCTCTCAACAGCTTTACGATCGGCCATTTGATTTCTTCTTTCAAAGAGCCGCCCGAACGGATAAAGCTGTTTCTGCTGTTAGACAGGTTAAGTCATTTTATTATGTACGACAAATGTGATTTCTTTTCGAGGATATTTAGTAATTAGTTTTGTTTTGCAAATCCATCTTATAAGTTAAATTGTAAAACGTTCGAAGCGAAGAGGTTTAAAATGTAGCATTTAGCAAATAAAATAAGGATTTTCAATGAGCCTTTTAAACATTTGCTTACAGATTTGCTCCTTGCAGTTGCCCAGAATGGACGATCTGCCATTGACAGGAGCCGCTCAAATGAACGCATACCTACCGGAAGACATTCGCGTTTTTGGTTTTCGCCGTGCTACTCAGTAAGTGTTGATTGATTTAAACTAAAGGACTTTTGTTAAGAAAAGTACATGTATGGTGGGCGTTTCAATTTTAGGAACTTTCACTCGCAAAAGTACTGTGATGCTCGCACATACTCATATACTTTGCCAACATTCGCTTTTGCTAAACCAGATGAAGTCAGTTTTTTATTGAAGTTTTCTATTATCGTATTGTCTGATTAGTTATTTAGCATCCATGTTAAAATAATCACTTTCAATTAAACTAATACTGAAGACAGGGCATTTGCATTTAGAAAACCGACTCAAAATTTCGAATCAAACCAGAGGTGGTAAAGGAAGTTGAGGAGATTTTACAGCTTTACAAAGGAACGCACAATTTTTTTAACTACACGAGTAAAAAGTTAGTATTTTTATTATTATTAAGGAGCCTTTGGTTTTAGAGCTTTTGAAGATCGATCTTGTTGTCGATACATCATTCTTTTCACCTGTGGAGAACCGTTCTTGTATAGGTAAAGAGAGAGAATTTTTGACGATTAATTATTGAAATTTAGGGATGACTTCCGAAATGAGGATGTCGAGTTTATCACGTTGACGGTGAAAGGACAAAGTTTCATTCTGCACCAGATACGAAAAATGATTGGTCTGTTTGTATGTTTTTGTTAATGGGAACTTTAATTCGCTCATTAATGACTACAACTTTATTCCTTTTGATTATTGGCAAACTTCTACTTTAGGAATGACGATATCTGTGGTCCGTGAATTGCAGAGTCGAAGCGCAATTCAAAGGTCATTCGAAGGGGAACGAGTAAGTTTCTTTATCTATCTTATTAGTCGACTTAAAATAAAAGATAGATAATTTTACTTTTAGATGGATGTTCCGAAAGCTCCGGGACTTGGCCTTCTACTGGAGCGACTCCATTTTCATAACTATGACAAAAAGTAAGAGAGATCTTGTAGAGTTAGAACACGAACTTAGCTAGAACGTTTTGAAGTTGTACAGGCTCAATTTGTTTAGCTATGCTGCCAGCCACGAACCATTGAGTGATTGGGGAGAAAGAATTGAGAAGGATATCAATGACATGAAGGAGAAACAAATCACAAAGGAGATCCTTGATACTGAATTGCGAGAGCAAAGGTATGTATTGAGATTGAGCAGCACTAGGATTGGTTACTATGCTATTTTCACTCCCTTGATTACAGAAATCGAAAGCCTAAGCAGCAAAACACATGCTAATTGTACACGTTTTTGTTTAGTATGATGAGATGGTTGTCTGATCTCGTGCAACATCACACATTCCTTGCTGATCCATCGTCTGCAGAAATAGCCAAAGGGACTTTTGTGCAACTGGCGGCAAGAGTGGCCAAGCAGGTTGTTTTTTTTAAAAACTGAAGTTAGGGTAGGGTTTCTTTTGGAAGGGAGCTAGATACCTAGGCCTAAAAACCGAACACGATGCTAACTCACGCATAGAGGTGCCATTATTAACAACGATTGCATGTAGGAATCGAGTGTGCCCCTAGCTGAGAGCGTCGAGCCTGAGCCGAAGCCTGAGGGGGAGCCTGAAGAAGCTGAGAACTCGGCCGCCAAATAACAAAATCTGAATTCTTATCATTATTATTATTGTTATGCTATTGTTATTGTTACCTTTTTATTTGTTGAATGAAATTGATATGTTTACGCTGCAAAGTCTATTTTGATTGCAGGCATAATTAGACACCGACGAACATCCAAAACGAACATGGCCTTTAAACACCGTTAGATCTCTTAAATAATCATGAATTAGTGGTTAACTAGGGCTTTGAAAGCGGAAGGTTACTTAGCTTTACAAGCTTTGTAAACAGCTATTAGTGTG